TACAGGAAAAAGGTGAGGGAGGAAGGTCATACAGTATAGGACTATAGGAAGTATCTATTCAGCGAGCCACAGCTTGAGGTTGCAAGGAGGATGTCCGTTTAAGTGGCTGAATCAACGGAGTGTAATGATGCACATGCTTAGCAGATACAGGGTGATGCAACATTTGCGAGATTATTGCACATGACATACAATGAACAGAGGAAGACGGTGTTATAGTGGGTGTATATACTCACGGAAGGCTGATGCGCGTGAACGGCGGCTTGGACGGCGGGGGAAAACGTCGGACTGCCTTCTCTGTTGAACGCTATGTGGCCACCATATATCATTGCAGACCCAGCCAGAAGAGCACCAACGCTAACTCCCACGCGGCGAAGACTTGTACTCGTTCCAGTCGCCGAGTATCCTCGCCCTGCAAAACAGCAAGACAAAATTTTCGTGACCATGCTCGCTAGTCGCTACAAACTGCAATGCATCGCCGAGTAGCGTTCCGGCAGGCGGATCATACCTCTGCCTGTAGCGCTAGCCCGAGTCCCGGCGTTGAATATTCTGGAGCCGCACCGTGCGATCCTACTCAGGGACGACATCGCTACCTCTCAGTTTTTCCTTGAAACCTGCAGCAAACTCACACACACGTGCAGTGTACACACTGTGGATTTTCACGAAACTCAGCTGTGCTGGGACGGCTAGTGCGCATGCGTAAATCGCGCAAAGTCTTGCGCGTGCGCATCATCAATGCAAGGGAGCCGCATTCTTAGCTAGTCAGCAGTCAATCTTCTGTGACAGTGCCTTGGGCGAAGTACTTTTCTACAGTGCAAGTGTGTGGTAGGCATTCGCAAAATCGGCTAGCTCCGCCCGAGTTGTTCGCAGCTTCGCAACGTGGTGTTCGGTCGCCCATCAGCCTTGAAGTGTAAAGTGCTCGCTCTATTTACTGCAGAAGAGACAACCGTTAGCGAGGCCAAACAGTACAAATGACCACTTCTGTCCGAATGTCCGACCTACACAACTCGGACAATGACCTGACGTCTTCGAAAACCGGCGTGAATACACTGCGAGCTCGCTTTGAAAGGATCGGACAGAGCGACGACAACATTGCGGCCTCGTCCGCCGGCCAAAACTACCGATATTCGTCCTCTTCCGTGCCTCGCAAGCCGTCCACTCCGCCAGCGAGGCGTCCGCAAGGTCCCGCAAGACCGCCGCCTCCACGACCTACGGAAAAACCGAAGCGATTCTCTGACCAGTTTCCCGGGCAGAAAGAGCCGTTCAACAGGTCCGTTACTCCTACCTCAGGGGCTCCGGGTGCTCTGAGCCCGCAATCTCCAACCCCTCACCCGCTCAGCACGTCCAGTAGATCGAAGAGCGTAGGCGATCTGAAAGTAGTGAAGAAAGAGGCGCCGGCGCACGAAGTGAACGGATCCGCCACTACAGTAACGGTAGAAGAGGTGGACAGACCTACCACAAAAAAGGTGAAGAAAGGAAAAAGCAAGGGGAAATCAAAAGAGGACAACTCAAACGGGACATCTTCAGGCAGTAGCTCAGGGAAGAAATTCCTACACTTCAAGAAGGGAAAGAGCACCGAATCTCCCGGGGCATCTCCAGTTCCAAGCAAACCAAGAAAGTCCTCAGCCCCTACAATTAGTAGTCAATCGTCCCCTCACACCAGTCCAAAGAGAGACCCTCTCCCACCTACCCTCGAGAGCCCTTCATCGACGTCTTCTGAGGCCGGGAGCAGCAAAGAAGGTACTCCGACCGCAGGAAGGCGAAAATCGTCGAGCGGAGGAAGAAAGAAAGAAGCCGTAAAGAAGACGGAATCGAGTCAGGGAGACCTGGCGAGCGGCAGAGACAACGGGAAAGTCGACAAGAAAGCGCTGAGGAAGAGTAAGAGTAATTTCGGAGCGACGAGTGTGTGCGCGGAAAAGCAGGAGGGAGATATGCTTGGAGCAAGTCCGCGAAACTCTCCAGCAATGGGAGGGAGGAAGAGGAGAGGGAGGGAAGTCGGAGAGGCTGACGTGAAGCAAGAGGCAAGGAGGATCAGGGAAGCGGCAGTTCTCAGTGCAGGTTGGTATAATACCAGCTCTCAAACACCTGGGAGCTGATAGTGTGTTTGCGACAAGTGCGAAGGTGAACTATATAATTATCATCCGTCCTATTCCCTAGGGGTTCATATCATGTGGGTGAAATCCGACCTTCCCCGTAACTCGATCCTTACTGTTTGCGTAGGATTTCGAGCCCATCATCTGATCCGACATTTTGTGTTAGATATAGCTAGCGCTTCTCTTGCTCTCCTCTTCTTTGCTCCCACGCGATCTCTTTCTCTGGCCTGCTAAGGCCATTGAGGGAGCACACGCCCATCTTGGCACTGCTGTGGATCATTATCATCTCCTTTTCTGCTCACTCCCACACGAGTTCTCCCCCGGAGCGGGGTGCCTTTTACAGCAACTGTGGGCACACTCCCTTTGCTCAGTGCGTATAGCATCCACCTTCTGGGAATACAGGTGTCCTAGCAGTAGAGAAGTCTTCTTTATAGCTATCTTCTAGAAAAGGGTATAGGATGTGTGGTGGTTCACATAGGTAGGTTCATACAGGGCAAGAGGGTAGATAGACAGTTTGGACTTGTGTGTAAACGTCGTCCAGTTGGGGTATCGGTCAATGATTCTTATGGAGATTATAATGGCGTGGTATTTTCAATAGAGTTTGAAGTAAGTCATGTGTGAAAAACTTGAGTAGCAAGCTGCACACCAATTGTCTCCGAATGCATGGAATGCAAAAAGCTCCGAGCATTTCTATATCTTTACTACCACATACGGTAAGGCGTGGTAACCCAAGACTACCTTATCCTTACCCTCTCCTCCATCTTTCCTTTCCCTCTCACTTTCCTAGACTCCTTCTCAACTCAATTACACCATGTTTCATTATGCTGCTTATGGTGTGGGCTGGTACAACTCCTATTCTCACATGGGATTTGTACCCATCCAAAAGGCAATGCTGGCATCGCTTACTCTTCTCTTGCATGAGTAGACAGTTTGTGTGGGCCTGGTCTACTATATTATAGTCTTTGGTAGTCCAGAATAGGGACGATGCGCAGGGTAATAGCTTCATTGTTATGACGGCAGACACAAAACAGCTTTGTTCAGTGGACACTAACAGATGTCACATTACATAATTCTAATTGATATTACATCCACCGGCCTACCAATTAGAACAACTCCCGACAAACTATCTCCTCTCTTTCTCCCTCTCTCTTTCCTTCCTGCTATATTGCCCTCTCCCTCTCTCTTCTCTTTCTCTAGGTAAAGACTTGACTGCAGCAAAGCTGGAGCCTGTCCTGAAAAAGGAGCTGGCCTATCTTACCGGTGAGTTGTCCTCTTGTACATACCACCTCTTATTTCAGGACACCAACAGATGGTGTCCTGAACACTCTCAAACTGCCCTAAATGGCTTAGAATCTCAGTGGTCACGTAGCAATGGGGTACCAGTAAGGATTTAGGAGAGAGTTAAGCCACTCAAATACTTTCAGTCTCTTACACTTTCCTCCATAACTTGACCATATTGAGAGAGATAGACACATACATTGTAATTAGACAGCATTCTTCTCAGAGTCTTTTGAATCCAACCAGCCACCTCACTGAATACTAGCAGTATATCTATTAGTCATTATATACGTAGACGTTATAAGGGGAAAGCCTTATGACTGTGGTATTGTATGTGGTTAAGTCGATATCTTGCACTGTGAGTAGAATACAGTGGAGTTGAAGGTCGGACGATTGAATGACAAGAATGTATGGTGTTGGTGGTGGGAGAGACCTGTTGATAGGGATTCGAGGGTTAAGTTGGTACCCTGCTAGGGATTCAGGGGTTAAAGATAGAGCAATCCCTGGGCCCACATACGTACCTCTCCCTTCCTCCTGGATTGGTATTCTGCTAAGGATTCGAGGTTTAAACTGGCATCTTCCTAGAGATTCAGGTGTAAAATTTGACATTCTCTATGTGCCTCCCTTCCTCCTGAATTGGATTACTGCAACTAAATGCTGCACGTTTTGGTGACCGAGCGTGAGAAATTCAATGGAATCTAACTTGCTAGCGCTTATTGGACCCTGATGTTCTGATCGCATATACAACTCCTCCTTTACTTTGCTGATTATAGTGTCACTACATAGGCTATGTGTCTCTCTCGTCTCTGTAGTAAAGTGTGCTCGAATTTCAGGTGCACTCTATACCTACCTACAATTGCTCTGGGCTTACTTTGAATGCCTAGTGAGCAGTTCCGTGTGGTGTGTATAGTGTTTCTGTGGGGACCATTGAAGAGTGCTAGCTGGACTAGATGCCTATTGTAGTGTGAATGTTCAAACTGGTGTAGAGAGTGGGTGGAAAGATTTAATATACTGTGTTTTATATTGAATGAGCTGCGTTTGAAGCATATGCCAGCGTCTGCGGCTGCTCAGTAAGGGACAATACTGTTAATGTATGCATAGAGAATGTACATATTACCAAGGGCTTGAGTTTCTCTGTGTGGATATGTAGCGACCTCAACCGTGGTCGCTATGGTGTATTGATACAGTCACCCCCACATTTATCTCAGTAGATTGTATTACTGTGTTGTTGGGTCTGCACCTTCTCCTCCTCCTCCTCCTCCTTCCCTCTTTCACTCTTCCCTCTTACCTCTCCCCCGCCTCTCTCTCTCTCTCTCAGACGGGCTAGAAGGAGGTAAACATCAGGTGGTGGTTGTCATGGAGAGCAGTCTGGCAATGCTAGACTCACCGACAGCATTCGAAGACTTCAAGACAACTCTGGCGTACTTCAAAGCCATCATAAAGTGGGCCGTTGTCACTTCACACAACAACATTTGAAACCATCGGAGCATTTGTGAAACTGAAAGAGTTTCAATAGTTTATTTGATAGTCACAAATAGTTGTATGCAGTGTTTAATTAATGCACTAAACGAAGCATGAAATTGAGACAACTTTGTTCCTACAAAACTGTGACAATCTTCTTTTTCCTCCGTTCAAAGGCAAGAGACAATCAATGCAGGGGCAACTCTGGTAATTGATGCTCGGGACGGGAAATCACACAAGTCAGCCAAACACCTTCTTGAGAGGATCGAGGTACGTGCCTTGTAGTCCGTATAAAGAGGTACCCCCATAATAATGAATTAGGACATTTCCATAATGTGATCTTTGCTTTCCCTTTGCCTTTGTGACCTCATCGTTGTTATACCACAACATACCACCTTATGTGATTAATCAATCATTGTTGGTGATGTAATTATAAATGATGTCATCTGTAATATACAGACGGAGGACACGCCCCTCCCACTCCACATGATCTACATCATCATCAAAACTGGGTTTCTTGGCTTCGGTCGCAAGTCCCTCGTTTCTGCCGAGTCGGCAACAAAACTCCACCTGGCCTACGTCAGCGAGCCACGACAGGTTTGTCCCGTTCCAAACCAGTTTATTCCCTGAATGGCTTGTAAAGTTCCTAGTTTTAGTAAAGTTACAGCTTGCCTCCTAAGATCCTACCCCTGAGTTTGACTTTTAACAGAAACTGGTTTTCAGGTCTTTGTGTGTGTGAAACGTTCGGTCTTCGTTTTCCACAGTTGGTGGAGCAGCTGGGGGCAGACAACGTGGTGGCAGAGTTGGGAGGAACTCTGGCCTACAATCATGAGATGTGGATCAGCAACAGAACAGTGAGTTACGAAACTGTGATTGGGATGTAAGCTTTCTCTGAAAGATATCCTCTTCCTTTCTCCCTGTGAGAATACTTGTTGATAGTGCTAGTTGACTGGGATGCATCTCTAATTTTTAATCTTTTCTCCCTCTCCCTCCCTCCCCTCTATCTCTGTCGTCAGAATTACGAGAGGATAGTTCATCTCCACAAGAAGACGATGGGCCGGCTCCCGGAGACTAAGAAAGGACTCGGAACCTTCAAGATGCCGTCCACTGTCAAAGACGCCGAGCGGCTGATGCAGGAAGAGCTGGGGTTAAAGGAAAAGATGATAAACTTGTTTGCCGAGTCGGAGCTCAAGATGGACCAGTTCCTGACGAGTTTGAACGACCAGCAAAGCCACGCTCCCGCATCACTGGACCTGCGAGCGATGACGTCATCAGTTGGAGAGATGTTGATCGAGGTAAAGGACAGCCAGAAGGAGTTTGACGACTTCTGGAAGATCCACAGAACACACTCCGAGCACATCATGAGAATGTGCCACTTCTCAAGATCAGGGGAAAAGGTATGTGTGGAATTACGATGACATCATCACTTTGTGAATTTCCGATGACATCATCATTGTTGTCATATATACTTCGATACCAGGTTTAGTTGAACAACGTTGTGAAATGCTATTTGATTGTGCATGATTACTCGGTAACTTTCTCCCCATGCTATCACAGCTGAAGCAGATGATGGGTGGTCACATCAGTGACTTGGCGGAGGACAAGGCGGTGCTGGGTGACTCTCTGGAGTCAGCTCTGGAACAAGGAGAGAAACACGAGCACTTTGCCACCAAATGTCTGGAGGTACATTACCACGTCTACTCACTGTTCACACTATTAGTGGGAAAATAATGTCGATTTTGAGATTTCGGCTCCAAATTTTTTCATCACCAGAAGAGTGATACCACGCGTATCAGAGAGTGTTTTTTTAACAGACGATAGACGAGCAGATGACCAAAATAAAGCAGGACGCGGGGGAGTTGTGTGATCCCAACCACCTACCGAACGAATCTGAGGCAGAGATGCACGCCGCCATGCAGAAGGCTCAGGCGGCGGTCCAGACGCAACTCCAGGAGCTGACAAAGACCTACCAGACACTGTCAGACATCTGCCAGCAGAAGAGGGATCTCTACATCGTGTGTGTCAAATTTCACATGAACCTGAGACAGGTGAGCCCTATCTCTCTCTTTCCCAACCCTCTTTCCCTATGTTTACATCTTTCTTCCTCTCCTTTAAGGAATCACATCCTTCTTCTCTTTCTCTTCCTCCCTCCCTCCTTCCATCCATATCTCTCTCTCTTCCACTCCATCCAAAACACTGTCATATTACCATTTCCCCCTGTTTTCGTTGCTCCAGCTCCAACAGTGGAATGATGAAACAATGTTGCTCCTGGCCTCCCAGCCTCTCGAGGAGCCGACGCCCTCAGCAGCACTCAACCTCCTCTCCAGTATAGAGCAGTGTCAAATGGGAATGACGTCGACTCACATCACCAACCTGACAGAGCTGGCCAGCACCCTCGGGTCAAAGACATTCAAGAAGAAGAACGATGCCGTCATCAAGAAGTTAGTGACAAGGCGAAATACTTTGACTTCAGGACCATGCAGGCTTTACCTCATTGTTTGCCATTTACCACAGTCGAGGGCTCAATTTTTGTGTCTGTCAAACTGAAAATTTTAATTTGAAAAAGCTCTGCTCTAAACCAACTCTCTCTCTCCAGATATGAACATGCGCGGAATCTTCTAGAACATCGGAAGACGTTTCTCCAGAGGATACTCAGTTCTCATTTCCCTCGTCCAGTGGCACCCCCCAGTCCCAATCCTCTCCACCGCTCCAAGGTTTGATTGTACTCCACTCATTCTGACTACATTACATCAATAGAAGACAGCTAGTGTAAGGCAAAGAATGCAGGATTTCACGTTTGCATCTCATGAGTGCATATCGGCACTGACCTGACCTACATCACGATTTGCAAGCGACCTGATTTCATGAGTGCATATCGGCACTGACCTGATGCCATGTTTTCACTTAGGTACTGTCGTTGTCTGCAGAAAGACAACTCTTTTCTATTATTGACTAGTAATGTGTGTTAGATCACAATTTGCAAGCGAATGTGAAATTTTTGTCTCCTGTAAAATTTACAGCCGGCTCCCGACAGTAGTTTCAATGAGACTGATGTTCACCTCGAGGTGACCCCCGATCGCCGCTCGCTGACCTCTACCGTTTCCACGGCAAGCAGCGAGGGGCTGGTTGCCGGGGACTACCAGGACATGGAGACAGACGGAGGTGTTCTGAAGAACAGGCAGTTTGTGTACAAGGAGCTGGTGGCCACTGAGCAGGACTACATCAAAGACATCAGCACCGTCATTGATGTGAGCTACGCATACTGCATGAGTGAGCGAAGGAAGTGGAAATAAAGTTAGAGATTTGCACCACGCACTTCGTGTGTGAATTCAAGGAAAGTATTTTTCAGAAAGATGTTATATACCCTTAAATTATAAGACCAGTGACTCTGTGGAATGAAAATAGAAGAGAGATAAGTAGGAAAAAACACCTCATCTTCCTCCCTAACCAGAGTTACTACGATGAGATGGATCCTGAGAGTCTCATCATTCCTCTGAGACTCCGAGGAAAAAGGGAGATTGTCTTTGGAAACCTTCTCGAGATAAAGACCTTCCACGAGACGTAAGCCACACCCACACTGATGGTTTCAATGGTGATGATGTCATAACAATGATGTCATAATGATGTAATAGGGATTTCAGTAAGGCTCTGGAGAAATATGCCGATTGTCCGGAGAGAGTCGGAGAGTGCTTCACACAGCATGTGAGTAGTCACATGACATTCATGTGTGATCACGTGACCTTGTGATGATGTAATATGTCATAATCCAGTCGGCACAGTTCCAGATGTATTCCATATACTGCAAGAACAGAACTCATTCTGAGACTCTTATCAACGAATCAACCGAAAGCCAGGCTTTCTTCAAGGTATACACCATAATATCAAATTTTCATGGATTTGCTGTGCTTTGGAGAAGATCGCATGGAACAAAATGTTTTGTTGAGCATCCACTTTTGAAACTTACTAATGGTTTATGCCTCAAAAAATCTTCAGTGTTAAATTTCCCTAGTCAGACTTTTATTGTCAGCCAAATGTCTGTCTGATGGACGCAGGGAATACAGCTGAAATTGGGTCATGCTCTCCACCTCAATTCCTACCTCCTCAAGCCCATCCAGAGAATCACCAAATATCAACTTCTTCTCAAAGTGAGCTGGAAAAAAACGCCAATTTGCTCTGATGCTAATATTTTCTCTCTTCTCCGCCTTCTCCCTTCTTCCCCCCCTCCCCCCTCTTTCACTCAGGACATGATGAAGCATGCAGTGCTGGCTAAGAAGGCCCACTCTGAGCTACAGGCAGCTCTCGAGTCAATGCTCAAAGTCCTCAAAAACCTGAACGATTCTCTCCACGTTCTTGGGGTCAAAGGATTTCCAGTGAGTTACAGGTCACATCACAACCTTGACCTGTAGGACACATTACAACCTTGTCCTGTAGGACACATTGAAACCTTGTCCTGTAGGACACATCACAACACATAGTTTAATTGTCTTCCAATTCAGAAAGAAATTTCAATTTCACTGTTTCTTTCTCACTATAGGGTTCTCTTGCAGAGCAAGGCAGACTGCTAGTCCATGTAAGATCCCAAACTTTTATTTAACTCTCACTTTCCCTTTTCCTGTGTGTGTCTAGGACCCGTTCCAAGTATCGGACAACGCCGGCCGGTTCTGCGAGACTACGAGAGAGACACATCTTTCTGTTCGAGAAGGTCATCATTGTCAGTAAGAAGGTGGAGGCTCCAGTTCAGCACAAGAAGCATAAAAAAAGCGACGCCTACATTTATAAAGACCATATGCAGGTAAATGGAGCAGGTGTTAGAGTGAAACTAAAAAAGTGAGCCTATACCTTAGTTGCAAGATTGCATATCAGATGTATAATATTTGCTTGGCTCACCAAAAAATTAATGCGTCTAAGCTTATTAGCAATTTCGTGCAAGAATGGCACAATTTCTACTAATTTCGTCGCGTTTCTCTGCAGATGGCTGTAGTGAATTTGAGAGACTCGACCGACAAACACGGACTGCAGTTCCAGATCACGATCCACGGTCAGAACAAGATATACACCTTCCAGGCCAGCACCAAGGAGGTGAGAGACATGTGGAAGGCCGAGATCAGACGACTGCTGCAGGCACAGTTCAGCCTCATGAAGGGTGAGGAGAGAGTGGGCACGTAGAGAAGTTAGGGCTCCTAATATTGGCTTCTCAGAATTGTAGCTAATTTTGCTTCTAGAGGCCCACGTTTTTAAGGCACTTTTCATTTCTTGGTAGTGTCTTGTATGAAGTTTTGACCGTTGTGAAAATATTATTCTGTCTGTGTGCGTTTCTCTCCAGACATGGTCATGCAGTCTGGGACTCTGGACCGAAGCAACTACAAGGGGAAGACCAGATCTGGTAGGTCTCCACAATCAATCCGACAACTTCCCTTCACCAGTGGCGGTTGTGAACTTGCACAGGTCTGTCCAGAGACAGTCGGCTGTTTGGAGATTCCTTCAAGGCCCATCCTGTTCAGAAGAGATCTCTAGCGTTAGCAGCTAGCTACTCCTCCTTTCTCCCTCCCTCCCCCTCCCTTTGCTGGCTTTCTAATGCTCTCTCTCTTTCTCTTTCTCTTTTCTGCAATACTACTACTCTCCTCTGATTCTCTTGCAGCGATCGGCTGTTCAAGAAGAAGGGAGGGAAGAGACCAGAGACGCCAAAGTCAGGAAGAAAGCTGGCGGCTCTTGAGCCGTCTGCCAGTCTACCAGCTGGACTGACACATTCAGCAAGACCCACCCACTCCCTCACTCCATACAGCGCAGACTCTGAAGGTACTTACACTTTAGTTGGGAGTTGGCTCTTTTCAAAGACACGATTGCATGATCTTGAGATGCTATTGAGTATGGTTGTTATTAACCTCGGAGACCACAGCAGCTGGATATACACAATGTCTGCTCTTGCTTTCTCATCAATCATCAATCTTGTCTGCAATCCAATTACTTGTCAACTAAGCCACTATATAGAGCCTGCACAAGTGCCTACACATTCCACATCGATAGGGTAGATCCTGGTTGCGATGTAGTGTGTGTGCTTACATGATTTCCGCCCTTACCCCTCCACACACACACACACACACACATCTCTCTCTCTCTCTCTCCCCCCTCTGTAGCTGGTGAAGACAAGTCAGATTCAATCTCTAGCGACGAAGAGATTGCTTTCTCCTCCGACGAGGAAGACGGACTCACAACTACTGCAGTGGACCATTATGAGAGCCTGGTTAGTTATTATATACCTCTACATTATGTACTATTGTATGGAACTCTGCATTAAGTAATACACCCACTGTTGCAGTATATATAGTACTTAGAACTCAACACACAGTTTGTAAGGCTTGTAATGCACCCAATGCTAGTAGTATAATAATAATAATGGTAGTATATCACTAGGCCACCCCATGTATATACAGTTTATCTAAGTAAGTATATGCTGAACTACTTAGACAGTTCAAACATATATACCACGCCATCCAAGTTATTGTGGCCTTACTCCTCCTACTGAATTTGATAGACGATACGGTATCATGTGTCCCAGGCACCAGGTGCTCCAAGGTACTACACAGCAATCACAGACTACAACCCAGGAGCCTCTGACAACGGAGTTCAGCTCACCAGCGGACAAGAAATCGAGGTCATCGGCATCAACAAATACGGCTGGTGGTGGGTTCGAGCCACCAATCATTACACTAACGAGGTCGAGGAGGGGTGGGTCCCTGCTAGTTATCTGCAGATGTCCGAAGACCAGACGACCCTGGGCCCAGACTCACTCATGCCGGCACGGCTGTCTGTATTGCGCAAGAGAACTTGACCTTTTTGTCCTTTTGTGTGTGTGTGTTTATCATGGCACTGCACTGTTGTGCGTCAATTATAATTTTTAACACAGATAATTTATTATGGTTAACATGAGGACTATTATAGTCATCGTCGTCTCAATGCGAAATTGCAACACTCTGCGCATGCGCTGAACGCAGTTAGCGCGCACTTTTCGCGGTCTCCCTCTCTTCTGAGCAGGCAGTGTGAAACATTGCCAGCCAGGACCGTGGTAGCTACCTGTTCGCCAGGTCAGTTGTCAGCCTGACATCGGGCAACTTTCAAAGAAATGTTGCCGAACACCTTTCTCCGGATTCTAGAGAATACGGATGTAACGCGGAGGACTTCGCGGGCTGCGTCGCGTATCCGGAAGCGTGCCCGCGGGGGAAACGGAGTTCAAATTCTTGCAGGACCTGTACCGTTGTGATGTGCCTCTTCAGCAAGCGATCGAGTCGCTACATTACGACGCCGCGACCCGCCATCTCCACTTTTGTGATCTGCCGAGCCATGGCCGCTGTAGTGTCTTCTCCATCCGTAGCATAAAGTGAGCGCGGCTAATATACGGGGGTGTGGCACGGCTTTGTTTACTAGTGTGAGATACGTAACTACTAGCAAACTTTTCTTCTTTCTGACGACGCTTTTTGTGTTGGAAGCTCATGTAAACGTCGTACAAACAAGCCAGCCGCCTACTGAACTCCTCAGTAGTCGCAATAAATCGGTGCTCTCTCTTTCGTCCCTCCGCAGCCACGCCCTCGTCTCGAACCATGAGCTCCAGCGAGGACGCTCCTCTCCTGACGGGCGGCGTTTTCCTCAAGGATCGCTGGGAGGTCCTCAGAAAGATCGGGAGAGGCGGCTTCGGGGAAATCTACAAGGCAAAAGACCACGACACGGGAGAGGTAAGTACGCAGCTGTGATAGCTACTAGCTAGCTTATACTACGGCTGCTTTGCGCGTTTAGTAGATACACACATACACACAGCTAACCCTTTAGAAAGCAGTGTGAAATAGGTGGAAGGACTGCATTCATCTTTGTGCGCATGGTTGCTAATATGCATGGCCTCACATACATAAGGTTTGTATAATACAGTTGCGGTAGATATTAGTGTGCATGTATTTCTACCCTGCACTACATTTTAGTGTAATGTACAACTTGAATGCGGTCCGATGCAGAGGTGGTGTGCTAAACACGTGTATAGCTACTCAGCGTGTTGGCGGGACAAGTTGTCATACCCACTCAACATAGAGTGATGAGCATGACGACTCTGGAGACTCTGAGCTCTCGACTTATGTCACCACCACACCAATTCCAGAAGATCTTTTTCATATCATCCTCTTACCCGCAGTACTTTGCATGACATGCAACTTGAGTACTATCTTCCACTTAGTCTTTAACTTGTTGACAACTATGGATAAAATCTGGAACACTGAACTTAGCATGCTGTACTTCTCTCTCCCTTCGTTTCTCTACAGCGATGTGCCATCAAGGCTGAGTCAGCGGTCAGCTCCAAACAGGTCCTAAAGATGGAAGTGGTGGTACTCAAACGACTGCAGAGCTGCTCGCCACACATATGCATCCTCCTGGGCTGCGGACGGACAGACAGAATCAACTACATGGTCATGAGTCTTCTCGGACCAAACCTCTCTGAGCTACGAAAACAACAACCGAATCAGAAATTCTCTCTCTCTACGACTCTCCGCGTGGGTGTCCAGGTCATCGCAGCAGTTCGGGCCATGCACAACTGCGGGTTTCTTCACCGAGACATCAAACCCTCAAACTTTGCAATCGGAGCGTCGTCAGTCACAAAACAGACGTGCTACATGCTGGATTTCGGTCTCGCCAGGCAGTACGTGACCCCCACGGGGGAAATTCGCGCCCCCGAGACCGGTGGCCGGGTTCCGTGGGACCGTCAGATACGCTTCAATCAACGCCCACCAGTCTAAAGATCTCGGTCGACACGATGACCTGTGGTCTGTTTTCTACCTTCTTGTTGAGCTGGTGAACGGAGAGCTGCCCTGGAAGAAACTCAGAGACAAGGACAAAGCTGGGAAGTTCAAGCTCAGTTTTGACCACAAACGACTACTGAAGCACTTACCGGCCGAATTCTTTGACTTTCTCGACCACCTGAAATCTCTGGACTATTTCCAGGAGCCCGATTACGTAATGTTGAGCACGCTGCTCCAGAACGCGATTCGTTATCTCGGGGTTAAGAGGAGCGACCCGTTGGATTGGGAACAAGATGCCAGCGTCCAGTCTCTAACTACAGTCAGCGTCGGGTCAGCCCCTGCTCTGCATTCTAATCACAACACCGCTAAAGGCAAGGCAGAGGAAGTCGGAAGAGAAGGCGATTCGAGAACTCACGTTTCAACTGAAGACTGCATGAGCCAGAACGACGAGAAGAAAGAGGGGAAAATTGTGAGGAAAACGTCAGACGAAAATGCTGGGAACAGAAGCACAAAAATCGGTGCATTGGTCCAGTCTAAAAGACACAAGCAACTCAATCTTCTCCAACAGAGACGCTCCATGCCCCCCTCCCCTCTTCTACAGGCAACGCACCTCGTCCAGCAAAACGACTCGAGGCTTCCCCACACAAACAGTCTCGATCGATTCTTTGATATGAGACCAGCGAGGTCCCACTCTCTCAGTGGGTCAGGAAACCCGGAAGAGAAAGAGTCATTGAGAGACGAGGAGGTTGGAGGACGCGTGGCAAACTCGCCAGAAGAAGAGAGAAGTTTTTCTAACAAGGCCCACTGTGGGAAACACACTGAAGGAGACGGTTATGAGCAGCTGAAATTTGAGAGTAATGGGGGAGCCCCTGAGGTAATTGTGAAAATGAGAGCGGAGCTAAAAATCTTGTGAATGGTGAAATAGATGGGCAAGAGCTAGAGCAGCTAGTTGGGACAAACCAAGTGTCACCCAAATCACAAGTACTCCATCAATACGGGGTCGGGGAGATAGTTGGACCAACCGAGGTTCATCCTGACAAAACCCCGCCTCCCCAGCTGGGATATGGTACGGAGAAGTTGAACGGGGAGGACGGAGAGAGGGGAGAGCAGAGCACGCCTTCGGAGAGCAGCTGCTTCCAACACAGACTGTTTGCCTGCAGTGTTCAAAACAGGGCCGAGGAGGGTGAGGTCGACAACGCCGAACAAGTCCCTCTTGAGATGATCCCAAGAACAAGGAATCGCGAGGTACACTCCCCCGGACCCCCGCCCCTGGAATTTCACCAAGAGCGGCCGCAGACAATGTGGGGTCACGATGCCACGAGACCAATCTCTCTCTCGCAGGTGGGGCAGCTCGGCGAGAGGAGCGGGGATCCGGAGAGGATGGTGATGTTGCCAAGACCACCCGATCATCCTCCTCCTAAACACTACACTCTGTTAGCCGCTCGCAGGAGACGGTTCAGAAGACCAGCAGGGAAAACATGACCACGTCTGATCAAAATAATGGCTGGGTTTTTATTTTTTATTATCAACTCCTTTTTAAGTTCCTTGTTTCTGGCAACCCAGTCACTTTCTTGCTTCATTTTTAATATCAGTGTCACAGGTGCACTTTTTAACACATCATCATCATTTCTATGTTGGATAAAAGGACCGAAGTATATAGCGCAGCAGAATCCACGACAAAAACTATAATCAAAAGCAAAATTATGTATTATATACACAAACTTTAAGTCAAAATGTTTTCACGACATGCAGATCAGAAAAAATCAAATGTGAGTCAGTGTTTTAAGCCTGTACGGCATTACTCATCATGACCTGTCCACCACCTACTTAGCTTCCCTCTTCCTCCTCCCCCTCCTCCTCTTCCCCCTCCTCCTCCTCCTCCTCTCTTCCTCCCCCTCCTCTTCCCCCTCCTCCCCTCCACCCTCTCCTTCCGTGGCCTCGCATCTAAACCTCTCGAAAACGCTCATAAAGTCTTCTCTGCACTTGACGTTCTTGAACTTGGCACACAGCTTCTCGTGAGACACGACCTCTTCGGCATAATCGGCATTTGTGAACCAAGTGCAGGCCTTTTCGTCGTTTGCCAGGAGAGTCACAATCATGTCCGGAGTCAAGCCGTGGTTGCAGCAAATTTTCAGCGTTTGATCCCTCCGCATCAGAAGTTTGACTTTCCCCGTTTCTTGATGTCTGAGGATTTTCAGTTCTCCGCGTCCCCTCTCTTTCCACTTTCCTTCCTCGTCGAATCGATAGAGCTTGGTTCTCTGCGAGAACAAAACTTCAGCGTCGTCGTCCCAGGATTTGACCTTTACACTCTCTGGTAAGGTCACCACTGGTTTGAAGTGAACATTGACTTCTACTTCCGGGTCGTCTTGTTCGTCGCGAGACGTAAAGAGCTTCTGCCCGACGCCGCTGAATTTAAAACCTTCCTCTCTCTGGTCGAGAAAACCAGCTCCACTGCCGGCAAGATCGGCAAAGGAGAGGGAAGCTGATGGTGTAGTCGATGGAGCTCCAAACATCGTGTGTACCTCTAACTTAGGCTCTGCAGCAGACAGAGGTGGAGGAGACGTTGGTGGGGTGTGTGGCTGCACAGGCTCTCTTTCATCCGCAGCAGACAGAGGTGGAGGAGACGTTGGTGGGGTGTGCGGCTGCACCGAGCTTTGTTCGTCATCTTCCGGAGTGACCGCTTGCGTCAAACGTATCTCTATCGCTTCTTTCAGGTTTTCACTACTTTCTTCAGTCGTTGGTAGTTTTGCAGCAGAAATTTGAGTCCCGGTCCTGGTTTCTCCATCACCCTCAGAGCCAGAAGCACGTTCGTAGTGGCCTGTAAGGAGATCAACGCATCCACGACACCCAGGGCATGCCGGGAGAGCCTCGTAGTTGAAAAACGACGGCGGAAGCAGCAAACTTTCGGCAAATTTTACTTTCTCTTCGCTGGGGAGTTCGACGGAAATGATTACCACGTCATCTTCACTCTCTTCGCGAGGCTCAACTGCTTGTTTGAAACTCACTCGTCCGGGAGAGAGTCGGGGAGAGGGAGAGCAAGAAGAGGACGAACAATCGTCAGCATCGTCTTCATCGTCCGGCGATTCGTTTCGTGTGAAATGACGTGGAGTGAGTTGCAGCCGTGCACCAAAAAGACTTGTCCCCTGTTGCGATTGAGTGACGTGTGCCCCAGAGTTTGACGCGAAGGGGATTAGTTTTGGTGTGGGTAAGGACGATTGGTGAGGAGCGCCCGGTTTTGATTTTCCACAAGCGCAGCATTTCATGTCCTCCTTCCTGTTGGTGATGTAGCACTCTTCACAGTCCCAGGAGTCTTGGGCGGGAGCAAATCTCGCTGCGAAATCAAGAGCTTTTGACGAACTCGCTTCGGCTGCTTTGCTATCTTCACCAGACTCTTGCTGCACATTCTCTCCTTTCTCTTCTTTTTGACTCGATACCTTTGCAGTTGTCTTGCTAGCTGTACCGGCTGAACTCACTGCTTCTTCAAAGGCTTTCTTGAAGGTGCTGGCTAAGGCGGGAGATTTGAATCTGATGGCAAAATTCTCCGGTTTCTCGGCTTCCTCTGAAAAGTCTCCAGGAGTGAACCAGGTCCAGGCTTTGTTGCTGCCCGGCATGGCAGTAAGGGTCATTGACCTCGTGATGACGTGATTGCAGCAGATTTTGAGGACTTGGTCACGACGCATGAGCACCCTCGCCTTCCCGGCCTGTCGGTTTACGAGAATCTTCATCTCCCCTACTCCCCTCTCCTTCCACTGATCCACGCCCGAGTCGAAACGGAAGAGTTTTGCCCGCTCGGCAAACACGGCCTCCTCGTTTTCTTCCCCACTGCTGATCTCCACTGCCTCTGGTAGGGTGACGATGGGCTCGAAATGGATGTCCGGTTCGTGTGCAGAGGTGTTCAAATCATCGCTTGGTTGTTGCTCGGTCGGCGAGGGAATATTCGGCGCGTCAAGCGACAGACTAAACTGGAATGGTTTCGAGGAAGAGGTATTGAAGATAGAGGCAAAGTGTAGACCTGCGGTACAACTTTTGGGTGGGGGCGATGCGCGCGGCTCTAGTTTGAGGACCCCCTCTTGTTGCTCAGTCGGTGATCCACTCAGAACTGTTTCAGTCTTAGACTCTGTGGATGTTGGAGCTACTGGTGGGAGACTGAAATTGAAACCCTCGCTGCTGCCAAACAGTGGAGGCTGAGCAGTCGATGTGGTAGAAGGGACACTAAAGGAAAACTTGCCGATGGTGTCACTTGTCTTGGCGGCATCGGTTTTAGCTTCGGTGGTTGAGGGTAATGAAAAATTGAAACCCCCTCCTTCAGTTCCAGATGTAGTACTGGTAGTCTTGGTTTTATCAGCTGTGGCTGCACTATTAGCTGCAGTAGAAGTGGCAGAGGCTCCAAATGTGCATTTAAATCCACCACTGTCTGATGCAGAGGTGGAGTGGGCACTAAATAGAGAACCACTGAACATGAACCTTCCACTGCTGCCAGTGGAACTGCTAGCGGTAGCTGACGGTGCACCTGACCCACCACTGTTGGCTGATTTAGCATTCAACATTGATCCAAGACTGAGACTGCCCATACTGAACCCTCCACTGGCAGTGCCCAGTGACCCTGGGAATGACACAGGACCACCAAATGAAGAAACACCACTTTTCGAGTCCCCGCCGAATTTCAGCCCAGAGAATTTCGCCGCTGCAGATGCACCAGAGTCTCCAGCTACAGCCTCAGTCTCCAGTCCTGGTTTAGCCGTCGCACAAGCCATACATTTTACGGCGCTCGCTTCGTTTTGAACCAGACAGGTGTCGCACTCCCAGGAACCCACGGGGGCTGAAAACTTTTCCCTCAGCGAGACCTCAGCAGAAGCTGGTGGTGAGCTCGAAACCTCGTCACCGCCACTCTCCTCCTTGTGACCCTTGGCTTTCTCGACGCACATCTCAAAAACCCTACGAAACTCGGCAACAACCAACGCCTGTTTGAACTTGATGGCCAGTTTCTCCGGTTTTGGTTCGCCGTCCGAGAAATCGCACGCAGTGTACCAAGCCAGCTGGTTGTTCCCCTGTAGCTGGGCGAGCGTCATCTCGGGGGTGATGAAGTGGTTGCAGCAGAGTTTCAAGATTTGATCGCGACGCATCAGAACTCTCGCTTTCCCGCTCGTCTTGTGCTCTAGAATCTTGATTTCTCCAATTCCTCTCTCCTTCCAGGCACTTGCGGAGCTGTCGTAACGATAGAGCTTTGCTCGATTAGCAAACAGGACCCTTTCGTCTTCTTCGCCGGTGCTGATTTCTTCGAGTTGAGGGAGAGAAACGATCGGTTTGAAATCCGGCATAGCATCGTACAACGATTCGTGGTCGCTTCGTTTTTCAGCCTCTGAACCGTCGGTTGTTTTCACAGCAGTTGGAGAGGAAGTTGTTCCAATTATTGATGTCCCTAGTGACCCGAGGCTCAGTGTGGCAGCTGCGGTTGTTGTAGGTGGGGCATAGAATGACAAAGAGACGGGTGTCGCTGTCGTAGCGACGCTGCCGAGCAGTCCAGAAGACAGAGAAAACAAGGAGCTGTCGGGAAAGTCGGCACTAGCGGTCTGAGGCGTAGAACTCTGCAGTAGTGAGGCCAGTGTTTCCGACTTTACACCGGCAGTCGATGGAGGCTCAACATTAATAGTCAGAGGTGGTCTCATTGAAAACTGGAACCCTCCTCCTCCGAAAGGGAGAGAGGAGGAAAATGGTGACGACTCTGGGACACTAGTCCCAATGGTAGCTGGTGTCGGGACTGCGGAACCAAATATCCCAACTCCAGGTTTAGTTGTAACGGGAGCAGACGAAGGAAGAGAAGTTGCTGCAGTGGGAGGCAAAGTAGTTACTGATTTTGGCGGGGAATACTGTGCGGTTGGAGGGGATGGAGGCGATGTTTTCACTGATTTATGTTCGGGTGAAGCGGGAAGGAAAGTCCCCGGCTTGAGGACGAACCCAGTGGTGGATGGGTCTGGGTGTGTGGGGAGGGGAGGAGAGGAAGGAGGAGAGGTTGGTTCAGATGAGGTAAGAACAGGTGTCCTCGGTTGCTGGGTGAGGTGTTGAACATCTACTAACTGGAGGGGTGGTTGTTGGTTCATTGCCCCTCGCTGCAACAGCTGCATCTGATAGCTCAGTTGGTTGGGGAGGATCATCTGGTTCCCTGTCACCATCGGCTGTTGGCCGAACACAGTTCCACCGGGAGTTGGTACACGACTTCCCGTCTGTTGACCGAGTGGGGCACCAACCGGTGGGAGCATGCCACCTGACTGAAGACCTAGCTGATGCCCCATTGTCGCGGGCCTATACCCAACACCAACTGCTTGTCCGGCAAGTATCAACTGTTCAGCGTCACTGGGATGGAGCACGCCACCTGGTTGAAGATTTGAAGCACCTACTCCTCCAGTTGTATATCCAACGCCATTCGCAGCTTGTCCACCACCAGGTATCGACTGTTCATTGAATACATAACCACCGAGTGGTAACACACGGTTCCCCGCGTGTCCACCAAGTGTTGTACCACCAGGAGGGAACACGTTTGTCCCTGGTTGAAGGTAAGAAACCTGCGTCCCCCCAAGCCTATACCCAGCACCAGCTGCCACTTGTCCGGTGGGTATTGGTTGTTCGCTCAACACCGCACCACTAGGTTGAACAACTCCACCTGCTTGTAGATTTGAAGCCCCTATTCCTCCAGATCTATAGCTGACACCAGACGCCAGTTGCTGCTGAGCTCCAAACATTTGCGGCCCTGTACCCGAAATTGAGAGCCCGGGATTCGAAGCGGGAGACAGGTGAGGAGGAAGAGGAGTGAGTTGAGGCTGCGGCGAGGCTTGGTACACCATCTGCTGCTGCTGGTGAACATTCATTCCCATTGGTGATTGTAGGAGAGGGGAGCGGAACGAGGAGGAGAAGGAGGGGTGGGGTGGGTACATGGCGACCCCGCTGGGAGTCACCATCTGGTGAGGTACACCACCGCTCATTGCCTGTGGACTGAGGTGCTGGTAACTGCGAGAGAGGTGAGGAGACAGGTAGCCAGAAGCCGGGGAAACATAGAGCTTCAGTGCCGACACTTCAGCCTGGAAAATAGAGATATAAAATTCAGGATTGAAAACTTATCAGTTTTGATGGCCATTACATGTGTAACTGCTAAGATTAAAATTCTGTGATTGAAATCTTCATACGTACGTACCTGCAAACTCTTGAGCTGCTCGTTCATAGACGTAATGAGAGCATCTTTTTCTTTCATTTCTTCCCTCAGACTATCCATCGGTGAGGAAGTCTGTGAAACACAAGTCAATCGTTTGCTCAAATTTTTGTAGAGGTCGAGGGGTTAAACTGACCTTTTTATCGGGGGAGAAAGGAGAGAGACGAGACTGCCGTATGCCCGATGCAGCCGGCGTGGAGGATTTTCGAGGAACGAGGAGACTCGTCTCTGGGGATGAGTCGTATGTGAGAGAGACGGCAACGTCCCTGCGAGATTCCTCGTCTTCCAACATCATCTTCTTCAGCTCCTTCTGCTTCTCCTCGATCTTCTCCTTCAACTGACAAACAACGCAATGGATAAAAGACGGGAGTGAGATTAGGGGGAGGGGAGAAAGTTTGGAGCGGGACACGTGCTTACATCTTTGTCGGTTGCAGTCAGTCGGGACAGAGCTAGGTCGAGGCATTTTTCAGCCTTCTTCTTCAGCTCTCCACTGGTTTCGCCAATCTCACCAGAAGAGCCTTGCTGAGCCATCACAAGATAGATCTGCACAAACACACAAACTTGACAAGTCAAAAGTGCATATTTTTATATGTAGGAATCATTCTTCACTATACCTACAGATTTCAGTGCAATCACTCTCATAATGAGATTGCACATTACCTGGGCCTGGTTCCAAGCTGCCAGTGAAGTCTTGACCTTGGAATAGAGACCGAGAGCCTTGGCCAGGTCTCTTCTGTAGGCAGCTGCGTCGCCAAGGGCCATGTGGGCCTCGTTCAGGAGGGACACTCCGCTGTGTTCACCGGAGGTCACCAATACCACACCGCCTCCCCCCTCGTGGGGAACCTGGGGTCTGCGAATTTTCGACCCCCTCTCTATCTCGGTCAAGATGGCGACAATAATCTCCCAGTAATGACCACTTCTCCAGAGCATGTCCTGGAAATGAGAAAAGGCGAAGGCTAGAAGCAACGTAGGGGGAAAAGACAAATTTTTGAAGTGAGGTTAGTTAAGGTCGAGACGCGAGGAAAAAGGAGAAAGTTCGGAGCAAGTTCGGGGGAGAGCAGAGGGAGATAGAGAGCAAAATCCGTGCAAACAACTTGTCAGCTTACCTCAATTAAAGAAGATGAACCACTTCTATCTCTTCCATCTGAACTCTCATTAGCTTCAACCACTGACTCTGCCTGTGAGATGAAGTCATTTTCAAACGACATCATCACGATGTCATAGTTAAAACGAACCCTCTGTTGGAAGTGTTTGGCGAGGGAGGTGAGTTGGGAGAGATTGAGTCGCAGTGGACGACAACCACGAACAAGGCCCAACCCTTCGCTGATGACTCTCTTCACATCTGCACTGCCTCCACTGGGAGAAAAGATGATGTCATATCAAAACAAAGTGCATATAGAATATACCTGGCTGATGGGGAGATGTATTGGTGAACATAGGACCACCACTGACAGTATTTCGACAAATCGGATCCCTGGAACTCGGTTGTCATGGTGACGGGTAGTGTGTGGAGGAGTGAGTTGGGGAGGGAGGGAGGGTGTGAGGGGGCAGAGGTGAGCACCGATTGGAGAGTGTGGATTGACAGAACCAGCATTGCCTGCAAGAGAAAAAATTTCGCAATTCTGTAAATATCTCAACTACATTATCTGCATATTATATGGAAATGTTCTCGGAAAAGTTCCCTATTATACTACCTCAACATCAGGCAGAGAGAGGGTATCTGGGGCTGTCGTGTTGATGTAGCTGCCGGGCAGATCAACTCGCAGACCAAAAAACATGTTCTGCAGCCACTGGTACACTGGAAGTGATGCAGTAAAGAAAATAATAGTTAGTGTATGTGTAAACTTGCAGTGCTTTCACTACAACTACCCCTGAAAGCTGGGAATCTTGACGGAAGTAAGAGTGATTACATTCGGACAGAACAGCTTTGCCAAGCTGACCTATCTAGTGTAATATACCTGAGGTGGTAACATCCATGGCTCTAAGACAGACGCACAGCCACAGTAGGGCAGGCAGATCCTGTCCGTTACTGAGGAAGTATATCTTGTCGCACACGAGAGCTTCAGCCTCTGACGGGAGAGGGATGGCGGGGGTTGAAGCCAGTAGATGCTCAGACTCTGCAGCGATGTACGACTGGAAGAAGTGGAATAAGAGCGAGACGATTAAAAGTCACATAATTTGTGCTGTTTGAGGAACTAAGGCGCAAAGACTGTTGTTTCTGTGTACTATGATCAAATTTTGTGGTCGGCGTTTAGCTCTCATGAAATGGCCACAGAGAAAAACTTACTCTTCTGATGTTGTATGTGATGGGTGACGACGCAAACCCCACTCTAACTCCCCTTAGATCCTGAAAAACAAGTAAACACTCGTAGACCAACGGAGCAAAAATATTCCACAATACACTGAATGTACCTCATTCTCTGTGAAAAGAGTCTTTATAATGGCCAGCTTTCCCCCCTGAAGAAAGAACGTTTGTGACATCATACATGTGTGTATAATGGTTAAAGTGTACTGCCTTCCTGTTGCATTGAGAAGAGGCTCCTACAATACCAACTGCCTTCCTGTTGCACTGAGAAGAGGCTCCTACAATACTAATATATACTAGTAATAGTAATGCTCAAGTTCAGCAGCAACTCGCTATCTGTTTCCCCAAAATAAACGTCTATATAATTGTTGTAAAAATAACATTACACGATCACACAACGCAACACGTTCAAAATGCATGTCAACAGAAATGTTAAACTTACTTGCCCCTCAATGATCTTGGCCAATCCTCCGAGATAGATGTCTCCCTTTACTCTGGACACTAGGAGCAGCTGTCTACTGACCACACAGAGACGACCGCAGGACCGAGTGTGCCACGCCTCCAGTTCCCGTCTCTGTTCCATGCCACCGACAAGTGGAACGGAGTCGAGGTTTGGCGGGGGGAACGAAAGAGCCGCCAGCAGACAGAGATTCCCAACTTGGGCCTGGACAGAGACAAATAATCACAACAGGGAAAGTTTTAGTGACGGACACTCCAAATAAAAAACACCTCCCTATAAGAAGGATGGGCTACCATCACGTGTAGATATTATGTAAACTCACATATTTCACAGCGTGAGAGGCAGTGAAGGAGACCTTGAACCTGTGGCTCCAGTACATGTAGCTGGCCAGGAGGAGGTAGAACTGGCCACAGAGTTCCCTCAGAGCCACACGATGAACTGGATTGACGTGCGGGTGTTGGGCCTTCAGGGCTTGCAACGCTGCAAACAACACCTTGTCGTACCTAGAGGGGGGGAGAGGGAGGGAGAGAGAGAGAGAAATGAGAACGAAAGATTAACATGCTCAACATAATGATGGGGGAAAGCTCCTAAGCTGGAAAAAAGCTGCCAGATTCTTTCAGAAACAAAACACACGTCCAACCATTTAAACCCCAGAACAGTGCTAAAACAATATTTACGCCGACACAAGTTCCCCATTCAAAAGCCTCAATTCTCTACGGACCACTCAAGATGAATCCAAGATCCACGTGGACTTACTTGAGTAAGACAGACGCCATGAGCGAGCCAGATGCCCGCGAAGTGTGGAAGAGGAGGGACAGGTGATCCAGTACCGCGACGAGCACGCGACACTGTGCATCGTAGTCCTGCACTGACTCCCCCTTTACTGCAGCATAGTGGTGCTACAGCAGAGACAAAAGATATGTATGGGCATCTGAGATATTCCGGGCAAATCTCACCCCCTAAATTTTGCCTCTCTTGAATTAAACATTAATTGATGGTAAAACTCTAAGAGACTACTAGGGTGTGTTTGTGGACTTCTTGTGCCTTCAAGATACACAGAGCAAGCGGACCCGGTCGAGGTAAGCTAATTGCTAGAAGCATACAGGGCTGAAAGAGGTTCATGTATATTATACCTCTGCTACGTGAAGAGTACAAGTCAACCACTCTTTGCTGTCCGTGAAGAGTTTCCTCTCTCTCTGAGACAGACAGTGACCCAAGGCTTTCTCTGACTCACCTACAACACCCGGAGTAGAGGTAAGAGGGAAACAAACTTTAAACAGGTTTCAATTTCAAAGTATGTTAGTAAGGGCACCATGTATACCATATATAGAGCTACATCAGTTTCAATTTCAAAGTGAGTTAGTAAGGGCACCATGTATACCATATATAGAGCTACATCAGTTTCAATTTCGGTAATTGTGTTAGTGAGTCAGTTAATAGAGTCTTTGATGCAGTAGTGAAGACAGTATATAGAAGTTTACACAGACCTGAAGAGTTGTAGTGGTTGACTAAGTGAATGTGGGCTGCTACATCATCCTTACACCGAGACTAGGAGGCACAAAGAGAGAAATCAGTAACGAGAGGTACATATATATATATAGCACAGGGTTGGAGTGGCTTACCAACTGTTGTTCGGCAAGCTTCGTGGCTAAATCTGGATCACTACCTCCCTGAATGGTACTCATCTTCTCCTGTGAGTCATCAAACACACTTTACTACTGAATCAGTGACAAGCTGAGAAAACTCGTGGATAGTTTTATTTCTTACAGAACTTACAGTGAGAGAGAGAACCAGAGAGTGTACGTTGCTGTAGCCCTCAATCCTCTCAAGAGAGGACTGGGATCAGAACAAGTTGTCAATGGACGACGGGTTTTCCTGACAGTTTGCACATACCTTCAGTGCTTCAGGAGTGGGATTTTCAATCTTGCAGTACAACTTTGCCACTATATAAAGGGTTGGAAAAAGGGTGGAATGGAATAGACAATGAAAACTGTATGTCTCAACAACTTGGTAACGAGGTAGAAAGGCAAGGCAAACAAGTCAACTACACCCAGGAGAGCTCCTTCTTTTCAAAGAATACGAACACTGTAGCTAACCTGATATAGCCACCTCTCTCTGATCTTCCCTCAACACCAGAGACCTGTTTGTACAAAAGGCAAATGGCAACCTTACATCACCCTCTCACAACTGCACATCATTTGACATACACCTACCTACAGTAATATAAACAAGGTCTGAGCAAAGACAAGGCACACAAAAGCAAACTACACTCTTTGTGGCATAGAAAAGCCACAAGCAGCCCTACTCTCTACTCCACCTTGATGTTGAACTTACACGACAGACACACACATGCAGTACGTACCTGTTGTAATGAACAACTGCCTTCTCGAGGAGACCCTCTCTCTCACATGCCTGACCCATCAACTTGTGGGCTCTGAGACACGTGAGACGATGAACTGAATTCACAACACACTAGCAATAAACCTTACCTGGAATCCTTCCCTTGTACTGACAAGTAGTCCTGGAGATAGCTGTAAGGTATGTTCGACATTTCACTCAAAAATTTGGTGGTTCAATATCAATTTTTTTAGCCCGCCTCACCGAATGGCATCCTGGTATTTTTTGACCTCCACGCACAGTCTGGCAAACTCATAGCCATGGTGAGCTCTCTGTAACGGAGGAGGCACATTTAACCCCTTAGAAACGGTAGGTAGACAGCGTAAATGATTAGAATAGTGTGCATACTAACTGTATGTATACACGGGAGCTGACCTCTTGTGCACTTGATAGTCGCTTCTGGATGCCTGCTATGTGCTTCTCGACTTGCTCCTTCGAGAGACCCATAAAGCTGGCCAGGCCCCCGCCCTCGCCTCAGCGCGCTCACGTGCAAAGGTTACTCCAAATAGAGCCCACTCGTCGCTGCGTATTTTCCGGGCTGCAGACACGCCGAAAAGGACTCCTGCATGCACACGCGGCGGAGGTCTCAATTGCTGGAAGGAGATCCCCAATTCCAGTGTCCACGATCGGCCAAAAGCGGTTTGCACCGCTCACAATTTTTCCCGTTACAACAATTCAAGGGCTAAGGGGTTAAACGATAAAACCTGACCTTTGACCCGAAGCAAATGGCGTTTACTAGTATCCAAAGACTCTGCGCCTCTTACCTCGTCCAGAGGGCTACTCTTAGCACTGGACGCTGGTCTCTATATAATGGACCCCTTCACTCTCTATTCAGCGGAATTATGTCCCCGCGAATTGCACCCCCGGCGTCGGTGAGAGGCTATAAAGACAGATCTTCGCTGAGGCTGCTCTGCTCAGGCTGTCGGTTCGTGAGACGGAAAGCACGGCTGAGGGTTGTTTGCTCCAAAAAGCCGCGTCACAAACAGAGACAAGCTTGATTGATAATAAACACAACCAACTTGTATGTAATGTTTCATCATAATTATCATCAACAAAAAGTTACAAACATCAAATATTATGAACAATAAGGAACTGTGTTTGTTGAGTGTATCATTTCATCCTATGTGATCAGACAGAGTGTGTGAGGTGAGACTTAGATTCTTGGTGCCGTCGTCGGTACTGGGAGTCCGGACTCTAGCCGCTCGATCTTCTCGAAGTGTTTTCTGGCATTTCTGATGTTCACCAGTGTAGCTGCGGACGCTGCGGGGAAGGAAGCGCGGAAAATTGAGTTCGAGATGAGATTTGTCTCAGAGGATATTACGACAACTCACGTATGGTGGGGTCGGACATTATGACCATGACGTATGTGTTGGGGGTGAAGAAATCGATGAACGCCGCAAAACATGAGTTGCGAACTTCCATGCTCTGAAACTGTGCCTGTAGTTTGCTGTGGATACAACGCACAGCGATTACACTGATTACGTAACTGTCACATGACCCTATTGTCTATGTGCACGTGACACACCTGCAGCTCAGTTTGAACTGTTTGACAATGTTGCTTATCTTCTCGAAGCGATGGATGTCTGTGTGCGGTCTCTTCACTGAGTGGGCTATCACCTACACACAGACAATATCCTTACATTCTGCACAAGAAATATGTGTCTGTCATGCATTGAAAAGCTCTAGCGGTTGTCACTGTACCACACTGTCATAGTAAAACTCACTAGAACATGCTAGAAGTGCTGTGTGTACTTATACAAGTGCTGTTGTGGTCACACTCACTAGGAAAGTGGCTCGCTCAAAGAGAAGCACTTCGTCTGCATCGAGGATTGTGGCAAAGTTACTGAGACTGGACTCTAGCTGATGGACATTTGGTATCAGTAGGTGAACAATGTTTGACCATGCCTATGGGAGAGACGAGAGAGAGAGTGTGCGTGTGGTATGCTAACAGGTGAAGATCCCACACTTGCCTTGTAGAGGGTTTCGTCCCATATTGATGTCTTGAAGCAGGTACACTCTAGAGGTAGGGACCGCTTCATCAGCTCTGCCTCACGCTTGTCAAATATCTGACGAAATAGAGAGAAGACCTCTGTGTGTGTGGCAGTAGACGGTGGGGAGAACTAAACTCACCATTTTCCGCTGGTCTTCTGGGATTAGGTCCATCTTGTGGATCAGACAGAACACCTTTGCACCAGGAGAATTCTATACAAAGACAGAAAGTTACATTGCCAAAATAAGACTTACGGTAACTCAGGCAAAATGATAGGGTGGGGAGTAAACAGGAATCCCCAAATTTACACACACATAAGGAGAGAGAGGAGTGGTTTAGATAATGTGTACACACCTGAAGAATGGCCTCTAGACATGACTGGTAGTAGTGCATGTCCTTCTCCACCTCTCTACTCTCAACATCAAAGACATATATGAGGACCTCCACATTCCGAAACACATTGTCTCGCTGAGTCGTAAAGTAGTTCTCCATAAAGATCTCCTGCCTGTGAATCAAACATACGACGGCCATTACACCCCCTACCGCAGCGATTTCAGTTCCCAAAATGAACAAACAATACTTACCCTCCACAGTCCCACAGGTTGAGGACGAGGTTGCCGAGGAAACGGACGTGGGAATGCTCCACATCAACTGCAATCAGAGAATAAAATGAACTCATATCTTCTCCAGCCCCAGCTGCTGTAGAGAGAGACGTGCTCACTTGTTGCTCCTAGTCTCCGCGTGTCTCTGGCGATGTAGTTGGCGAATATGATGGAGCGCATACTGGTCTTCCCCGACCCGCTCTTTCCCATTAGGAGGACCTGCGGACGGGTCCCGACATCCACACATCGTTTTACCTAGTCCACGGCTCTACGTACCTTCTTCTTCATGGTTTGTGCCCCAGTCTTCTGCTCCCCTACTGTGCGCTGTTTCTCTCCCCCTTCGATCCCGAATCATGTGACCAGCTCCAAAGGTTCACGTCGGCAAAGGTCAAACGTACTCATTCTCCTCGCGAGTGATGTACCCTCATCACGCACGCGCGCCGATTAATTACCATAATCACTTAGCTCTCATGGATTCAGGATTGGGTGAGCGTGTGGTGCTCCAATATTTAGTGCACAAAAACATCGTCACAAAACACACTATATACACAGGCACACACACACACACTAGGAGGACATTGAAAGAGGGGGTCTGGATGTCTGAACTAAATCTCTGGGAAGAGCATTCATCTTGATTCGTGGTCCGTCGTCTTCACGACAGACGGCAGGAGTAGTGTCAGCGCCACCGTCTTCAGCTGTCACCAGAACAATGCCTGGAGTCCTCTCAGTCGCTTCATGGAGCTCCTGAATCTCTCCTATAATATATACAATTACCCCATCACATTGAACATTGAGAGCTTCAACTACACTGCCCAAATTTATTGTTTTTCCAACAGTGTTAGGGTTTTTATAGGTGAAAAATATGAGTGTTAGCGTTAGAAATCAGAACGAACAAGGTTGGTTTTTAAAAAAATCGGATTCACGAAATTTGTGTCCTGTTATGCATCATGGTGGTATGATTAAATAGCGATGAGCAGTTTTCTAACCAGGTAGTTGTAGTGAAGCGAGCGCCGCCACGAGCTTGAAGTCCAAACGAACGGGCGGAGCCTCGTGCGACTGCTCCCAGCCAACTGGAGGAGAGGCTGGGGGAGAAAGAAGAAACATTTTGTGTCTTTTCAGGTAGCTCGAGCCACTGAGAGCCTATCGTGACTGCCTAGAGTGAGAGAGCAAGAAGTTAGTGTGAGAGAGTGAGAGGAAGAGAAGGTGTCAAATGCATTCGGTGACTAACAGTAATTCGTCTTAGTTGAAGGGTGCTCCCATGAAACTCTTTTCCTCTGAGGTTAGCCCAGGCAGTGGAACACTGCTCGGGGTCTGGATAAATAACACGCACTCGGCCAAAGCTCTTTAGGTACATGAATGAAACTTCCTCCCCATACGACCTGAAAACGCTCTCGAATTCGGGCTGTGAAATAAAGGAACGAGAAGACGTAAGTACTTAGACAAGCGTAAAATATACTGACTTACTCTAATGGACACCTCCGGGTCAGTCTCAAACACGGAAAGTGGAAGTCTGACCACGTAGAACGAAGAATCTCTCCGTGTCTCCATTTTCTCTACTGAACGCACGGCGGCGGATGGTGGTCCACCCACAAGAGGTGTGGTCGCCCCGCCCACCTACGCTGCGATTACGGGATAATTTACGGCCTACTTGAAGCAGGTCTGCGGGCGAATGCTTCCCGCGCGCCATGCATCGCGCGCGCGGCTCCGACATATTATGACGACACGTACGTGTGTACGTGTGTGGGGCTAAGCGCGGGCAGATTCAGCAAACTGCGCATATGCACGGCACGTATACAAATCATGTATGCAGACGCAGCAAAGTCTAGCTGAACTTGGCTTTTGAGAAGTCCATTTCCGGGTGCTGCTCCATGAACCTGAGGGGACACCAAAAAAAACGGCTAAATTCATACAGAAAAATATTGCACGATTTACTTCTTCAAAACATCTTGCTTCTTCTGGTCCTCAGAGGTAGGTAGACCCATCTGTATATATGGACAGAGAAACCACACTATGTCTCTAACTGAAAACTAAAGGGAAAAAACACAATGGCACCAAAGTAATTGGTATCATGGTACTTTGTGGGGAATAATTTTGCAGCTGAGGAATTACTGGCAAAATAAAAATGTGCAAAATTTTCCCAGCATGTGGAATATACTTTTGAGCATAGTATAATGATCTCACACCTCTTTCTGCCTTTGGTCATACATCATCTTCTCCACCATCCCTCTCGTCTCTCCGTCCAAATCTGACAACTGTTGAGAGCCAGTGACAGGCTATTTAGAACAGTTTCTCTCTCTCCTAACCTTGGAGTTCTCTGGCTGCACTTTCTTGGTATTGACCTCTGGATCTGTTGTGACAATCCTACTCCACCACTCCATACGATTGATCTAGGGGAAGGAAGATAGGAGAGTGTATAGATTCGCTGGAGCATTTTACCTTTTCCAGATGAACAATGATCAGCTTTCTGTCCTCTATTGTCCAGAAACACTCTTCAACCTTCACCTGAACCTCAGACATGATCCGTTGACTGGAAAAAAACAGCAAGCCTCACATTACCTTATTGTACAGTGCTCCATCTATGATCGGTTCATGACCCTTTAGCCCAACCTTCAGATGCTGAGAATCAATACACAAATATGACTATATAAAGTGTTTCACAACCACAAATTCCTGCACCTTTGGTTGAAAATCCACCACAACATCTCGACCCTTGATGGGAAAAGTAACGCCAGATGGTACCCTCACCTCTGCTTCTTGAAGCGTCTAAAAGTTTGCCATGTTAAAAATGTTCTCTAGTTTTTTTTTAGGGGTGACCTGGGTCCAGGTGTAATTAGGGAGATCTCCTCCATTTCCAGAATTTGGCTTCAGCTTTCCCTTCGCATCTTCATCTTCTTCCTCCTCGGAATCGTCCTTAACTTTGCTCGATTTCTGAAGTGTGTGTATACATGGTCTTCATCAATAGTAGGTTTTTCTTCAACTCACATTTTCTTTAGCGTCAGTTGCATTTTCCTGAGTGGATGAGGGCGTGGCAGGCGTGGCACTGGGTCCATCGGGCGGAGAAGTAGGCGGAGCTGATTTTTCAGATTTCTCTCTCTCGATTTCTGCGGCCTCTTCGTCTGTCACCTACCAATACAGCAATAGATACGACTGGGAGGGGCTCTGCTGCATACCTCCATGATCCCAGGTTGTGCATCTGTGGTTGTTCTGATGGAGGCCGCCTTCTCCTTTCTCTTCTTCTCCTCCTTCTCCCTCTCCTTCCTCTCCTTCTCCCTCTCCTTCTCTCTCTTTGCCTGAGAACGGATACATGTTAGTGGTCTTCAGACATCTGCGACTTGCCTTTAGGGCTAGTGCTTCATTCTTGCGAAATGCTTCCAGTACAACCTGCAGAAAGGCGAAGTATAGACTCAATTTGATGTGGTAAACGTTAGGCTCACTTTCTCCGCCTCTCCTCTGTTCACTCCAGTGTAGAAATCAGTCTTCCTCCGCAGAAACCCGAAGAAAGTGTGCAGGAGCTGCAACGACATCGAAACGTGCAACATCTCCAAATACAGCGCACCTTCCGCACGACCCGTCCTCGCTTGCGCAGGGATCCCAGACCGTTCCTTGCTCACCTCTTTGATACCTCCCTCCGTGTGCTCCTCGGCCAGTCGCAGCAAAAGGCCGTCGAAGCGATCCTCTGCTTCAGAAGCCATGAGGACGCTCTGCCAATCGAGATTACGTATCAGTTTACGGCTCCACCTATTGAGATTACGAATTAGTTTACGGAGAATATCCACGAGAAGTCGTCTCCACAGGCCCGAACTAGCGCAGTCAGAGCTCGTTCCCTGCCCGTAGCTGCACATCGGCACTGCCAGAGCTAGCTGATCGACCAGGCCCCGTCTCTCCTCCAGCGTTCATGGTCCGGTAGGTAAGAATTTTGATAGCTACTGGCTAGCTAGCTGGGTAACTTGCACTGCTAGCGAGCCAGCTGGGTGGGTGTGGGGGCGAGCGGGAATTCATTGCAGATGGTTTGCCTGAGAACCAACTAGTCCAACGTTCCATCTACCAAAATCCAGATTCGTTTTGCAGAAGCCTTTCATTAGCTAGTATGCCATAGGGCTCTTTCCATTTGCGTATACTTGTCTACATAATCCAGCTTTTGCAAACACGTTTCTTCTATAGGCCTTTGTGTAATAGTACACCTTATTTGTGTAGCTATTCAATTATCTACGCTTCCTCTTACAGCAACTCTTGGCTACATACATAATTTTTTCTCTCCCAAATAGGGTCATCAATTTGTAACGATGGCGTCTATAAGGAAACACTACCGCGAGCCAGCCCCACTGCATTACCCCTTCGCAGCACCCGTGGGTATGAAGGTCTACTGCTGGGTTGGGTCTCCAGATCCGAAACAGAAACAGCTCAAGGTCGACGTGTTTGACCCGATTCGGGAGTCGTGGAAACAGCTGGATTCACGCGGCGACTGCCCCGTGAATGGGAACGGTACCTGCGCGGTTGCCGTCGGGAACGACATGTACATCTTCGCGGGGTCCGATTCAGACGGTCTTCACAAACTGGACACGGTCACGATGCGGTGGACGTACATCAATCCCCGAGGGGTCGTGCGGCCGACCCCCCGTGGCGGGGGGAGGTTGATAGGAATTCAGGGGAACCGACTGGTCCTGTTTGCCGGGTACGTCCATAAGGTAGTGAAGAAAAACAAGAACCCGTTGAAGAAAAACACGACGACCGGCGGAATCTGCGACCAGTTTCACATCTTCCACATTGACAAAGGTCAGAGCTCTGCGTTGTGCTACTTGGCTTGACTTCTCTACCACCCCAATTATCCACATTCTCTCCCGCTGTGTAAAAGCACTTAAAAGTAAGATCGAACCTTGAAAAAACTTACATGAATGTTTCCTATGCAAAACCACATACTACTACGTTCAGATGAAGTCCTAATCAATGTGGTATGATAGATAGCCACTCTACATTCTTTGTTTTCCGAACAACCTGGGGGAAAGGAAATGGCGATAAAACTGTAGTGGGTCTAGCGATATTTGTAATTTGCTAGCTGTAAAATTTTAAGCCACTCCATTTTCCCTGCTTCACTTTCTTCACTTTCCTATATTTTTCTTCCCCAGGGGAGTGGACAGCTCCTGCCTGCTACGGGGACATCCCCTCCGCTCGCTCCAACTTTGTCATGGTTCCCGTGGACGTGAAGAGAGCGGTCGTGTTTGGAGGCAACGCCAGGGGTAACGGACGAGCAGACGACCTGTTCATCATCCACTGGGACAGCCTGGTACGATCTCTCTCTCTGTTTGTTTTTCATTTGAGTAGTAGAAACACGCGTCGTGTTTATAGAGATGTTCAATAAACTAATTGTTACCACCAGCTGTGAAACTGTGTTGTGGTGTCCTTATTAGAGCCAAACACAACCCCCATAATTATCACTACTACCTGGTCCTATATGAAACTTGATCTACCTCGTCAATCTTCCCGCTCACCCTCACTTGTCCCAGTTGTGGACGAGGATCCCCAAGACTGGTTCATGGCCCAAAGGTCGCAAAGCGCACGGGGCCTGCTGCATCAACTATGACAAACCCAACCCCCTCCTCCTGATGGTTGGCGGAATGGACAGGGAAGAGGCCCGCATGAGAGACATGTGGTTACTGAATGTCAACCAATGTCGCTGGACTCAGGTCAGTCACATGTGTGTGGAGGCAGATCATGTGACTCTCACGTGATCTCTGCAGCTGCCGGACCTGCCACACCCCCCTCGGAATGGTCACATGATGATAGCGTTTCCTCTCTCTGACAAACTTGTGGAGGTCACCTTATTTGGTGGGGAGAGTGCACATGGGAAAAAGCTGTCACACACTTGTATCCTTCGCTTCGGTGAGTCTAGTTTATATATACCATTTTGGGAGAAAATGGAGGACCGAGAATTGTAAATTCCGGGGTTTGGGGGAGGGGAGAAACTGCATTCCTTGCCGAAATAAATTATCTGAGTTTGTAAGTCACTAACTTTTCAGGTAGCAAATGAGATAACTTGTGCAAATTAATCTATTAAAGTCTGAATCGATCATCTCTCTCTCTCTCTCTCTCCCCCTGTCTCTCTCTCTCTGCATAGAGTGTGAGACAGAAGAGGACACGTGGGCCTTGGTGAACATCATCGAGCCAGCGGACGTGGGTCGACCGATTGAGAGAGTCCAGGAGAAGATGGAGAGCCTGGGGCTTCTCCCGAGCAGTTCGCAGTCGGCGAGCAGTTCGCAGTCGCCGACCAGCAATGAGCTGAAGGGCCAGCCTCTGCCAGGCGGGGAGCTGTCTGCGCAGCACAGCAACGGAGAGCCTCAGAAATGTATCCTATTTTTGTCTTTCGGATTAAGAAATTAAGCTTTGTCGTCGTAATTGATTTTCACTCTGAAGCGTGAACAAGGCTAGGGAATTTCTTATGAATTCTAATTGGTGTTTTTGTGTTGTGTCAACTTTCAAACGTAATTTTTTGCTCTCTTCCTATGTAAACATAATGCAGTGGTTCGCCAGGAAACGTCTTTGAATGGAGAGGTAAGCACACATACTTTTTTACTTAGTCTATTAACTAATTCTGTTTTCACTTTCAGGGGGGTTTGGGCCATCTCTCCGCTCGCTCGAAACGGAGTTACATCATCGATCTCGAGGAACTAGAATTCGGGAGGCAGCTCGGCGAGGGAGCGTACGGCACTGTCTACGCGGGGAAATGGAAACCGAAATCAAACGTCGAAGTTGCGATCAAGAAATGCTTCAACAAACCGTTTGACGCCGAGATTCTGAGCGTTCTTCCACGCCACCCAAATGTCGTTTTCTTCTACGCTACGTCGACTTCCGAAGACGCCACTTTCATAGTGACGGAGCTTGTCACCGAAGGTTCTCTGTACGACTTCATCCACACTGACAACAAAGATTTCGACGATCTCCAGGCGATCTCCTGGGCCAAGCAGATTGGCTACGGCATGGAACATCTTCACGGTCATCACATCGTTCACCGCGACCTCAAATCGGGCAACGTTCTCATTTCCTCCGACATGGAAATGAAGGTGTGTGATTTCGGAACGGCTCGCGCGGTGGTTGACACGTGCGAGCAGTCCACGGTACGTGGCACCTATCGCTGGATGGCCCCCGAGATCATGAAGGAAGACGACGCAATCATAGACAAGAACTGCGACGTTTTCTCCTACGGTTGCGTCCTCTACGAACTATTTGAGCGAAAGCTGCCGTACCACAAGGAAAAGAACAGCGTGTTTTTGGCCATGAAAGTCTTGGATGGCCTCAGACCGGAAATTTCTGGGGATGCCAGTATCCCCGAGTTTCTGAAGGACCTAATGGAGGCATGTTGGGAGGAAAATGCCCAGAAGAGGCCTTCGTTCGAAGATTGCATCACAGCACTCAGAATGAAGTCCTTCCACCGATAACTCCATAAACCGAACCGGTTGGGCTGAAAAACTTTTTGTAAGAAAGTACGATATGGCTGTTGATATATAAAAGTTTCCAGTCTTTGTGTAAACTTGTACAGTTATGTGTTTTAAACACAATACTTTTATATATAATTAGGTAACAGTTTATTAGTAGATGGTGTTATGATAGAGATATATGCTCAGTTGAATAAATGCGAACGAAGCCGTCGCGACAGCTGGTGTAAATCTTGTCACCACGGAGACAGATGTTGGTCACATGATCAATATCAGGTCCAGTCAGTTTGGAGACTGGCGTGAAAAGATTGTCACACCTCCACACCAGAACTGACCCATCAGCTGCAGGCAAAAGAGACGAAACAGCCCTAGAATAGTAAAATCAACTTAGCCATAACTACACATTTTTTACAGATATATATATAATGTAAGTGAAAGACATGACAAACCATCCATCCTGTATATAGCAGTGTAATGGCCGTAAGGTGGTGTAGCTATCACTATATTTCACCTCCGTCTCACGGTCCCTTCACAACGGTCAGAGTTTCTTACCGTATCCGGCAATGCAGCTCTGAGTGTTGAAGACAGACAGGCTGGTGATGGCGGACGATGCATGGTACAGCTGTAGGGCCTGTTCGGGCATACGAATGTCCAGTTGCGTGACAAGTCCATCATCACATCCACACACCAGGTCAAACTCGGACACAAATACGCACGACTGAGGACAGCTATCGCCGCAAGACAACTGAAACACCTGAGACCAATGGAGAGAGAATGGAGTTTTCGAAACCCATCTAATCTCAAAACCAATGGGATAGAAGAAAGTGTCCTTAAATATTAGTATGGCGTATTTATTGAGGGTTTAAAATTGTCATTTAAGAGGGGTGTCCTTAGAGAAGGGTTCAACTGAAGGTTTTGACGTGTAGCTCACCGATTTTCTACTTCTAACGTCCACTCCTCTCAGGTACCGGTCTCCACAGGCTAGAGCTAGGAGTTTGTCGTTTGTCCCACACTCTGGGTCTGTGTGTGTGTGTGGGTGCATGCGTGTGTGTATATGTGAGAGAGACAGGCTCAAGGTTCTTCCTACCAAGTGGTGGCGAGGGATCTCTCTGAGCATGCGTGCATGTGGGTGTGTGCGTGTGTATGTGAGAGAGACAGGCTCAAGGTTCTTCCTACCAAGTGGTAGCGAGGGGTTTCTCTGAGCCACGACTTCGCTGGCAGAGAGAGAGCAACTGTTGATTGGCTGCCGGATGGATGTCAGTTTGTCAAGACATCGAGCCGTCCCGCAGTCCCATAGTCTAGCTGTACCGTCACGCGACACAGCTGAGAGGAAGAGGAAGAGTAGCACTGGGGAGTTTGGTTCTTCTACTTACACACAATGTTTCTTCCCTTGTCGATGATGGCTGTGTCGCTAACGCCTGTAATGAGATTGAAGTAGTAAGACTCACACTCCACCACTGATCTGAGAACTTAAACTTTGACACACGACCAAATAATTTGCAGGACTGTTTTGAGTACTACTAAATATGCGTATGAAGTGTGATTGACCCCCTAGATGATAGAATTCAGACCCCCCAGAACTGACCCCCGGTGTGTCCCACGAGGGTCCGGTGGCAGGAGCCATCCTGTGCGGACCAAATCTTCAATCTCATGTCGACCCCTCCGGTTAGGATGACGACCCCCGAGGGGAAGAAACGACACGTCTCAACATCCATCACGTGACCTTTCAACTCTCTCTAAGGGGATAATTCACAATGTGTCAATTGTTTAAGGGTTAATTTTCTTACAAATATCAAGTGTATGGTTTTACTTCACAAATGTGCCAATTGTGCAAGGGTACCGTACGCACATAATACCAGTGGTGAAGGGGTTAATTGATAACGTGTGGGGGTGTGGTGCTATACCCTGGTTTCTCCATTGTCTGGGTCCCATACCCATGCCTTCCCGTTCTCAGACACACATACACCCAGACCACCACTCCCCGATATGTCCATACCAGTCAACTAAAACAATAGAAGAGAATAATAGCACAGCAGACAGAAAAATGATCAAAAGTGGAAACCTTTTTCTGATGTAAGTGGAGCGTTTTCACTGGTCGGATGAACGTAGTTTTGCACCCACCGTCGGTATAGTTACATTGTACCGTCACCGAGTCCTATATAGAGGAAGGAGGAAGGGGGGTTGGGGGCCACCAACTCTTACACCGACTGTATATACTTATTTACTGGTGTGGCGTAAGTGACTGTGAATTTGTCGTCGACTGATTCAATGGTGTCTCCATTTCTCCTCAGGTGACCGTGTACTGTCTGACTGCCTGGTCTCTTGCAAGACACCCAGAATTGCCCCGCCTCCCTGAATAGGGGTTGCAAACACATGGTCGAATTTTTGCCTTTATGCTAGTTTAGTTAGCTACACAGCTAGTCCTACGCTTACCTCGCTGCTGCTTCGTTCCAGTCGCATTGCACGTTCATACACGAGCATCTAAGAAGTTTATTCTCCGCCATTCTTATACCTCCGTAAACTCCAGGTGCGCGGAGGAAAACGGTTTCCACGTGGGTCTTCTTTACTCCATCAAGAGCGCACCATCACCCCAGAGAGAAAACGAGAGAGAAACCATGTCTTCCGAGAAGCCGCCGTTCCTGGTCCTCTCCCCGGCTCTCCAGACGTACGCCTGGGGCAAGAGGGGGTCGCAGAGCGAGGCGTGCAGCCTAAAAGCAAGCGCTGACCCTGATTTTGTGATCGACGCAAACCAAACTTACGCTGAGGTAAGTAAAATTATGCCCCGTCCTGTCTCTATGAAATGTTATAGACTCTCTTCGTCCCTCGCTCCTACAGTTGTGGATGGGAACGCATAAAAAGGGTCCTTCGGTAATCAGGCACCCTCAACCTCTTGCCGGAACGCTCCTCTCTGATTGGCTGAAAATGAACCAATGGGCTCTCGGGGAGGTGGTTGCCACGGAATTTGGCGGGGAGCTCCCGTTCCTCTTCAAGGTCCTGTCGGTGAACCAGGCACTGTCGATCCAGGCTCACCCGGACAAGACACGAGCCGGCGAGCTTCACTCACGAGCTCCCGACAAGTACCCAGACGCAAACCACAAACCCGAGATGGTCATCGCTCTGCGTGAGTTCGAGGGGATGTGCGGATTTCGACCGTTTTCGGAAATACAGTCGTGGGTCGTGGCTGTACCGGAACTACAACAGGTGTGTGTGTATAACATGAGAGTAAAACCCTTTAATTAGTGTCTTATAATCCGTAGAAATTATACTTGTCTCTGCATCAAATTTGCTGCTTTTGGTAGTTAATCATTAGAGGTGATGTCATCATCAGTGTTCTGTGGGTGGCTTTGTGAATCTCTTTCCTCAAGGTTTTGGGTGACAAGGTGACGGAGGCAGTGGCTACTCTTGGGGAAGATGCCTCCCCAGAGGACCAGCTCTCGGTGCTCCGACTGGCTTTCTCCTCGCTCATGTCGGCCGACCCTGTCGCCGTGAGGGGACAGCTGGAAGCCCTGGTCAAGAGGGTCCGAGCTATCTCCTCCAGTTGTAAGTCTGAGCGAAGCAATTTGAGTTGCATTATTCCTTGCCTCATAACTGTGTATATACTAACAGCTCTGAGTCGGGAGGAGCAACTTGTGTGTCAGCTGGACCAGCTCTATCCTGGAGATGTCGGCTGTTTCTGCCTGTTTTTCCTAAACGTGGTCCCGCTCTCCCGCGGTGGATCTCTCTTCCTCCCTGCCAATGAACCTCACTGTTACCTCAGTGGAGGTACGTCAACATTCACTCACCCAACAGAATATGAGCAAATCTGAGTAAAAAAGAACAGAGCCCATTCGTGCCAGGAAGATCCTTTTCCTTAAAAAGAGTTGTCCTAGATTTAGTTGACTTGTTTGCTTTGCCTTTGCCGTGCGACCATGATTGATGATGACATGGCATTTGCGTTAAAACACTACTTCTTCTGTAGTGCTTGAAGTGCAATCCGGATCTGTCCTAAGTATGTGGTCATGTGCGTACTTCCACTCTATTCATTTGTGGCCCAGTCACTAGAAGAGAAGCCTGCGTTTTAATTCGGGCACCATTATGTGGTTCCAGGTCCGTGTTGTTTGTTCACTGCGATCTGTAGTGAGTGGCGCTGCAACCTTTTGCTTGCAATGATCAACAGACAGTCTCTCTCTGGTAGGTGTGCTGGGTCCTTGGACCCTTAGCTCTGTCAGTCATTGCTTGCTCCTCTGTCAACTCCTTAGTCAAACCGACACTCAACAGCATTTATTCCCCAGCTAGCAGAAGACACTGAGATTCCCTGAAACTTACTGCTGCACACCACCGGTATCACCAGCTACTGCAGTATAGTTGTTGACTCTAGCTCTCCATTGGGCCCATAGTTTGGGGGAGGAAAGACTGGAGTGATCCAGTAATTGTCAGGAATGAGATCATCTGGGGTATAGTTCCAGTAAACAACTCAAAAGGGCAGATGTAGCTACCTCACCTGGACTTCCCTTGAAACCTGTTTTTTTGGTCTGAATTCCTGCCTCTTTGACCATGTGTATTGGTATATAACTGGGAGTCAAATTTTGAGGTTGAAAGATTCTATTGTCAGAGACTTTCGTGGTGATGATCATTTTGTACTAATGGAACAAGCAATAATTTTCTCTGTTCAAAAAAAAATCCTTACCAAAAATCCAAACCAAAATTTTCTATCACTCAACATCTATAGTTATGCATAATTATGTCAATTTCCAGATGTGGTGGAGTGCATGGCTTGCAGTGACAATGTTGTAAGAGCCGGCCTGACTCCAAAGTTCAAGGACAAAGACACTCTCTGCGACATGCTGACCTACACCTCCAGCACCCCGGACCGCTTCCGCGTGGCTCCTCAGAAAGACAAACAGAGCGAGTTCTCCGAGATCTACGACCCTCCGATTCCCGAGTTTGCCGTAGCCAGAGTCAGTGTACCGGCTGGAGCAGGCGATTTTAGTCTGCCTCCACTCCAGGGTAAGAATAATTATCACTTGCACGCAATTTTCCGAATTACCTCTGAATGGGCTTTTAAGTACATAAGTCTATGAGGATAATATAATTACGTATTTGCTTCGTACATTATGTTTTAATCAGATTTTTAATGTAGAGACTAATGAGCGTCATCTGAGCTATCAGTCAGTAGTAGTGCCATATCGTCTGTGGTTGCTGATGGTGTAAGAAGTTCCAGAGTAGGCACCCAGAAGACCTAGATGATCATTACCTCCCATTTTCCCAATTTGCATCTTATTCAAATCGGTCCACTTGATCTCCACAGAGCTCATATGCCTGTGGTAAGTCTGTTGGTAGTAGTGTGGAACCAGTGTCTGTATTGGTCTGGCTTTAGAGGCTAAATCTCCTCCATTTTAAGGAGCTGTGTACTGGGTGAGGGACTAGAGACGCTCTCTCTGTCTCTTTGATGTTTCAGAGTACAGGCTTCAGCTATAGTATATGGTCAGGCTTCCTTGGACAAAGTTCCTAGTTATTGAACTTCTGTGCCCTCTACTTTGAATGGAAATGTTCAGAGAAAGAGAGGAGAGAGTGGGGGAAAGGGAGAGGGTAGAAAGATAAGTGGAAGAGAGGGGAAGAAAGGAATAGCCCAGGGCTTCTCTCTTACATTCTGAACTGATGTAGTGATAGAAGGCAAGCTGATAGCCAGTGGGTGGTCTTGCGTGTGCAGTCAGAATGCAGGCCTTTTGTTACACCACATGTTGCTACTTAACAACCTTACAAAACTGGGAACCTGCGTCTTATCTCTCTCTTGATTCTCATGATTCTCATGAGTAGCGGAAGAACTTCTTTTTCCTTGAGAAAAACTGCTTTCCAACATCCTAATAAAGGAAACAGTGGGACCATGAGAATTGTCCCTTACACAGAGATTTCTTCTGAAGTTAACTTAGTTCTGGAGTGCTCTTCTTCTAGAGTGGCCTACTATGTTTAGGGGTTGGACCGAAGTATTAGCACCAGATTGAAGCAAGTATAGAGAAATATCCTTGCTTCGATTAAAATAGGTTTCACTGAAAGTATGCAGAAGCCCTGATAAGCGGAACAGAGGAATCCATCCGCCCAGATTAGGATGTTTCACTGAAAGTGTAATTATCACATGCAGGTCCAAGTATTCTACTGGTAGTAGAAGGAGAAGCTAGTCTGTCAGCTGGTGAGCTGAGCTATGATGCCAGAAGAGGCGTTGTTTTGTTTGTCTCTGCACAAACTGAAGTGAAATTTTCTCCTGTGGACAGAGATCAGCAGATTCTCATGTACAGAGCGTACTGCCAACTGCAGAGTTGAAATCATCCTTCCAAACTGTTTTGCATTAGTGTGAGAATCATGTCTGGGACACTTTTTAAGCTATTGTGATAGTGTATGTTCTAATAAAATTATCCCCTTGAGTTTACTATTGGACAGTGTGTAAGTTGTTTCACCTAATTTCCAGAAGCCCTGAAAGCAGAGCAGGGGAATCAGATTAGGATGTTTTTGACTGAGAGGCCTGGAGTAGGCCCACGTGTTTTCTTAGCCAACAGCTGAGCCCCACAGGAAGAAGCCTCCACTGCATATATACTCCACCTTCCTCTGTAGCTGGGGGAGTAGGAAAGATAAGGCTTCTTCTTGGGAAATCACTTTCTCTAAGGTCCCTGGCATATTAATTGCGGCTTTAGCTGCGCACAAAATTTAGTGCTCTGAAGTAAAATGAGTATAATACTTTAGCGATGTAGTTAATGTGTTGGTAATGCCTTACGTGATCGTGTGGGTCAATAGTATAAGTATACTGCTTGCTTGCGCTGATTCATATGTAGCTTGCAAACACAATTTAAAAAAGTACCAAAACACAAAAGGGGGACACACAGTAGCAATAAGTGCAGAAGTGAAGGGCATGGTGTGGAAGAATTGAATGAAAAAATAGATTGGTTTTCAAGAATAGTCACACTCAGAAAATCGGAATGAACCATTTATGTCAAAAAAAGAAGTAAAAACGCAGCCACGGCTGACAAAAAGATAAATTTTGAGGATTTTAGTTCTAAAGCCAGTGACGTCAATGTCGGTTGATCAGTGGTGCCATCAATTTTGTCAGTTCCATTGCTACTACTAACCCCAATTTCAGGGGAAGATGGTTTAACTTCAGGAAGAACTGGTTTATCTTCGGGGAGAGATGGTTTATCTTCAGAGAGAACTGGTTTATCGTTGGGGATAGACTCAGCGATAGACGGCTTATCTTCCCCAATTTCTGTGATTGGGGGCGTGTCTGATGAGGGGGTGGAGTCACTAGTCGTGTTGGGGTCGGAGATGATGTCGTACACCGTATACCCGTCTTCCTCCACCCCCGGAGTCTCCTCCGGCTCCGTCGTGTTTCGGGGTGCGGAGTAAGGTGTCTGGGTATCCACTCCAGACCCCAGCGTTGACTCCTCTACTCTAATCTCGCTGTCTCCATCTTCCATGTCGCGCAGACCATCGTCTGCCGATCCTCCGCTACTGAGACCACTCCCACTGCTCCGCCCACTCCCCGTCCCCTCCAATTCGCCCTCCCCACTCCCACTACCACTACCGCTGACGACGTCATCTTCCTCTCTCTCACAGATATAGAACGGAGCAGTCGTACAATCTTCGTCGTCCAGGCACAACACGAGGTCGAGGGTTTCGTTGAGTTCAGCGGTGATCATCGAGAGTTCCATGCAGAGATCTGTGAACTGGTTGAGGTAGGGTTGGTGGGCACTGTGCCTGAACTCTGGGTTGTTGGCCTGTTCTTCCTTGGTGAACTTGACTTGAGAGTGATAGTACCTGCAGCATTAAAACTTATTGTCACGCGGGGTTCCTGGAAATGCGGGTGACCACTTACGTTCCAAAACTGGTGCCCAGCCAGCACTGGTGGTTCCAGTGTCGGCAATGGTCGGGTGCTCCTTGCTCTGGTAACACATCTCTTCCGGAACGTTCCCCAGTAGGGAGCCTATCTTCTCCATACATCGCAACTCCATGTCAAAGGCTGCGGCTAGTCTGTCTTCTTCTTGCGAGGAGGCACTGGGAGAAACGGTTGTAAACGCCGAAGATTGCCTTCGAGAGTATCCGCTCCTTTTTCGCTTTACCACCGCACTGTTCTCCCCCATACAGGCAGCGTAAATCTAGGAGTATATAATAGTAAGAAGCAAGACATGTGACATTGCATTGTCTACTACTGTTATTCTAGTGCACACCACTCCTACAAATAAACAATGCGACTTGTGATAAGATCACCAACTCTTACCTCGGATTTGAGATCCAACGCCCGCAGATCTTCAACAAGGTTGACAAAATGCGTCAAACTATCCTTTATGAAAACTTCTGGTTGAAACGTCCCAAGGATATCGTCCGGTATATCGCTGAGGGCTTTGGTCATTAGTTGAAAATCTTTATGTACGTCAGCGACGTCGGCAAAGCAGCCTCGAAGGACATTCATACAGTAAAAGAGACAGGGCTTAAACAGGAAGTATCCGGTGCATTGAGCACAGTTGAACATCTGAGTGAGCGGCTTGGTACACTCGGTGGCAAATCGATGGCGTTTCAGCCCCTCCAGAACGGTCTCGGAGATCTGCATGGCTCTGAATATGAGGTCCAAGTTGTACAACTGTCTCTCTAGTCCGTTGAAGAGCCGCTCGTACGTTTCGGACATGAGCTGGGTGGAGACGTTCTGGTAGCATGTCGTGTGCGTTTCCCTCAGGCTCTCTCCCGGCTGTGCGTCGTAGACGACGTCGAATATCTTTGACGTGACGGCGGTCAGCTCCAGTGGGAGAACGCAGAGATCCGAAACGACAGAGAAACTGCTCAGGTATTGGAAAAAGTCTCGAAACAGGTCCTCGGGCATCTTGTTGTCAAGTAGGTTTCTCACTGGGATCTCTAGTTGACGTTTGATCTCAACAAAATTGGAGTAAATAGCATCTAGTAGTATATATACAGAGAAGGAAATAAACTCTGCAGTCTGTGCAAAGGAGAATTATTTCTGACTTATTTCTATCGCCAAGTTGCAAGTCTGCATTTAAAGGGCTGATCTGGTGAAAAGCTGGCTATTTTGTATCTGAAATCACATCCTTTAGCGTGAACCAAGGGAATTTAATCACCTTCTATCTTATCTCCATCCTCCTCTTGTAGTGGAGAGAGAGTAAATACTTAGAAGGCTTCAATAGAAGCCAAGGCGCTCTTAGAACATTTAGCACCACTTTAGGGCCTTTCTTGTGTCCTTAGGTTTAGTGGGGTGACCATGTGTAGCTCTTACAGCTGAGAGCGAATAGCGCCCGCCAACACGGCGAGGCTACGTACGTACGTAACTTACGGTAGAAGTGTCTGCCGACGGTGAAGCAATTTCCAACGTTCTCGTGAGTGACGTTGAGGAAAAGTTCTCCGTATTCCTTGATGGTCATTCTTGCTATGTGCTTCTCTGTCCGCGGTTTACAACACGTGGTGTTCATGGGTGCACAGATGGAGTTTCTTGGAGCTAACGACGGAAAGTATGCAGTAATGCTGCACGCAATGCAGCGCGAAATGCAACTTACTGTGGACTGGCCTTTCGTAGAAATACTGGTCGGCTCTCTGGCTTATTTCGTATTGCAGTATTTCGCTTATCCAGCTTGGAGCCAGCGACGGTTTATTCTCAAGCCGCTGGAAGTACCTGTTACGGCTCTGATAGCACATCTCTCTCAGTACGCGGGGCAGGTCGTCTCGGGCCTCGCCCGTCACCTGGTCGTCTGCAGTTTCCTGGAGGAGGCACGGCTGCGGCGACAAAATGCAGACAAAAAGAGCGGCAGCTACGCTCAGCCTCGCCATAACGGACAATAATACGCTTTTCTTCAGATTGCGTTTCTACCTTTATTAGCGCGCGCGTGTGCAGAGCGGATGCACCGCAAGATTTTATGAGCATGCGCAGCGACAAGGGTTCGCGCGCGCTCTCTAGAAGTCATCATTCCCCCCAGAACGTCCCATATTTCTTCTACACGTTTCTTGCCGAGTGACAGAAGCAAGTTCATCAATTTCCAGCCCTGAGACGGTGTAGTGAGTAGATATGTGTTCCACGGTTCGAGAGTAAAGCGATACTCTCCGTTGACTGCTGTTTGACAAAGTCTGGCCAACACTGCATAGTAGAGACAGTCCAGCTCTTCTGCACTCAGTGGAAACACATCACGGTAGCCACGAAACATTGGACCAACAAACTCCACTGGATTATCTTTCTCACACATGCCGTAGGCCAGCATGATGGCAAGCTCAAAGAGGAAGCAGGTACGCATGCAGTCTCCAAAATCTATCAGTCCGCTCAATTCACACTTGTCTGCTGCACCCACGTCGAAGAGGATATTCAGACCGTTTACGTCGTTGTGGACCACACCTTTCTTCATTTTGGGGATCATCGGCACGACGTTTTCCTCGTACAGTGCTACCACAGAGTGGGCCACTTGTCTCTTCTCCTCGTCCCTCAGGTGGGGGATGAACTGCTTGATGTCTGTGAAATACATCAGATCCCAGTCTTCTAGTCTACGTTTATCTATTGCGGGGTGACTAAAGTCCTGAAAAAGAGATGAAGTAGGTATCTATAATGCAAGGTTCTATACTATTAGGCATACCTGCAGGGCTGCATCAATATTGCCAACCAGTTTCCCTACAGAATAAGACAGCTCTGGTGTCAGATACTTCTTTTCCAACTTATCCATGACTACACCTGGTATGAACTTCAGTATCTTGACGGTGTACGTGACGCCCTCACCGGAGCTACCCGCCGACAATTCGCAGTCGACTGCGTGGTCTCCTCCCCTGCTGGAGACAGGAGAACTGCACGGGATTCCTCTCTCCCTCAGCCACAGCATTACGGCGTTCAGCCCGTCCAGCACGGCCGGCGTGTTCGTGTTACGATTGAACAACTTCAGAACGAACGCCGCTTCTTCGGCGCACGCGGTGCTGTCACGCCCACCATCCCGCTCAAGCGTGCCGGTGAAGTAGACGTTTCGGTCGTCGTAGCTCGGAAGAGGCTTGAAAGACCGGACGGAGACGCTCTGAAACGGAAAGTGTCTAGTGATGAGGGAAGAAGTGGCTTCGGGGCTCAGCTCCGGAGGTCTCCCGTCGGCCGCCATACATATATAATACGCGCACGCCACTCTTTGCGCATGCTCAAAAGCGTCACACACACTCGCGCCACGCGCCACGCCTTCTAGTTCTCTCAGCTCCTCTTCCCAGAAGGCGTGGCTCCGCGAGGCTGTAACATAACAGAGAGCTATATATAAGGATGCCGGGGAAGAGACCCCCGGCCCTGAGTCCGGAGGCAGTATCGGCTCTCCTTCTGCAGTACTTTCCGTTCAAACACGTCGCCAGAGAATCTTTAAAACCCCTGCCGAGCTACGACGACCGGAACATCTACTTCAGAGGAGAATGCAGGAATGGCGCGGCGCCTGGCGACGGGTTCGTACTGAAGGTCCTCAACAGCGGGATATCGACACACGTTGCAGAGGGGATGAACGACATGATGCTGTTCCTTAGCCGCAGGGGAATTCCATGTTCTCGGCCTGTACCTACGAGACGCGGGGACTACGTTCTGACAGCCTCCGAGGGCGACCTAACGATGCTTTCATCTGGCTCCACAAATACTGAATCCACCGCCGCCTATGCTGTCCGGGTACTGACGTTCATTCCAGGCGTCCCAATGGACAAACTCGATGCGAAATATTTGACACCGGAGCTCGCCTATTCAGTGGGGGAGATGATAGGGAGGGCTGACTTGGCTCTCCAGGTCTGTTTCTACCAATAGATATACCCTTTTATGATCATTGATACAGGAGCATTATATATGGGAGTCTCTTGCCTTGTTACATAACTAAAAATAGAACTTCACCAGATCTTCAAAAGTTGATGTCTTTGTATATATACGCAGGACTTCAAACACCCAGCAATATTTGAGAGGGAGTTTAGAGAATGGGATCTGATGTATTTCACAGACATCAAGCAGTTCATCCCCCACCTGAGGGACGAGGAGAAGAGACAAGTGGCCCACTCTGTGGTAGCACTGTACGAGGAACACGTTGTGCCTGTGATCCCCAAAATGAAGAAAGGCGTGGTCCACAACGACGTAAACGGTCTGAATATCCTCTTCGACGTGGGTGCAGCAGACAAGTGTGACTTTAGTGGACTCATTGACTTTGGTGACTCTGTAAAAACCTGCTACCTCTTTGAGCTTGCCATCATGCTGGCCTACGGCATGTGTGAGAAAGATAATCCAGTGGAGTTTGTTGGTCCAATGTTTCGTGGCTACCGTGATGTCTTTCCACTGAGTGCAGAAGAGCTGGACTGTCTCTACTATGCAGTGTTGGCCAGACTATGTCTTAGTATGGTGACTGGAGAGTATAGGTTTACTCTGGAGCCATGGAACACCTACTTACTCACTTCCCTAGCGGAGGCATGGAAGCTGATAAACATCCTTTTGAGCTTCACCAAAGGAGGAGTGGAGGAAATATGGGGTGTGTGCTAACATTGGATTCTTGTGCATTCACTGCAGTATTATACTCAAAATTCTGACCATTGCATCTATGTTTGTGAGTTCATATATAGAGGTTAGTTTAGCAACTAAGGTGCTTGACTTGATATTATTAGAGAGAAGATCTTTTTTTAGCGTGGTTCTTTACACGTGGCGCAAAGAAGAAACGTCAATAATAATTTGTGAGTGAGTGAGTGAGTGTTGCAGTCACTGTGAGTGTTCTAGAACTCTCTTCTGAAGGATTGGACGAGCATATTCCACAAAGTCATCAATTAATACTGGCCATGCCCCTGGGGAATAACAGTTTAATTGAATACGAGAAATTATCTGAGTTGGTTTAGAGAAATCTATAAATTATATATACCTTCTTCGTCATAGTTAGACATGGTGTCATCGATGGCGAGTGAGAAATCAAGTAAAAGATTCCACGTGTCCCGGGGAATAGACCTCTTATGGTGCTCCTGCAACCAGCAAAATATGCTGCACATGTTTGCTTTAGAGTCCACCCAAGTTTCAGTTACTTCATGCATTCACGTAATCATAACTCACCTGAAGAAACTGGCACCAGAGATCTAGAAACTTGAATCTCCCCTTCATGGCAATGTTCCAGTACGCAAGAGCCATGTCCAAATCTAAACAATTATTGCGAAACCATTTCTTTCAAAAACTCTGCATTAATAAGAAAACCCACCCAGCCCTTTCTGCCCCGGATTTTTCGCAAAGTTGAAAGTGAATTGGTAAAAGTCTTTGAATTTCGGTGGCTCTTTCAACTCCTTCTCCATTGCGCTGTTCTCACACTTTTTTCTCAGCTTCTCGATACTGTCACAGCTGAGTACAACAATCACAACAGAGGAATGCCAGGAAACTGCAGTTACACAATTCCACGACATTAGCTAATGTTCATATTATGCAGAATTTCCTTGCGGCAAAAGCATGCCATAGCATGCTACATGTGACAAAAACATTGTAGCGGTAAAATTTTCAAGCCTCTTCATAGGTAATGGCAAGTTCCTTCCTTTGAGAGTGTCACATAATTATTGTAGTTATATTATACTCACCCAAGTGCACTCATTCCGTCCACAAATTCCTTCCGCGAGAACTCGCACTGAGTGGCTGCCTTGAATTTCCAGGCAATGAGGAGCACAGTCAGACTGGTGGGGTCCAAACCCACGTCGTCACAGAAACGACTCACCCCATCTGCCAACATCTTGTCCTCCTCCAATGAATCTGGGGAACATCAAGATAAAGAGAGGAAGAGAGAGACAGAGAGGAGTAACATTTTGCATGCAGTGTAGGTCACACATTGAAAACCTTGGGCTTTTATTAAATGCTACATGGACCGCACTCAAAATTGCTGCACAATTGGCTGGCTTACTTCAGTGCAATAAAAAAATTGGCGAAAAATATTTCAGTACAGTTTGCTCACTTCTGTATTTATTGAAGAGGATATCTATCTTTTTCTTGTCCACCGGTGCACGAGGCGGCTCTACGAAGTACTTTAGCGGGTCCTGATAGAAGTTATCCGTAGCCATGTCGAGCCTCCAGTCGTTCTGAGTCAGACAGTTTATGGCTGTGTGATCGTCCGAGCCCGTCACCGCCATGAAATGGCGGACCTTAGCCCGCTGAGATTGCTTCAGCTTGTACTGATACGGGAGAGAGGGGGTCAAATTTTTTTATCAGAGTGCACGGTTCTCGCTAGTCGTGCAACTCACCATGGCCGCCGACACAGGGAGAGGTAGGGACGGTAGAGAGAAAAGATCTGGTGGTGGTCTCGCGGCGCTACCGTCTCGTGTGCCTCACACATACACTGCCTCCTCTGGCCAAGAGAGAGTTTAGCTATTCGGCCTTGCAAGAGTATTGGCTACGCCTACCTCGTCAGCCGGTTGCTGAGTCATTCTGGAGATTACGCATGTGCTGGAGATTACGGACGTACGACACAATATCCGGAAATGGAAACCGGGGGCGTAGCTACACACATGCAACAGTGCTCATCATACACCTACACACAATTTCACATTTTTCTAGCTCCTATGAGAGTGTCGAAAAGTTTGGGATTGGGGAAATCCCCTCCCCTATCAAGCAGGTAGAACAGGCGATGTCCTTTGACCTTCATTCCAAGTTGTCGACCTTTGGCCTCTGATACTCTTTTGCCAGCCACACCAATATCACTGAGATCAGCACGCACCTCCCTGTGTACATTACACAATGATGATAAATTTCCCAATACCAAATTTGAAGCCCTCACCTAACACCCTTGAGTGGGGAATAGGTGGTGATGGAAACTCCGCCCATTTTCCCACGAATGTAGCTCATTTTCTGGACGACCCGCAGTGGGTACATGCAGGCCGTGGTGGCGAAAAATACGCCCACGCTAAGCGCCAGAAGAGATATTGCAAGTCGCCATTTGAGGGATGAATACCATGGTGCCGTGATTGGCGCCTTCCCCGTCGACAAGGTTGGCGTGGCTTGTTGTTCTTGTAAAGTGGGCGGAGTCTGGTCAGTTTGCAGGCAGAGTTTTTCCTGACGGAGCTCGGCAAAGGCAAAGTAAGAGAGATAAGCCCAGAATACTAGTTGGACTCCGGACATTAGGAATATCAGTTTGAAGAACTTTGTCTGAGACTGTGTGTTCTTGTAGAGGAGAATGGTGCTGGTGGTGGAAGTGGTGAATTGGGTGAGGAGGAACGGAGGGTGGGGGAGGAGAAGTGGGTGGGGGATGAAACGAAAATTTGTAAAAGGTCTGACGTTGCATCCATGTCTATGAGGGAGATAAAGAGTAAAACTGATATTTGGAGCATAGATTTGAACCGACTTCAATTGCTTTTTCTGTAACACAGCTCCTAACAGTTTTCTGCAGGACATTCTTGTACGGTTCGTTGACACGCGCTTGAGAACTGCGCATGCGCACGATCGATCGGCGCGTGAATTAGTTGTGGCGCGCGCCGTTTATCACGGCGCTTAACAGTAGCGCGCGCTCGAAATTAAATTTTCTCGTGCTCGCGCTTGTGTTTGGACTGGACTGTTTGAGGAAAATGAGTGGCAGAGATGAGAACCAGTTGTTTATCGGTCGGCTGCCCCGCGGTTCGCGGGCCAGCGAGCTGGAAGACGTGTTCTACAAGTACGGAAAGATGACTCGATGCGATGTGAAGCAAGGTGAGCGGCAGATTGTACGGCCGCCATTTTTTTTGCTGCTGACTCATTTAGTACCACCATATTTTCCGTGCAGGAATAAAGATGGGTAAGTGTGCGTTGCCTCTCTGAGTCGCTACAACAACGTTTGACGTTTACTGTCGTGTTTTTCAGCATACGGTTTCATCGAATACGAAGACAAAAGAGATGCGGAGGTGAGTGTTGATTGTGAATGAATGTGTTCGATTTTCTGCGTGTGGTTCTGTTGTTTATGTGTGTTCTCCCTCTCCAATTCACCCCGTCAAGAGCCACTGACCTTGTGTTGCCCGCCTAGCTACCTTGACTTGCCGAGTTCGTCGCTCCCTCCCTCCCTCTCTACCTCACTCCCTCCCTCCCTATCTTCCCCGTTGAGCGTAACTGCCGGCTGTGTGGCCCCATCCAACGACTAGCTACTCTAAGCATGCACAACTTCCCGCTTCACTACCACATTCCCACTGGCTCCATTTAATGCCCACCGCCAGCGACATGTCCACGACTCTATTTAATGCCCACTGCCACCAGACTAGGCCCAGACACGTCGACTGCACATGATTGTTGCCATGGTAATCAATCAAACAAAAAAGTTCTAACTACTAGACCGTGGAAGTGTTGGTGTGCTCTTATTAGAGAAACACATACAGTAACTCTTAGGGAAACCGTTCGTATACCTGAGAAAGTTTGAAAATTCTTTTTGTGAGTTTTACTTTTTTGCTTCATAGGATGCTCTAAGAGGGGAGCATGGGAGAGATTTCAACGGAGCACGTATTGTGGTTGAGTGGGCTCGAGGCCCAAAAGACACTCCAGGCCCTCGAGGAGTAAGTGGACCAGTCTAAAACACATAAGTCTGTAAGTTAAACTTTGCTATATAGGACCGGTTCAGAGACGACCACAGAGATCGTTACAGAGATGATGACAGGGACAGGTTCAGGGAGCGAGACCGCGACTATCGAAGAGGTAGCCACTCTTAGTTTGCCGTCAGATCTTACTCTCTTCTCTCCTCTACAGATGATAGGCCGGGTCAGCAGCCACATCACAGTCGCAGGAGGTCGTTTTCAAGGTCCCCGGACCGCGACCGCAGGAGAGAGCACTCCCGTTCCAGATCTCGCTCTCCTGTGGGCAACCGACGCTCTCACAGCTGAAATATAACATATATACTCCTTGACTCTTTAGCTATAATACACCCATAATCGAATTCTGCTCAACACTCTAGAACTTCCTAAGGCTGAACTTGCTTTACATACTAAACAAGCCATGCATACAGTATCAGTATTAATTTTATAATGTTTGAAGAATTATATGAGAAATGGAACAGATAATTGCTTGAGGTGATCCATGATACGTATGACTTTGATGAAACTTAATGTTCACACAATGTAGACTACCTACCCTCCACCTCCCCCTCCTGCTGCTGCCTGTCCTGCATTCAACGTGATGAGTAGGAAAGCCCCTATCAATATGTACATCCACTGTGTGTGTGTGTGTAATGGCAGGTTAAAAAAGACAAGATGTGAGAGATTCTGGGAACCTACGTATTTCTGAAAGAAAGATCTGTCGTCTTTCCCCTCTCTCTTAGCTCTCTCCTCCATCTCCTCTTTCTGCAGGTAGTTATGAACATCAGGCCTGTGTGTACAGTCAGAGCACCAATCATTACATCGCGATGACATCATTGGTAACTCACGCAGGTGGTGGGCTCCCGTTGTCAAGAGTTACGGTCGTATTGAAGGATCGTGGGAGGGTCACCTGTAAAATGAGTAAAACCCTACTATCTACACTATTATTTCCTCAAAAACCTCTGGATTAGTACAGTCAACTTCATACGGCTGTGGTAAGGTGGTTATAGTCAGCCCAATCACATTTCCTGTAGACACAAAAAGGTTTAAAACCAGCAAATATTCTCCACTTTATACAAATATACCTCTGCCATCGCCTGTAACTTTGATCAAATCCGACAAATGGGATTTAACTAGGGAACACTAAAGTAAGAAAAATCGAGGTAAAGACAATGTAGCTTCAAGAGGCACACACCACATACAGCGCTGATGGTAGTGGACACAAACTGACGTCCCGGAGAATTGCTTTCCTCGTCTTCAGTCAGCCCTTCTTTCAGTCTACTGAGAGTCCTCAGTCTGTATAACTCACCTGACACTGCTGCCGACTATAGCAGGTCACACAGACAAGAGAGAAAGATAATTGCATGTGAGATATCTCCAACTCTGTCATTGCTAGCCACAATTACTTTGATTTCGTCCAGCTGGGCATGAGAGAGAGGGTTCTGAGAGAGACTCATTGCCGTGGTAGACGACTTGAGGCTCCTCACGCTGGCCACGCCTCTCTCTGAGAACTCTCCATCCCCAATGGCGTGTTGGAGGACGAGTGTCAGGCTTTCTGCGCCATCTCTCCCCTGAACGGGGCAAAATACGCACACATTTGTACAGACCCAGCGTTGAGTGACACTGTTAAAGCTTACCGAGTCTTTCGAGTGCTTTGCAGCGTTACCGTAGGAGCATGAAAGCACCAAAAAGTAGAGAGATGCAGCAAGCCACCACCACCACATGGCCGGTTGATCATAAGCGCTCGGCGGTTATAACGTGCGCATGCGCATACGCTTCGCGCTTAATTTATACAGCGCGCGCAATTGGCGGGAGTTTCAACTTTCAATTCAGCTGCACGTATATACAAGTCGCAGAGAGAAAAGACGTGTATGGCAAGGATGCCGATTGGACGTGGAAAGAAACCAGGAAAGTCTTCATCAGCTCCTCAGGCTCCTGAGGAACACCATGTTATATGTCCAGACTTTGACGTTCAGCCAGACAGCGAACCAGAAGACAGCCAAGGTACAGAGGAGCTCTCTATCCGTGATCTACTTTCTCTCTCTCTCTCTCGTAGTCTCGGAAAGTTCCAGAAGAAAGAGGCCACATGAACAAGGACCAGGACTAGGGTAAGTCAATACACAACAAAACCAGCAATTTTCTTCTCCTTTTCCCCCCAGACTTGAAGTCCAATCTCTCCTATCAACATTTGGAGGTAGGTAGAGCCATATGCACGTGTGGCACACATTTTTCACTAGTGACAATTTTTGTAGTTGATATCTCAAAGAGCCTTGAGTCCAAGAAGAAAAGATTGGAGACATTTGCACAGTCGTCTGCAAAGGCTTCCAGCAAGAGAGTGGAGGACATGTGGAAAAAACAGCAACAAGAGAGGCAAGTGGACAAAAACTGGCACTGACTCTCTCTCTCTCCCTCTTCCTTCCTCCCTCCCTCTCTTAGAACCTTAACCCACACAGTATAATTATTATACCACACATGATACTCTCTGTAACCATTTATTAGGATGAGTCTGGGCAACGAATACCAGAAGCAGGTACACACGGTTCTCTCCCAGCTAGAGAACGACCTGGCCAAGTCGAAGGCAGAGGAAGAGAACATCCGTGAACTCATGAAAAAGACAGAGAAGACCTTCCAACAGCAGAGGATCGTTCAAACACAGCGAATGAAGACCATTCGGAAGCTCCACGACCAGTACATGAAGGGGATGAGTGATTTGGACGAGGCACACAGGGGACAACAGACGACTATGCAGTCGGAGCTCAAAAAGGAAATGGCACTGCTTCAGAAGAAGATACTCATGGAAACTGTAAGTGGGACGTCCCGGATTCAAATTGGGATATCTGGTATCTTTTTCTACAGCAACAGCAGGAGTTGTCCAATGTACGGCGCTCCCTCCAGTCGATGCTGGCTCAAGTGTAGCAGCTCCGACATAATACCACGATACCAGAACAATATGCCACAAACCCATGCATCTCTCAGAAGAGAGTATAAGTATAAACGATAAGTTAAATCCAGAAAAATCATGAAAATCATGAAATACATGGCTCTTGTGTGATGCCAATCTATGATAGCAAGTCTGATTCAGTTGTGCATGCCGTGGTGTGTATGTATATTGGTCACTGACTACAGCCTGAAATTCTTCCTCTCACATGACACCCTCCTCGTGAAAAATGGGATCATCATCAAACCCTCCACCCATTGTCTGAGGAGAGAGAGAGATAGATAGCCGTACAGTTGAATCAGTGGTCGAGTGTATCAGATCTTACCTTTGTGATGTATCGCGGGTCTAGTGCCATCTGCTCATCCAGAGCCCTCAGTTTCTTTTCCAATGCCATGCATCGCTGCAACTGCACACAACCACAATACTCTCTGACCAACTTGCCATTGCACAATACTAATCCAACTTTTTTTTACAAATCGGTTAGTGACCATTAAAAATGTATTAGCCATCGCAAGATTTTTGTGAGGGCAAGTAAATCAAACCACCAAATTTTTACAAATTTTTTACCTGCGATTGGAGGTAAGTTGCCATGTCGTGAGAGTCGTATGCCTCAGGACTTTCAGAGAAGGACACCATACCCGCCGTCTGGTCCAGACTAGCATGGACCTCCTCCTGCTCAATCTGTGGATTGGACGACCCAAATACACACCCACATTGACTGATTACTGCACCATATTCCGTATGTAGAGCTCTGCCTCCTGAGCGGAGCTGAGGTTGATGCGAGAGCTGACGTCCGCCAGGGAGAGTGTCATGAAAGTCTGAGTGAGGCGCTGCATGGCGTGTCTGTACACAGTTTCGCGGAGTCTGTGAACCAGACCCAGATTACCATCCTGTAAAGACAAAGAGTTAAACTTTGCAATACAGTGGAACCCCACTTTAAGGACACCCCCTGAAATGAGAACACATCTCTAAGGACCCCCCTGAAATGAGGACACATCTCCAAGGAAACCCCTGAAATGAGGACACTTTCTAATGAGGACACCCCTGTAATGAGGACACCTCTCTAATAAGGACACCCCTGAAATGAGGACACTTTCTAATGAAGCGATGAGAACACATCTCTACTGAAATGAGGACACCGTTTCCTCAGAGTAGTTCTTGCATGCAATTTCAAACAAGGACACCTTACTTATATTGATATAACTTTCTTCTGTCTCATTGGTATCTGGATTAGAAGGGTTCCACTGTATATTACACACTCAGAAAATTGGGTTAGTTTCGGCTCACGTTCTGAAAGACTTCGGAGTATTTTGCAATAAGTTCGTGAACTGGTCCCACTTTTCTTCCAGCGTAGGTCTTTGCCAGTTCGTTGTAGGACCCACAGAGAGGCTGGGAACATGGGAAAGTGAAAATGAATCCGCAAAGTTGTACTTAGCTAGTGGAGCTCTGTGCACCTTACCTTCATCATTCGGTCGACTATATGAGAGCAGTACTTAGGAAGAGTTATAACCTACAGAGAAGAGAACATTTTGAATAAGTAAAAAAATTGATGGGCCAAGTAAATTTACTTTTCCAAATTTGAGCAGTGAGACAAGAACGAACTTCTTGTAGGCTGCTACCATAATGGCGCTAATTGCAACTGTGGGCGTTGTCAAACACTGGACGGAAAAAGAAATAGAAACTCAGAGAGATAGAGTGTGTGCTATCTTACCACCGTCAGGAATAGCAGAGCCCTCAGGTACTTGTGGAGGCAGGCATACACCATCCCTCCATAGTAATAGAAGAGCAGAACGTAGCGAGCGTCAAACTGCCCACCCTGATGGAAAAGAACACATCACTAGTGGTTGATCTTAAACCCACTGTCAAGACAACTGTACTACTCACATCTGTCAGGAGCTCAGAGTATTCTTGTTCGAGAAAGGGCAGCGCAGGTTTCAGACATTTGGCCATCAAACACACCTGAACAGAACAGACACATGACATTCTCTTTCCTCATGGCACACTTTCTGATTCCCACCTGAAGTAAGTCGGAGTGAATAGCTGTCAGGCAGGCTGGACAGGTTTGGTAGCGCCGTATGGCAGTCCTGAGGATCACCACCCCTTCTATTGTCTATTTAGAAGCAAGGAAGAACAAAAAAAACGAAATAGTACATTAAGAGGAAAAACAGATGAATGCTAAATAAGGCACACCTGTTTTCTCTTGCACATAACATCAGTGAGCTGATGGAACAGGTTACAAACTGCACAGACAAACCTGCTGAAACGAGGTCGTCTATGTGTGGTTATCACTCACAGGAGATGGGGTTCTGTGTGACCTGATCACGTGTGAACCCCTGGGTAAACGACCTCATTTGCTCCATGAGGACCCCCCAGTTTAGCTGCGCCGCCGGCTTACTCAGCTTCCCCGTCCTTATAGTAGGGCAAACACACGCTACGGCTCACTACGGGTGATTGTAACGTCTCACAAAATTGCGAGGTAGCCAAGGCTGTGCTTGTCGGGCTCCAACGTGCCTAACACGGTGTCCAACGTCGCTACATCTTGGTCGCAGATTAGCTCGCTCGAGCTCTGCAGCTTCCCAATGAGGAGAGTGAATTCTCCTTCCTGCGAATGCTTGCTGATGTCCTTTACTAGCTGCTCCATCGCCGATTGGGATTTCAAAATTTCACATTGTCGGGCGTGGTCTTTCGTATAATTGGAGCAACTGATTAGATGCGGTAGAGGTGATTTTGGGTGGTTTGTGCGGCGCCCTCTCCGTGTGTTCGAGCGCATCCTGATACGGTTCTGCGGGCCCCACCGTGAAAGAGAGGCGAGAGAGAGAGGGAGAAGGGACGTCCGGAGAAGCAGAGGGAATTTCCGGAGAGATGGACTCTATAGATCTGTCCGAACTACGGGTAAACCTGCCGTACGGAGCGGTAGACTAACCGTCTGCCATGTGTGCATGTATCGCAAGGCGTCCGCGTGTGTTACTCAATACTAGCAATCGTTCCAAGAGCATCAGTTACGTCTCTCTCATTGACCGGCTTTTTATTCAAAACACGGCCTCTATCTCTAGCACGCAGGAACACACATGAGCATATAAACTGTTGAAGGGATGTGGGGCTGAAACTTACCCTAGTTAGCAAACGTGTCTGTTTGGATTCTTCTCTCCATTACCCAGGACCCTGCAGGGATTTTTGAGCTAATTGAAGTTGTGGGGAACGGAACTTACGGCCAAGTGCACAAGGTATAAAATAATCACGCAAACTCAGCTAATTACTCAGGGACGTACTTCATTAACAATGTTAGACAACGTTCACATTATGCTAAGCTTTGAATCTATGTGTGCATGGAGCTCTAATAGTGGTAGATTTTGTGCCTACTGCACGTTTGACCCACGTTCCCCCACTCCACAGACTGCTTGTTGTGCAGTTGAGCGCAAGTGTTTGTGTACGTAAGCACAGTTGCTCTTAAAGTATGTATTGTTGTGTTGTGTTGGCTTGCCTGGCTACAACTAAACGGTTGCCGTTGGCTAGTGATGTACGTACACTGTTCTTCTGCAATAGCAAACTTTAGACGAGCAGTTTGGTTCGTAGAATGTCTATTAGTTTTCGGGGCACGAGGGAAAGTGTAGGTGTCTTGTGCTTATATGGTGCATCAAGGCCTGGTGTGTTTATTGAAGTGTCTTGAATGCCTTCTAGAGCGACAACCGTTTGTACGCACTTCCCTCCCCCTCTTTCTTTTCATTCCCTTACCTCTTCTCTCCCTCCTCTTTTCATTTCCTTACCTCCCCACTCTCCCTTCTCCCTCCTCCCTCTCCAACACAGGGTCGCCATGTTAAAACCGGTCAGCTAGCTGCCATCAAAATCATGGAGGTCACAGAGGTACGTCTCTATGCATGTCTATAACTGTGGGATTTCATTCTAATTGTCGCCCACCAGGACGAAGAGGAGGAAATCCGACTTGAAGTCGACGTCCTTCGAAAGGTAGCGTGTAATGTGTGGGTGTGGTCTTTTCTGTAGGCGTGGTTCGTTAGAGGGAGGCTAGGGCCGCGTAATTCAATGTTGAATTTGACACAATGTCTCAAGATTAGTGGCCATTTTTACTTCCTGTTGTAATGTCCCATTCTCTCTCTGATTTTTTAAATTCCTCTCCCTCGTTTTGGCCAGTTCTCCTATCACCAAAACATTGCCACATACTACGGTGCCTTCGTCCAGAAAGGAGACGGTGGACAAGAAGACCAGCTCTGGGTGAGCCGATTACATCGTAATGACATCATGATCAATTTGCGTGGTCATGTGATCTGACTCCGCCCACCTCACAGCTGGTGATGGAGTACTGTGGGGCGGGGAGTGTGACGGACTTGGTCAAATCAACGAGAGCTCGTTCGTTGAAAGAAGACTGGATTGCTTTTATCTGCAGAGAGGTTCTGAGGGTGAGTTTACTAAAATAACTTCCGCAAGAAAATTTCTTGACAATTGCTGAATAGAAAACATTTAACCCATAAGATTTCACGGGCACGATTGGAGGTATTCATGGTGCAAAAAAACATTCATAATTTCGGAGATTCCACGAAATTTCAGTTATGCGGTCCAAAAATATTTTTAAAGAGGCAAGAAAAAATGCCATGGAGTGTATGTAATGGAAAATCAAACCTTGCTGTTGATGTACACCAGGAAAAGAGGAGGGAGGGAGGGAGGGGAATGGAGGGAGGGAGGGAGGGAGGAGTAGAGAAACAAAGGACGTGGCTAGAACTATCAATCTGTGTCCTTGCAGGGGCTGAGTCATCTCCACAAGAACAGAGTAATCCACAGGGACATCAAAGGGCAGAACGTTCTGATAACTGACAACGCTGACATTAAACTCGGTAAAGAATATGCTGTGTTGTGAACTCGTGGTGTCTTCCAACTGAGCGTGCTCGTTTCAGTGTTTGGAAAGTTTGAATCTCTTTTCCAGTTGATTTCGGGGTCTCGGCGCAGCTGGACCGTACCATCGGGAAGAGAAACACGTTTATTGGCACCCCTTATTGGATGGCCCCCGAGGTAATTGCCTGCGATCAGGACCCCACGGCAACGTACGACTACCGGGTGAGTTACCACGGTGACTGTTGCCACGGTAATGTATCACAATATGTCGCGTCTCTCGCAGAGCGATCAGTGGTCTCTGGGGATTACTGCCATTGAAATCGCCGAAGGAGAACCACGTGAGTGTGTCCTGCCTCTAGGAAATCTCAGTTCTTGTTTTATTCCTCGTTTTAAACCTTTCTCTTCTCTTTGTGTTCTTTCTCCCAGTGTAATGAGTGTTTTGACTGTTAACCCTCTCTTCTTCCCCTACCTGATCTCTCCGCTCTATTATCCCTGATCCTTCTTCTTCTTCACCGCAACTCTCTACCTTGCACCCGCTCACTCCTCCCCGATCTCCTCTCTGTTCTATAGCTCTCTGCAGCATGCACCCGATGCGTGCCCTGTTTCTGATTCCTCGTAACCCGCCGCCGAGACTGAAACAGACCAAGAAATGGAGTCCAAGGTTCATCAATTTCATCGAACAGTGTCTCACAAAAGACCCTACGAAACGGCCAACTTCAGACGAACTTCTGCGAGTGAGTTGTTCATTATACCTCCGTTATTACCTCTCTCTCATACACACATTGCCATGAAGTATATACCCTACCATAAGCATTTGAGGACGAAAAATTTAGACTTCTGTTGTATAAATTGTGCTTTTTCTCTGCTAAATTGTGCACTGGGACATTATATATTTTTCAGCTAATCAATGTGTCATGTAGCATTTAAAATGTTTTTCTCAGCACTGTAGCGAACTGAAGTTGAAAAAGATAAAAATGGCATCTCTCGTGTTTTTATCCTGTCTTGTTGCTTTGTTTCTCTTGTGTGCGTAGCATCCTTTTGTGACGGAGTTCAACGAGCGTGCAGTGAGGATCCAGGTGCGAGACCAGCTGGACAGAGTGAAGAGAGAGGTTCAGATCTTCGACGAGCAGCTGTCCGACGAGGAGGGCGGCTCGCTGGAGATACCCACCATCAAGAAGGGAGGGGACGACGCTGCACGGCCCGGCCCTTCCGCCGTCTCACCGTCCAGGGTAAGGAGAAAGGGTCAAAGGTCATTCACACTACAGTAGTACTAGTACACTGTAATCCAAACTACTTCAATTTACTTTTTGCTATAGTTTTCTTGATAGTAGAATGAACACAACTCATTTTTGGCGGGCAAATACGAGTAGTTTGTCTTTCCGCACACACGTAGTTCGAATCATTGTGTGACATAATGTGTGGTAATAATACAGGACGAGGAGGAGGATGAGGAAGATGAAGAGAGTCTGGGGCAGGAGACACTGCTCACGGCGCGACAGAGCCACGCGGCGGAGTTCTCTGCCGGTCGGCTGCCTCAGTACACAGAAGACACCCTCATTATACATGGAGATGAGGTATGATGTCATACTTACATACACTCATTATACATGGAGATGAGGTATGATGTCATACTCACAACAAATTGAATTGCAAGCTGCCGAAACTTTACAGCTATAGGGAGCAACAGTTTGACATTGATCTCTCTCTCTCTCTCCCTATAGACCCAAGGGGCTGCAGAGAATCCTCAGTTGGCGGCTCTGGCGGCAAGACAAGGACCAGGTCTGTATGCTCACACACACACACACACACACACACGATACACACTTTGGCTGGTATTTCCTGTTTTGGTGTATAAACCGGACATTTGCTGCATAATACACAATATTATATACGCGAGCGTGTGAATGCATGCTTACCATAATCATGAAAGGTTCACCCCCATTTCAACATACACACACACAACAGCTCAGCGTCAGTCATTTTCCTATTTCCCGCCCGACTCCCGCCGAAGCACGGGCGGAGCAGCGGTCCCGCCCACCCGCCCCAGCACCTACGAGGACCCAGCTGGCCATCGTCTCAGTATGCAGCTGCCCGGGGTCAACGGAGGAGTCAAACAAGAAGGAGGACCCAAAATGGTGCGTCACTCTAGCGGAGGGAGAAGGAGGGGCAGGATTATTTCATTGCCATATTTGTCCACATTCTGGGCTAGTTGGTTGGGCAGCAGTCGTGTGTATGTTTGTGTATCTTGGCAACGGAGTTTGGGGTTCCATTAGGGAACGCTCTTTTGTGGCAGCTGTGGACGAGCGGGCATGTCCCTGCTAATGGGCCTCTTCTCCTCCCTCTCTCCCCTCCCCCCCTCTCTCTTTCTCTCCGTTTTATTCGCCCCCTCTCTCCATCAGTCACCAGAGATCCGTAAGTACAAGAGAAAGTTCAACGGAGAGATACTGTGCGGGGCACTATGGGGAGTCAATCTTCTGGTTGGTACTGATAATGGCCTACTTCTCCTCGACCGCTCTGGGCATGGCAAAGGTATATTGTACTACTGTCGAACCTCCAAATAAGGGCTGCCATTTACGTGATATATATTATATTTAAAACCCTCAATACCCTCCTCTATCTGTCACTGCATTATACTCACTGGAATAACTTTGTCTTTCGACATGTAGTATCATTTAACAAAAACTGAAGAGCTGGTCTAGTTTGCTATAGCATAGGTTTTGTTCAAGAATCACATATGTACAACCGTCATGAATATACTACTACATACAGCTCCCCTCTTTTTCTCTCAGTGTTTCCACTCATCTCTCGTCGAAAGTTTGCACAAATGGAGGTTCTCGAAGGACTCAACGTTCTGGTCTGCATCAACGGACGAAAGAACAAACTGCGCGTCTACTACCTCTCGTGGCTCAGGAACAAGATCGTCAAGGGAGACGACGTGGTGAGCATCGCCGCCATGGCGATTGTCGTGTTACCGTGGCAATGTGTTGTCGTCGTGGTGATGTTGATTTTCTGTTCCGACAGATGGAGGGTACCCGATCGAGACACGGGTTCATTTCAGTGGGGGAGTTGGACCAATGTGTCCACTTCAAAGTCGGTTAGTGGAGAGTTTTACATAATAGTAGGTAGGGAGGAAATATACATACATTGGAAGCCCAAGTGTCCTTGGGTTGTGGTGTTTCGCGTGCAGCGAGGACGCTCCGAGGGCTTCTAACACACGTAGCATTTGTAATCGGCCAACTTATTCAATTGTGTTTTTACTTTGGAGCGAATTGAAACGGGCTCCATGGAGGGTGCATGTCAATGCATGTTTCTGAGTTTTTCGAATGACTAACGACATGAAAATATCTCTCCTCCCTCTCCCTCTCCTTCCCCCTGACAGTCCAACATGGGAAGATGAAGTTCCTCTGCATAGCCACCAAGACAAGCATCGAGGTGTACGCGTGGGCCCAGAAGCCATACTCAAAGTTCATGCAGTACAAATCGTTCCCTGACGTACTCCACCGACCTGTGCTAGTTGACATGGTCTGTGAGGCTCCCAACAAGACAAAGGTCCTATATGCCTCCTCAATGGGTGAGTCACATGACACTCATGTGATGCTTGTGTGTGGTCACATGACACACGTGATGCTTGTGTTTGGTCACATGACACTCATGTGATACTTCTGTGTGTTTGAAGCCAATTTTTACAGTTTCTGCTGTTTCATTCGCAGGATTCCATGCTATTGATTTGGAGAATGGGGTACTCCAAGATCTTTATCTCCCGTCTATTGGAGTAAGGACAACAGTGACACCCCACGCCATTATCCCCTTACCCCGCTCCACGGGAGAACTTCTACTGTGTTATAATAGTGAGGGAGGGAGGGAGGGGGAAAGATGGAGAAAGGAGAGGGAGTGAGATGAAATAATATGTAGGCTCGTTGTTCACTGAGCCACCTGCAACTAGTTGGGCTGGGCTGGGCAAAGACAGGAGAATGAAGAGAAAGGAAGATGTGCTGTAATGAAGTCTTCTTTCCCTTCCTACAGATGAAGGTGTGTACATAAACGCAAGTGGAGGGAGAATCAAAGACGTCAGACTACAATGGGGGGAAGTCCCCTCGTCTATAGGTACGCATTATGTAATGATTACTGTATCATATTGAGAGATAGGGGCAGGGGATGCAAGATAGAGGCGAGACAGCGATTATAACTCCCCCCATCGCCCCCTTTCTTCTTTAGCTCTGATAGGCGACAGTCATGTGATGGGTTGGGGTTCAAAGGCCATCGAGATAAGGGCAGTGGAGAGCGGGCAACTGGACGGTGTCTTCATGCACAAAAGGACCCAGAAACTGCGCTTCCTCTGCGAAAGAAACGACAAAGTGAGTACAGGTAGCGTTTTTGACACGTTTGCTGATTAATTATAGGGGCAAGTGTGCGCACGTATTTTGTGCCTTGTTACTTCATTTAATGAGTTTCTAAGTTTTGAAAGATGTTGGGTGCTCAATTTAATACGCCATAAGAACACGGGTTAGGAGCTAAGAACGATGGAAAATGCCGACCAGGAGATTTAGTGACTCGAGAACCTTCGTAAATCAGCCTTCATTTCCTCTTCTTTCTCTCTCTCAGGTTTTCTTTGCCAGCATCCGCACCTCTTCCTCCAGCCAGGTATATTTCATGGCTCTCAACAGACGAGTCGTCCCACAATAGCAGGGCTCCATTGTGTCTGTGTCTAACATACAGCAGTCCACTTGTTGTCCACCTGTATACAGTGTTAGCTATCGTTCTTAAAAAAACTGACTTTTCTCGTCTCAAAATGTCGCATTATAATAACTGTGTGGTATGGTGTATAGGGCTTGGTGTGTATGTATGTACTGGAGTCATTATTATGCATTCTTATGTCACTAATTTATAGCCCGTGGTGTAAGATTATTGTTATAGAGGTGATTACATAACATTATTAATTTTTCCTGTCCACCATGTTGTATATGCAATGAACAATGTGATTATTTTTAACGAAATATTTTGTTGCACATGAATGTATAATACCAAGTATACAATGAATGGGTGGGGTAGCATTTTCTGGTTGCCATGGTAATCGGTACCGTGGCAACACTTGGATACCTGTATAGACAGTGATTGGTTGGAGAGAGAGGGAGGTGGCTACTAATAAAGTCAGTTGCTTGGTGCCTCATTCCGTGTCTTCTGACTTCTTTTTGTGCTTTTTCTTCTTTGGTTTTTCGGGCACGACTTCACCCTGGCAACGGAGGAAGAAAAGGGTTAAACACATAGTAGAAGACAGATAGTAGACCTAACAGGGGTAGAAGAGCAGCTGTAAAGACTCACTTCTGAATCAGTTTCTTTCTTCCTCTTCTTCTTCTTCTTCTTTGACTTGCCAGCCACCTCCACCTCCTCTCCCTCCTCTTCACTTGGTCGTTTCTCAGACAACGCACTCGCCTCCCCTCCTCCCTCCCTCTCTTCCACTGGCTCCTTTACTTTACCGTCTCGACCACTGCAACAGAGAAACCAACGTTAAAGACACATGCAACCCAACACAATGGTCATGTGACTATCACATGACACTTCATAAAAACCATGTGACCCACATACTGATCACGTGACCATCACATGACTAATACTCACTACTGAAACTCTTTCCGGACGTCCTGCGGTGTACTCTCCAGCACTTTCCCAAACTTTCCCAACTTTCCGGCGGCTATCAGCTGCTTCTTCTTCAGAGCCTGTAGCAGGGCAGTAAGTCACACGACTGTCACGTGACTAGAGGTTTCAGCTGACCTTTGGACCCAGACCCCACTTGCGAGGGTACACGTCTCTATTCATGATGACTCTCTTTATCTTGGCACAGAATCCGTGATCGCAAGTAACCATCTCAGCCGTCCCCATCATCCCAATACCTAGAGTAGTCGACAGTAGCTCATGTGACGTCATGTGACTGTCACGTGACCTACCGAGAGCCACGGCCTCTCCCTTGGTTGTGATGATGGCAATTTCCATGCCTGGCTCTATTCCTTCGTCAAACCTGAGGACCCCGGGAAGAAGAATCTTGGCTCCGTAGCACACTGCATTCACCTGGTGGAGTATATATACACAACAATAGAGAGTATTATTAACCCTCGGCGCGCATGCGCAGCGAGGGTTACAGTAGTTGGGTTTGTCTGTGTGTGTGTGTGTGTGTCTGTCTGTTACTCTACATCTCACTTCTCGAACATCTGTTCGTCCCAGAAACGATACCATCTACCCAACGGGCGACGAAGGTCAGAAAATAAAGGCGGTTTTCTCTGAAAATGCTCCTTTGCAAAGCTAGAGCACGAAAAAGGCAATATGCAAATACGCAACAGACGGGATGGCTTACCGCGGTCTGATCGATCAGCGTGCTCTGCGACCTCAGAGGCACCAGAAGATGCAACGCAGGGCGTGTATCGCCTCTCGCATGCTGTCTAGTAGTGTAGTTAGCCCGCGTCAGACTCTGTGCGAGATGGCTAGAGACCAGCAGCCAGAACTAAACCCAGCCCATCAATTAGTGATACAGCGCATGCGTTTACTCACGCGTGCGCGTCACAATGCGCCGAGGGTTTGCACTTCAGTGCTTTTCATATAACTAGCAGTAAGACACACATTTGGAATAAAGTGCACCAGCTTTACACACAAAAACATGCAGAACGTATTGACCACCGGAAGATCACTGCTACAGAGTAATCTCCCGTCTTAAACCTCTACACTAGAAACCCTCGTGCACGACTCTGAAAATCATAGACTTTTCCCCACGAAGACTCACCGCACTGTCTTTGAGCACAATCCTCCTGTGAGAAACCAGGGTGCCCAGGTTTACACTCTCCTATGTAGGACTCGTTAGGAAACCTAGCTACGGCTTATTAGTACAGAGCAACATCTACAGTATACACTCATGTAGGACTCTATACGTATAGAGAAACCCAGTATAAACGTCATACAGGACTCTATGTAGATATAAACTGTGTGTAGTAAATCTCAATACAGATATTGACCAGGAGTATATATATATCCACTCTCCTCATGTAGGACTCTATACGTATAGAGAAACCCAGTATAAACGTCATACAGGACTCTATGTAGATATAAACTGTGTGTAGTAAATCTCAATACAGATATTGACCAGGAGTATATATATATCCACTCTCCTCATGTAGGACTCTATACGTATAGAGAAACCCAGTATAAACGTCATACAGGACTCTATGTAGATATAAACTGCATGGAGCAATCTCAATACAGATATTGACCAGGATTATATGACACACACCACACATGGACATGGAAAAGCTGTCTCTCACCATCTATATGGTTGTCCAGCACCCACTGTGCATCCATTACATCATGCATTGTCACCAGTCTATCCTGCAACACAATTCACATACCAGATACTCCAATACTCCATACACCAGACCTTCACTTTAGAGTACACTCAAGTAATATAAAACTCATGCTCACATACCCATACTCCAAACCCCATACTCCAGTTCCCATACTCACATTCTCAGACTGGATCCCGGAACGGACTCGGCGCAGCTCCTGCATGTGACCTCCGACCCCCAGCATTAGCCCCAGGTGGACACACAGGCTCCTGATGTAGGTCCCTGCTTCACAACTCACCCAGAACACACCTGCCATCGAGTGAAGACAAACATCAAGATTTGGACATTTCCACAGCAATCAAGCCCTCCACCACGGAGTAAAACAGCAAGTGATAAAAGAAACGAAATTGTCACCTAGTTTTCTTTCAGAGTCGAACTCCAGGAGTTTATTCTTGTAGATGGTGCGGACTCGTAGCTGTCGCTTGACGGCAGAAATGAGGGGAGGTCTTTGGAACAGTGCACCAACCATTCCATCCAGGGTCTTGAGGACGACAGGGAGAGACAACGAGGGAGGGGAGAAATAAAAATATTTTTAAAAAATGTTGAAACTAAATTTCAGGGGAAAAAATTTCGCTTGTCCTCATGTAAAAATGGGCTCTTTCCCCCTTGATATTTTATAGTTAGTATATACACAGGGCCCACTCAGAAACAGCCTCTGAAGTGTGATCATCACATGACTATCAGGTGATCAATCATCACAGTGAGCACTACTATAATAGTCTCATGACCAGACCTTCCTGCAGGGAGCTGGCACCCTCTCCACTCACCTGAGCCAGTTTGGCCTTGCTGGGTACGGCATCGTGAAGTCGAACAACACAAACGTACTCTTTCCCTGTAAAATAGAGTAGATTTGATGAGACAGATACGTAAAGGAGTAAAAAATAAAGATGCAAGTAACTCCTGAGGAGTACTTACATTTCCACATAAAACACACACACACACAACTCAAGTCTTATTGTGGAAAACACGGTCTACATTATTTGTACCTTGACTATAGCGCGCAGTGCAAAATACTCAGGAATAGAGAGGAAGGAGATGAGAGAAAGAAGAGAGAGAAAAGCAGAAGAGAAGGGAGAGAGAGAGACTCACCTGCCCCCTGCTGACTCTTGACCAGTCGAGTGGCTCGGTCGATGCAGACAATGAGACAGCCGGTGACCTGAGGATCCAGTGTCCCGCTGTGACCTGTCTTCTCCACACGCAGAATCCTCCTGATCCAAGCCACCACCTGATACACACAAATCAAAACTTCGGGCATATGAAAAAATTTGAGCTGCCACCACCTATACATACATACACTCGCAAACTATTTCAAGCTAGACACAAGCCCTAAAGATTTAGACGCACTCTCTTTTCACAGCTAGACAGAACATTGTTAAAATCATAGTTTTGAGGAGCTTGGCTTCATAAGGAATGATAGGGTGAGCTATCAGCAGTTGCACTGTGCGTACACAGGCATGCTCAGATGGTGGTGCATACCACATTAATCATCAGCCGAGGAGCTCCTTTAATTTCCACATGTCAAGGGGCAGTATAATATACATTCTGTCGTGATTTAGTATCAAACACGCATCAATTGTAAAAGATAAGAACCGTCTTCTAGCAAAGCGCACTATCAAAAATTCACACAAGCGACATGTAAAGGCGAATTCTTGATAAGTGTACCTCGTGTGAAGATGGATTGGCCGGCTTGTCGAGGTTGATAAACCCATGTTTGACATAGTCTGATATTGGTCTTTGCAGTGGAGAGCAGCCTGCCTCCAGTGGTGTGTAATGACCCGTCCTCACCACCATCCTGTGGTAGTTCTAGATAACAGAACACACAATACCAACCACCATCAACATTATTCATGGTATATCAAGCGATTACATCATTGTGATAATTAGCATCCCCTTAGGTCCATACATTATCTAGGAGGTTGCACAATTTTGTACATACATTATCTAGGAGGTTGCACAATTTTGTACATTGAGAACGTTGTCTCGTTTTGCACATTGAGAGAACGTCGTCTGCTAACCTTCAGCAGTAGGGGCCATTGGGAGGCGTCCAACTTCGGCTTTGCATCGCTCGGTTGGATGACAAAGTCACGTGCCTGAGAAAAATAGAGAGAGCGGGCAGATTGGAAAGGACAAAAGGCTAGGTGACTAGCTAACCCCTTTCTTTTCTGTTGGAGGCGCATCTCCGACCTCTGCTGTAGCTGGGAACGGACGGGAGAGCGAGAGACGTGAGCGACTGACACGGCACACGTCACGCAAACCCTTCTCTCAGCCTCCGCACGCGTACACGCAGCAGCAACCCGTTTCACGTGCGCTCACCTTCCGACTTTCGCCGCTTCTTCTTTTTGGAAAGCTCCAGATCACTCGCAACTACATCACAGGAGCTCATCATCGCACCCCGGCTGGCTAAAGACCAAAGTTCCCAGCACGTGGCGTTATACGCATGCGCAATCCGTGCAAGTTATGCGCATGCGTATTTCTTTCTCTACGTCCCTCCTTTCTGATCTGCGGTGTGTTGGTCGTAAACCTGGTGGCATCGGCTAAGAGACCAGCCGCACCACGCCGTAAGTTTTACTTGCTAGTGGAAAATATATAGTTTTTCAATGTATCACTATTTGTTAGTGCTAAACCTTGATAGTTTTGTTGAGTTCTACTGCTCTATCGACTCGTGTGTAACGTGGGCGTTATTTGGAGCTTTCTGCTGTAGGCGATGGGTAGAGTCATTCGCGGTCAGAGGAAGGGGAAGGGGAGCGTCTTCAAGGCGCACACGAAGCACCGGAAGGGGGCCGCAAAATTGCGACCCCTGGACTTCGCCGAGCGACACGGCTACATCAAGGGGGTCGTGAAGGACATAATTCACGACCCCGGTCGGGGGGCCCCCCTAGCGAGGGTGGTGTTCAGAGATCCCTACCACTACAAGCTGAGGAAAGAGACGTTTGTAGCCACTGAGGGAATGTACACTGGACAGTTTGTCTACTGTGGAAAGAAAGGTATTGTACGTTTTATTCCATGCGTCTCATTTTCCACTGGCTGTGCGTCTGTCCTCCTCAGCAACTCTGGCAGTGGGAAACTGTCTCCCGCTCGGAGTGATGCCCGAGGGAACAATTGTGTGTCAGGTTGAGGAGAAGATGGGCGATAGGGGGAAAATAGCCAAGGCCTCTGGTAATTATGCCACCGTCATTGCCCACAACACCGAGACTAAGAAGACTAGAGTTAAGCTACCGTCTGGCTCGAAAAAAGTAAGTAGAACCAAGTGTGTAAAGGACAGAAAACTTGTAGGAAAAGAATATATGCGGACAAATTTTTTAAGTTATTTTCCCACTTCCCTTATATTCTCTTGTACACAAGAGAATATGTATTTGCGAGCGATATTCTTAAAGTCACTGGCTAAACCAACCCTCTCTCTCAGACGTTGTTATCAACCAACCGAGCGGTGGTGGGTGTGGTGGCCGGAGGAGGGAGGATCGATAAGCCACTCCTGAAGGCAGGGGCCGCCTACCACAAGTACAAGGTCAAGCGAAACTGCTGGCCCAAAGTCAGAGGAGTCGCCATGAACGTGAGTGTCTTCTCTGTGTGGCAGAGTCTGACTTGCTAGTCTCTCACGCACGCACACGCGCTCTCTCTCTCTCACAGCCTGTTGAGCATCCTCACGGAGGAGGCAACCACCAACATATCGGAAAACCATCGACTGTCAAGAGAGGAGCACCAGCTGGAAGAAAGGTTAGAATTTCTCTGGTTTTTCCGAAAAGGATGCTTTATCATTTCCCTCTGCTTGTCCAGGTTGGTCTCATAGCTGCAAGGAGAACTGGCAGACTACGTGGAGGGAAGGCAGCTGTCAAAGACGACGATTAGCTGTCTCAAACTTTAATCTCTGTCTCTTTCTCTCGGAGAGACGTGTATTACATGTATACCGAATGAATAATTAATGTCGCGCTGTATTGTTGTTTGTGCACGTGCGCTAGCTGACCCGGTTCGAGGGTCAAGGGAGAAGATATGGCGATGCAGAGCGTGGTAAACAAAGTAAAGTCGGCGGCTCTCGGCGTCGCTGACTCCCTCACCCCGGTCCTGAAGGTACAGCTAGCCCTTCTCTGTTGTGTAAATCGACCGCATGCGCTAACTGAACCCCTCAACTCGACGATGCATACATATACTGTAGGAGTCCAAGTTCAAGGCGACGGGGATGCTTACCCCCGAGGAGTTTGTGACTGCGGGGGACCATCTCGTATACCACTGTCCCACATGGAGCTGGTCGGGCGGAGAGCCGGGCAGGAAGAAGGCCTATCTCCCTCCTGACAAGCAGTTCCTAGCCACAAAGAACGGTAGAGCTCGATGTTAGCTAGCCATATCCCATACAGACATTGATAAGACTACCTTTTACAGTACAATATTATGTTGGACTTGTTTTGCAAATTTTACCAATTCCTGCAAATGTTTTCTCTCTGGAATTTTGTAGGTTGGCATAAATCTGCACATTAATTCTCAACGAAATTCACATTTACTACTGAAAGGCGAAAGTTTTTATCTCTGTAAGTATGTTGATTTCTGTTCCCTCTTCAGTACCATGCTACAGAAGGTGTAAGCAGATGGCTCTTGTCCCGACCAACGAGAAACTCCTGATGGTGGAAGGTGACGATGAGGCATGGGTGGACACCCATCACGGAATGGGTAGGTCACATGACATGTCACATGACCTCACGTGACATCAATTATTACAGCTCTCGAGCAAGCTACAGATAAACTGGTGGAAATGACACTGGACTCTGTACCCAAAACCACACCCACTGATACCTCGGACATTCCACTGGTTGGCACGGCAACAGCCGACGAGGACGACAAAGAGTCAGACGACGAAGGCCCAATTCCAGACATGGACGACTACACTGAAGACGATGACCCGGTGAGTCACATGATATCACATGATCCTCATGTGACCTCACCTACCCCAAAGGCCGTAGCTCCGGCAACGAAATACGTAGCCCCGCCCACTGAAGAAGTCGGGATTATCCGCACACGAACCTATGACCTCAACATTACATACGACAACTTTTACCGCACCCCTCGGCTCTGGTTGTTTGGATACGATGAGAGACAGAGACCTCTATCGGAGGAGGGCACGTACGAAGACGTCAGTCAGGTGAGCTGGTCACATGATGTCATGACCTATCAATAGTAGCATGGCCTCAATCAGATTGTAGGAAGAAGATCTGAAGAACTGCTGATGAGCATAAAATTGTACACACATACATACACCTCGAAAAACCCCTGCAATTTGAGTGCAATTTTTAAACCAGGAAAAGTTCAAACAACTTTCTATATGCCCCGTCTAATATCGGGGTGGTGCAAACACACACTAGAACTATTATAGTTTTCTGACAATTATTATAATCTTGTTCCTTGACGCAGGACCACCTGAACAAGACAGTGACCCTCGAGCAGCACCCTCACCTCCCCCCTCCTCCCCGTCTCTCGGTCCACCCCTGTCGTCACGCAGAGGTAATGAAGAGAATCATGGACATGGTTGCCGAGGACGGCCGAGAGCTCGAGGTCCACTCTTACCTCATCGTTTTCCTCAAGTTTGTTCAGGTATGATGTCACCATTACATCATCATGTAATCATTACAGTGGTGAATGTCCCTAATGTACATAGGTTTCACTGTACATCGTCAGTTATGATGTCATCATTACATCATTCTGTTTTGCAGTCGGTGGTGCCTACTATAGAATATGACTACACTCAGCAGCTAGCCATCACCACAAGTACGTGACCACACCCACCAATTAAAGCAGCAGTCGACGACACTATATATAATAGGAGTGCAAATTGAACATAATTCTTGTGTGCACTAATTGTCATCTTGTCCGTGTGAGATTTTTGTACAAAAACACAAAACACATAATAGTGGGGGCGTTCTGATTGGAATTGGAAATATTATAGTCAATCGGGTTCCGTTCCAAAGTATCTGTCGCCGTAGTTACCAACTCCGGGCAAAATATGGTAGTCCCTACTAACCTACATACAATGGGAAAATGGCACGAGATTTTAAAAGTGCAGTGGAACTCAAGGTTAAGGGGTATATATACAATATATACCTGACCACATACTCAAAAAGGAAAGTAAGGAAATGCTCTAAAGACAAGCTCTTCGACTGTCTCCGTGTCCAGATTACAGAGGTCCACCACTGCGAGGTTTAACAAGAAGCGAGGTTTACCTTTGGGTCAACGGCGGTAGTTATGATGCGGACGTGGGGAAAGCTGTAGGCCAGTGTCTGTATTCCTAGTCTCGCTGCCAGCATTGTCACAAAGATGATGTTCTCTTGAGGGACGTCGTGGTCCTGCGTATAAGAGAGAGATTGTCGAGTGGAAGATCAAAGGGAAGCAGAATAGCAGAAATTTCATTGTAATGACGCACCAGAAGAATTCTGATTGCCATAATTGCAGCTGCTCCGGTTGCTATGGTAGCATCCATGAGGATCACATGACGTTGTGATATGTCAGACGGGAGCCTCAGGAAATGGAGCTGGAAACAGCGAGAGATGGACGGTGTGCATCGGCAAATGAGGAGTGTGTATGAGCGACAGAGAAAGAAAGGAAAAAGAGACAGACAGGTTTACGTACCGCTGGTTCGTCTGTGGTTTCGTTGGTTTGGATGAGGATCTTTCCGATGGTCGCCTCCTTGCAGACAGACAGCAGCGCTGGTTCCAGCACCTCTCCTGCTCTCATGATGGACACTCCACATAGCTACAGGAGGGAGGGAGGGAGGGAGGGAGGGAGGAGAAAAGAAAAGGGAGGAAAAAAGAGAAGAGAGTTAAGTTGCAGAGAAAGGGGTATATATGAAGTGCTCACTAACTTTTCCATTGAATCTCTTTCCGCTGTACTCGTCCCCTTGAGGAGTGATCACAGCCACATCCTGGGTCACATGACAGTCACGTGATCCACACGTGATGTCACAATAGTCACATGATCCACATCTTCATGTGACCTCTCACCTGGAAGGGGAGGAAGGAGTGGGCGTATTCCATGGCGAGACAAGCCAGTCTGTTGGTGAAGAACACAAAGTCATCTCTCTTTGTCTCTTTGTTCCTGCGAAAGAGAGGGAGAGAGAAAATAGGACACAACATTTTGGCACGAACAAGATTTCACCAAACTGAATATTTTCCGCAAAAAGTGGGGCTGTATGCAATATTCTCTGCAAACCAATTTTGCTAGATAAATTTGTCTATCTTGTGAGTATACAGTAACACCAGATGTCCTGGAAACGGATGTCGGTGTTGTGGAAGTGAGAGAGAACTAACCTGATGACGGTGTGCATGGCCTTGACCTGAGGCTTGTTGGGGAGAATGTGAACCGAGTCAGGCAGAGCCTCAGTCTCCCTCTGACCTGCCAACAACTTGGGCCGGTTGTTGAACCCTCTCTAGTATCGAGAACATATATTACATCATCATTACATCATAGAAGAACATTAGAGGACACATTGACAAAACGGGAGATGGATGGAGATGAGCACATTATAATTTACATCATAGAACACATTACATCATAAGTATAGCATACGTGAGTCAAATTATTGATGACATCATCATTACATCATCCCCGACCTGTTTGAGTTGATCTTTGACGTGTTCGACAATGAGTTGAACAGCCACTCTGTTCTGGCCTCCGCGAGGGACGACAATGTCTGCATACTGCATCGTTGGCTGTATGAACTGGTGGAAGGCCTAGAGTAGAGAGCGAGAGAGAGAGGGGGAGAGTAAAAAGGCCTTTTATTCAGAGGAGTCCCTTTATTCGGAGGTAATGCATACACTAATGTATTAGTACGGGCCAGAACCAAGTGTCCTTTTTCGGAGGTTTGACTGTTTTTTTCTGGATATGGTGGACAGAGGAAGTGGACTGACTGGTTTGACAAACTTGTTGTACTGCTTCAGCACACCCTCTAGATCCCGCCCTCTCTCTGCAATGTCCCTGCGAAGTCTGGACAGGAATAGAGCAAACAAGAGAGAGGAATGTCGGAACACATCCCTCACATTACAGTCATGCATGCACACTGCATATACATCAGAATACTTAACTATTGCTAACCTTCTGGCTAGTCGAATGTCTGAATCAGTGTCTACGAAGATTTTGAGGTCCATGAGTTTTAGAAGAGGTGCGTGGCAGAACGCCATTATACCTTCGAAAACGACCACGTTGGCTCCGTACATTGTATGCTGCAGCAGATAGCAACAAACACACACACAGGCAGACAGACAGACAGAAGTAACACATTTATGGGTGTGAGTTTTTAAGACTGTTATATATACAGTTAAATCTCTGAATAAGAGACAATTTTGGGAACATTGTCCTTTATTCCGCGTTTTCCTTACACAAACCAACACTAACACATTCACTGTTGGTACAATACCTTGTACTTGGCGTGGGCGTGTGTGCTGAAGTCGTAAATTGGTATCTCCACGTGTTTGCCTTCTTTCAGTTTCTGGAGAGTCTCCACCAAGAGATCCATGTCAAATGCGTCTGCAGACACACACACATACACAGAACAAATGCAGTCCATAGCTCTCCTCAGTTACATAGTACAGTTGACTTGCCAGGGCGGTCGAAATTGTACTCATTTTCTGCGGCTTTCTTGTTCTGTTCTGGAGTCAAAGCCTGCAACGTTTCCAAGTTAAAAGAGAGTGTGTTGCACATGACGCTGCGATATGTCATGAAAGAGAGAGAGAGAGAGAGAGAGAGAGAGGGGGGGGACCTTGTAGAAGGAGTCCATGGAGAGAAGAGAGACCCAGGGAACACCCAATGACTCGATGATCCTCCGAGCAACTGTCGTCTTCCCCGACGCACTCCCACCTGCCAAACCTAACCCATAGAGTATTTTACACATTTTTTCAAGACATATAGAACTTATCTACAACATTTCCCCTACCCACTCACTAACGGTTTCTCCAATACCGTAATTATTATGGTGTGCTAAATTAGTCACCTCACCTATGACAAATGCTTCAGCGATCTGCCCATGGGAGTCGTACCATGGAGGACGCCCTGGGAAACAGATTACATCATGCATCACGTGACTCATCACGTGACTAAAGGGTGTAAGCATACCGGCAATGTAGATGGTTCTTCTTCGTCTCTCTCCAGGGGTGGAAGATTTGCGAGGAGTGCTGGCCTTGTTGCCTCGAGGACTGGTGGTGTCTGCAGGTAGAGCTGCCACCTCATCCCCCTCGCTGGGGGCCAGAGAGGAGAGAGAGAGAGAGAGAGTGTGTGTGTGGATGAGGAACTCCGCCCATTGCAAAACAACATTAATTAATGAATCAATTATAGAACCTCACCTGCCGGAGTCGCTGCTAGACACGGAGATGACGCGCTCTCCGCCGCCTAACGCTTCTTCCCCGTCCTCCAGCTCCATTGTCTCCTTCTTGCCTGCAGACTCACTCAGCACAGCCCCCGCCGCACGACGCAAGCTCGCTCGCTCTCCACGCCCGCCGTTACGCATGCGCAGTGGCATTTCGTTGTCATGGCGACAGAGCGGTCGCAAACTTTTTCAGCTGAATTTGTACTCCGCGAGTTAGAGACCTACTCTAGGGCCGGGATGGCGCTCCCTTTCTTACCTGGAAACTCTTTCAACCCTAACGTCAGTAGATACGTGAAGCTCATGGCGGCCAAACGTGTAATTTTCGCCCGTCTTTTGCAGGTGGGAAAGACGAAGTTTCATAAGTCGCACACGTTCGATTTCAGAGGACCAGTTCCTACCCTGGACGACTCCAAACCCGGCATTGGTCAGCTGAATAATAAGTGCTTAGTGATTAGACTCTTGTTTGCAGGCTGATCGTTTTGTACCACTTTCTTGTAAGTTGAGCTAAGAATGTCTTGTGTTTCAGGTGGTAAGCTGCTACCAGGTCAGTCTCCAAAGAAGAACTGCAGCGTGTATCCGACTGGAGTTGGAGGAGGCCAGCCTGCCTGGGTTGCCTTTGACAGAAAGGTGGTTGACTCACTCTGCAGCCACCCTCAAAACGTTCCTTAGCTACAACTCCCTATCTCCCCCCACACACTTTCTCTCACTTGCCTTTTCTGCAGGTGTTGCGGTTCTATGGCTATTTCCAGGAGGCGGTCCACGAGCGAGCCGAGGAGCAGTTTCGAGTGCGACGCTGCACCATCTACTTCTACCTGGAGGATGACACCATACAGGTCAACGAACCTCAGCAGGTCAACTCTGGCATTCCCCAAGGTCGGTATAATCATGAAAATAATGGCGACTGAAAGCAAACTGATGCTATATATGTATGTTGCATGTCACTCAAATGGTGCCATGCTTTCTTTAGCAGAGCTATTCATTGCAGCATTTGACAACACTGTAATCCATTCACATGTAGCGTTTACTGTGGTGGTCCCCTTGAAGTAAATGTTCTTCTCTCAGGGACGCTCATCCGGAGACACAGGATCTCCCTCCCTGCTCCAGATGACGATCTGTTCTACACTGTAAAAGACTTTAACATCGGACAGAAGTTGACTCTCTACGGCCGAGTGTTCAGTATCGTGGTCAGTTCACACATACCACCATTCTACTTGCGGGCAATAAAGTTAAACAATAATTATGTTTCACCTAAGGATTGTGATGAGTTTACGAGGAACTTTCTGCGAAAGTTGGGAGTGAGAGTACCAGCTCCTCTCGACTGTCCTTCTGATCCATACACCACACTCAGGGACCAGGTGAACCACATCACTGGTGTATTGCACCCTCAATGTATTACGATTCTATTAGAGCTTTACTTAAACTGTGCCTTATGTGTCTAGCGTGGCTTCGGGGATACTTTGTGCAAAACCATGTGTGTTACCTCTTGTCTTTCAACAGCTGGATTTTTTTTAACCTGCTAGCATTCAACTTGCTGTGTATCATGTGTTTTGTTGCCTCTTTCCTCCCTCAGAAACTGGAGTCGATGCAGCCTCTGAGACCGTACGAGAAGCTAGACACCCTCCAGCAGTTCCTGGACTACGACAGACACGTCCTCAGGTTCTTCTGCCGTTGGGACGACTCTCCAAGCATGTTTGGTGATGTCCGCTGGCTCGTGCTCCACTACTTCCTCGCCGACGACACGGTCGAGGTGTTGGAGAAAATCCCGGCCAATTCTGGTCGCGACGCTGTCCCCGTGTTCCTCCGCAGAGCAAGGCTTCATAAGGTCTGGAGACACTCCCACCTTTCAACAGATTCAGTAGACGTTTTCAGTTTATCTTATACCCATGGATAATCCCCATTAGTTTGGTGTAGAAATTCATGAAGCAGCAGTTTTTTCCAAGGCTTTTGGCATATTAAGACACCCTTACAAACAGAACGTTGCTTCAGATTTTGCACTCTTTAGAGCTGTATGTCCCAAGATTACAGAGCACTGCGGAGTGAAAGAAGTCAGTTATCCTCTCTCCGTATGTGTGTATTCGTACCAGGAGGCAGTTCCTGTGGATCAGCCAGGAGTGGCCACCAAGAGAACAGTCCTCAATGTGTTTGGGAGCGGAGGTCACGGTGGACGCTACATTCTAGACTCTCTCAAGGTCTGTATGCACCCCAGCACACTGTTCTTTCTTACCAGCTATTTCTCCCCCTTTTAATGTATGGGGTTTTTTGCACTGCGTTTTGAAGCTATAGTTAAAGTATTGAGGATTGAAGATTGTTGGCCTCTCATTCTCTACACATTCTTGCTAAGAAAAGTGCAGTGCAAATAACCGTCTTGTTGCATACAAATGTTGGCTTGTGATGTCTTCAACGTTCCAAAGTCTACACTTCATGTCTTTGTGTTAGACTGGGGCAGTGGCAACGGACTATTTCCGAGACAGTGACCTTACGGTAGGGGGCGTGGTCAACCTCTGGGGGCGTCGGCTCCTCCTCTGCGACTGTGACGAGTTCACCAAAGAGTACTACCGCTCCAAATATGGTGTCAGTAAGTGGAACCCCACCTGATCAGAGAGCTGCTTTGTACTGCATACAGACATTCATCAGTCACGGAATGTTAATCCAAGGACATTCTCTCCTTCTCTCGCTCCAGAAATGTTTGAGGCGGTGGACGTATCGGAGCCTCCTCTTCCCCCACAGCTGAGACAAGTTCCTCCCTACAATGGGTTTGGTAGTCAGGAGGACTCCCTGGCCTCTCACCTCAACCTCATCCCCAAACCACCACGAAGGTGCGCAAAAGAATACCTCTACTACTGAATTTTGAGTGGACCCATCTTTTAAATTTTGCAACTCGAAATTTCGGCATTACCCACTAAGTAGAAGATGCCTCTAGGTCTCACATTGTCTGTGTGTGTGGTGTTCCTATTCAGGGACTTCAAGAAGTTCATGGAGAAGGATCGACACGGCCTGGACAGCAACGTGCTGAGGTTTGTGGCGAGAATGGACACCTCTAGACCCATCGACGTTGACCGGAGATTTACCGTCTTCTTCCACCTCTCCGACGACACCATCACCATCTTTGAGCCTCCCCAGAGGAACTCTGGTATGTAATTAGTGGGGGTTGCCCCTGTCAATCAGTGGGTCTAATTATACTATAGTTAGGGTTGCCCCTATCAATCAGTTGTTTTAATTAGTAGATCTCATAGGTTTGTGGTTGTCTTCATTTTCACATCCCTCGTCAGGTATCATTGGCGGGAAGTTCATGGAGAGAGGTCGCATCGCGAAGCCACGGGAGAGTGGCGGAGGTGACGAAGGGAGCCCCTCGCAGTATTACCTATCAGGAGACCTGTGGGTTGGAGCTCAGGTGGACTTCAACTCCCACCGCTTTGTTCTCATTGACTGTGACGAGTATGCCCTTCGCTACATGGAGGCCCACCCTGCACAGGTTGGTATTACATCACCATGCATTCTTCTGTCAAAAGACACCTCTCTATAAAGGCCCACTTGTTTCTATCACTGTGGGTATTATTTGCCCTCTGGATAAAGGACGACCCCAGTGATAGCGCGCATGCGCAGCGAGGGTACGTTTGTCTGTCTGTGTGTCTGTTACTCTCAATCTCGTGTCTGTTCGTCCCAGAAACGATACCATCTACCCAACGGGCGACGAGGGTCAGAAAATATGTGGGGTTTTCTCTGAAAATGATCCGTTGCAGAGCTAGAGCGCTTCCAGCATTGTATGGCATGGCTAATGCCGGTAGTCGCCATTTTATCGCTGGCGGACAATGTGCATGCGCTTATATTTAGCTCGACCGGGTCCGCTTGCTCTGTCGGCACAAGAAGTCACAACGAATGGCGTGTATCGACTCTCGCGTGCTATCTACTACTGTAGTTAGCCCGTGTCAGACTCTCTGCGAGCTACTTCGCCGAGGGTTTGCCCTTTAGTGCTTTTCTTTACACCGTTCCCATCAAGTAATGGTGGTGGTCTGATGGATAAGCACCCCCTCTCTTGATCGTGAGGTCCCTGGTTCGATCCCGGGTGTGTACGCCTTTTTTACAATGATGTAATAGGAGTGTTGGTATATATGGAACGTTTTTTCATCACCTCTCCAGGCCAGCCTGAGTGGCTAGGTGGTTAGAGTCGTGGGGACTGACACCATAGGTGCGGGGTTCGTATCCCGATCCCGCACTAAAATGTCAGATGGTCCAGAGCATTGGCTGGGAACAGCTCTGGTTCCTCCCCTTACCCACAAATCTACCACTGACCCATGTTTCTCAAAGGGCAGCGTACAGTTCGGCATAGCACTGCGTCCGTAGACGTCTGTCTGGAGAGATGAAGGGCTGGCCGTTTTTTTTCAACCTTAGATTTTTTTTTTGCACTAAACAATCCACAGGTAATACGAAAATTAATAGAGAGATGAAAGGTTGGCAATTTTTCAACCCTATATATTTTTTGGGCCTCAAACAGAAATGGGGCTGGCCATTTTTTCAACCGACCATGGAAATAGTGCATAACATGCTGTTCTTTTTGATGCATAGTCAAGACCATCAATTGTGGTGGTGCCACACTTGTGTATGGGTTCCACATTTCTATATAGTGTGCCGAGGGTTTGCACTTTAGTGCTTTTCATTGTACCAGTTTCCACACGCGGACAAAGATGCAGTTCTGAAGAAAGTGTCGGGCCAGGCCAAGGAGCACGTCCCTTCGCTGCAGGCAGCATTCAGGGAACAAGACCCCAGCAACTCTGGCAGCATCAGTGTTCAGCAGTTCACGTGAGAATCAGCACAGTTTAACAGGGGACACAAAAAGTGTCCTTTATTTAGAGGTGTACTTAGAGGTAACACTCTATTGGTACCAAGTGTCCTGGAAAGAGGTGTCCTTTAGTCAGAGGGTCATTTTTTCATTGGTTTTCACTGCATTCTATCTATCTCTCTCCATCAGTATGCTGGTGAAAGGGTTGTCACAAGGTCTACTCAGTGACCACGAGTGTCTGACTCTGGGAAGAGCATTCGGCCAGAGAGCCTACCCCATCCTGCCCACCCTGGTCCGTCTGGTCCAAGACGATCTCCACAAACACAACTTCACCCAGTTTGCCGCCCTGGAGACTGCTCTCGCCCAATGCTGTCAGGTGAGAGGAAACCACTACCCGATGAGAGTAGCATAATACTCTCTATATACCCTATTATCTCACTTCCTGGATCACTGCATTTCGCTTTCCCTGTCCCCATCTATATGTGGCACCCCTTTATATTAATGCTATTTGGCAGTACAGACATTTTCCAGTAGTGATCCATATATATACTCTGTTTGAACAGGATGAGACGGCCTTCGTAGACCCCGCCCACCTGAGACGAGTGTGTGAGGCTGCGGAGCTACCCCTCAGCCACCAGCTGGTGGATGCCACACTCATGAAGTGAGGACACCCCCTCGTTATCAGCTCTTCTATTATAATGCATAGCAGTAGTTGAGTCTCACTGTGCCACCATTGTATGTACAGTTGTCAGACCAGTTCCAGTGGAGCTGTGGACTACCAACAGTTTCTCCAGCTCATCAATTGGAGGGACCACCCCCTCCCTACCCCTCGAAACACCGTAACACACCCTCAACCTAAACCTTTATTATCCCCCCCCTCTCTCTCTCTCTATACTCTAATATCTTGACACGTACATACCAATTTTCTTGCATCAGACATACATGCAGCATGGTGACACAATGTGGTGACAGTACATTAGTACTGGGGTGGCACTGTAGAAACTAAAGTGTTTTAAAGAATAATGTACATAACCAGTAGCTATAGTAAGTTTCCGTGTTCTGCTCATCCCAGGTTTCAGCTGGTCAGTCAGGCTCCTGGACGTCAGGACAATCTCAGACCATATCTGCTGTGGACTACACCGCTTTCCTGTCAGCACTACAGCAGACTCAAAACTAGCCCCTATTGCACACCTTCTGACACTTTTGTTCATGCATACGTCAGGCTAAAGTCTTACTGTATGTATGTGTAGTGCAAACACCTCCGGAAAAATCTTGCTTAAAAAATCTTGTAATTTGGGTGGAAAATAATAACTTACAACAAAATATCCTACTGTGATGATCAAATTTGGGGATTGAGGGCATAGGAAATAATATAGGAAATAATAGCACAGAGAACGGGAAAATAGAATGAAAATAGAGATCTGAGCTAGAGTGGTAGTTCATGAGGGAGAACTGAGGTTGTTCTATAAAACAGAGTGATGGTTTGGCCAAGTTAACTGCAGAGAGGAGCTAAAAATCCTTGAAAGGTAAGACGTCTCTGTCTTTGAGTGGCGGTACGTTGAACCATCCGTCCTCGGGATAATGCTCAAAGTTCCTAGTGTCCCCTGAGTGGGTCGCCTTTGGAATTATACCAGGCTGGAGGAGAGAGAGAGTGTGTTGCGTGTGTGTGAGCCCCTGAGCAATTGGGTGCTGATTAGTTCGAGGCATATAGACAATGGTAAAGGTATTATCAAGAGTTGACTTCCGTGTGCAATATTTTGAGTGTGAGATATGACTCACCACTAGCTTTCTCTGCAGTACAGCATCCCAGTCGACTCCTCTAAACCATCTGTGTTGCTTCACGTCCGCAACCCCTTGCTGGATAGAGACAAGTTAATTAGCAAACCAGTTATGTACACACCAGCACCTAATAACTGGAATTCTTTTCATGCACCATTAATTATCCAGAGTGACATTGTCAAGCACTATACAAAAGCAGTGGATTTTTGATGTCAGAAAAAATGGGGGGCCCTCAAAATAATCGTAAATAATCATGTATATACCTTGAGGCTTCCTAGTCGACTCGTCACATCTCTGGAAAGTAGTTTCTTGATTAGGTCTTTGGCATTGGCATCCAGGACACCCGATTTAGGCCACTCTATCTTCCCTTCTAGAATCTTCTCGTAGATACGGAAAGGGTGCTCGTCAAAGAATGGAGGATAGCTGAAAGTAAAGTAGCAGGCAACTTCAAAGAAAGTTGGCTCTAAATCTCTAAAAGGCTATTGTAACAAAAATTCAGCTGGATATACAAATTGCAACTCACCCGACTAGCATCTCGTAGATGAGAATTCCGAGAGCCCACCAGTCGACTTCCTTCCCGTGACCTCGGCCCTGGATTATCTCCGGAGCCAGATACTCTGGCGTTCCACAGAGTGTATAGGTCCTCCTGCAGAACAGGCACAATTCTACATACACGAACTAATTCTACATCTGAACTAACTCTATATCTCCACACATTGGATAGCAATACAAGATTCTGTTAATGGTGAGTGGCATACAAAATAGTCAACTGCTGAGATTCTATATAATACACTACTTAGTGTATACTGATGAAAAGTAAAATTATCAATGTGTGGAGGGGAAGGAAGGTAGGGGGAAGAAAGAGGCGAGATAGGGACAGGGATGCAAGAAAAAGGCGAGATAGGAACAGAAGGCAGGCTGACCGGCCTATCAATCTCTTGGCAAAGCCAAAATCTGTGATCTTGATATGTCCCGTGATGTCCACAAGAATGTTCTCCGGCTTCAAATCTCTGGAGAGAGAACGTGAACAAACACACGTACCGTTTATCATATGATTGATTCAGCACATGTGGTCACTAGTTGCAATGTGATCACTAGATGTCTTGCAGCAGTGAATGTTCGATGGAGAAAAATCAACTCCTAATAGAGTGTCCTTAAATGGTACATATTATATATAGTTGGTGTCCTGGCTGGTATACAATACAATAGGAGTGGTGGAATTGGGTATAGTCATACTATAGGAGTGGTGGAATTGGGTATAGTCATACTATAGGAGTGGTGGAATAGGGTATATGGTCATAAGATATCCTAATATATATGCCACAGGACATCCTGCCTGCAGAATGCAATAGTGCGGGCCAAAATGGAATATCAGTGACCAGAGAGATCACTGATCAAGTGACACCTCAGACCAGTATACAGTAATAGTACAAAGCACCCAGTAATAGTTCTGTGTAAAGAGGTATGTATGTAGGACTATAGATAGACCTGGATATTTTTAACTGTATATTTACACTTTAGTGCTTTATCTCATTTTGTAACAATTCTAGAGGCAGTTCTTTAGTACTGCAGTCCTAACATCATTGATGAAACAAAAGATCACACACAAAGAACAGCTGTCAACATAATTATGTATAATTATACCTGTAGACAATGTCTTGACTGTGTAGGTAGTCAAGTACCATGACTATCTCGCAGGCAAAGAACACGGCAATGGGGTTGTCGAATCGATGTGCCGTTCTGAGGTAGGTGAATAGCTCTCCACCAATGACGTATTCTTGTAGCATGTACAAGAATCTGTTGTCGTGATGGGTCCACACCCTAGATCAGGCAGATTGTTAACCCCCGTTGAGATTTCATTTTTAACCCCTTACAAACACATCATGTTCAACCCTTAGCTCTGGAGCTGATTAGTTTCTGATATTAACCCCTCAGAGGCTAGTTGAGATATTTTTAACCCTCAGTATTTCAATTAATTCTATCCCGGCTCTTTCATTTGCGTTGAAGTTGTTCTAACTTTAACCCCACTCACACACTGACGATGAAGGGGTGAGATATCGACATGAGGATCTCCTTCTCGTTGTTCACGTGCTCGACTTGTTTCAGTTTTATGACTTCGCTTATCGTCATGATCTTCAGGGCAAAGAAATTACCAGTCGGAAGATGTTTCGTTAGCACCACTCTCCCAAATGTTCCCGTGCCTATATATAGCACAGAGAGAAGAGTTAGAGAGAAATTTGAAACCAATTTCACTCATGTTTGGATAATTAGTGACCGCTGTTCATCTGTGACATCACGGCACGGTCTAGAGAGTGTGCTTAATGGCAAAATGTGTCAGTGTATGGTACATGGGAGGTCAGAATTTGGCCTACAAAATACAACTATTAGGGCTCAGCATAATATGAATACATTACACAAGAGCTAGACAGGAAACAAGTGGTGTCAGAGATCTAGAGAGGAAGCTCGTATGTTGCTAAAATTCAATTTTTGCCCGACACCTCATTTTGCGTCACGGACAACGCCCACTAATGTTGATATCTAGGTTGGGGAATAAAGCTATGGCTGTTTGGCAGCGTAGCTGGTTGCTTCCATCAACGCCGTAGGGGGGATGAGAGTGCTATACGGTCTCACGTGTGGGTGGGCCGATATGTTTGCAAACGCGGGATCACGAATGGCGTCCAAGGCGAGCCAAACTTCGCCTCACTGCGGACGTTTTCACAATCGACAAGCTCTCACCTATCGTCTGCTGTATCTCCAGGTCCCTCAGTTCGTACTTGATTGCCGGGCCGTCTCTCCCTTTCCCCGCGGGCCCAACTGCGCCGCCTAAAGACACCTTTCCCAAGTTGTAGGCCAGCGCCGAAGCCTGCATATCGTCCCTGAAGTCATCCGAGCCCCCGAACGCCATTCTCTGGTGACTCTGCTACGCCCACGCACCGGTTTCTCGCTCGATCTGCTCTAAACTGAGAGCTGGACCCCAAGCCCGTCGGCTTTTCAAAATGCCGTCCGAAAAAGAGCGCGCCCATGCCGCGCCCACACTCGGATAATTAGAAAAAAAAAATAAATATTGAAATCTAAACAACCACGTGATCACGCTCCAGCTGTAGTAGCTAGCTGAGCTAGAGCCTTTCTCCCTTGTTTCTCCTTTCTCACAAGGCGGGCTGCAGCGGTGCCACCATGTCGGAGGAAAAAGAGGCTCTTATGCCAGCTAGAGGTGAATACACACGACCCGCCGCCATTATTGTCGTCAACCGCAGCGTACTGGATCCCATGACGTACATTCCCAACTGGTTTATTGGCATTGGCTTTGCTTGGACTGAAAACTTCCCAGGAAATTGCGCTTGGGTAAAGGAAAAGCTGGAAACGTGTATTTACAGTCTTCAGTTCCTTATACACTGAAGCATTCTTTAGCCTTTGGTGTTACTGGGTGCCGGTGATGTAATGGGTGATGTAATGATTGATGCAGACTCGGCCAGTCTGGGTGATAGTGATGTAATGGTGATGTAATGATTGATGCAGACTCCGCTAGTCTGGGTGAGAGTGATGAGGAAGCAGAGACAAGGAGAGCAGCTGCAGCAGTGGAGAATAGCGAGGTGGCTAGACAGGGGTAAGATCTCCCTCTGTCTTCCTAGGTGTCTTTCGTCCCAAAACAACTAGAAATATGGATGGCATCTTGCAAAGTACAAATTTGCCAATCATCCTGCATGTGTAGCATACTAATCCATGTAGCCGCTAACTTTATTTGGAGGTTCTAATTTTCCTGCTTTCCAGACAATTTCTCCGACTGTGTATATATAACACATTAATTTTTTCTTCTCTCCTTTCTCTTGTTTCCTCTGGTAGAAGACGCGGTTTCAGCTGCGAGACGTTCCTACCGTGTGACCCCAGGAGATGGCTCCACAGGTTCCTCCTCCTCTTCCTCATGTGCATGCTCTCCTTTGGCTCCTACTACGTCTACGACAACCCAGCTTCTCTGGAGAAGACCATCATCAACGTCAGTATGTACGTACGTAGGTGGCGGTGATAAATTCCTCTAGTCGGGACACCGATGGGAAAGAAGAAAGTGTCAATACTAGTGAGGTGTCCTTATTTCAGGGGTTGAATTGCACGCAAGAACAGTTCTTTGGGAAATAACCGTGTTCTTATTAGAGAGTGTATAATTTCAGGGGCACCCTTAGGGATGGATTCCACTGACTCTTATGTGATTGATTCAAGTAGAAGAAAAACCAGACATCTTTAGATTTACGTTCCACAGGTGATGGGTGTGTCTGTGACTCAGTATGCTCTCCTCTATTCTCTGTACTCGTGGCCAAATGTGATTCTGTCTGTGTTTGGTGGCTACCTCATTGACCGTGTTCTCGGAGTGAGACTTGGGACACTCATCTTCTCCGGCTTTGTCTGTCTTGGACAGGTGAATAACCTTCCCCCTTCTCCCTCTCCTCTCTCCCTCTCCTCCCTCTCCTCTCTCCCTCCCTCTCCCTCTTCTCTCTCCTCTCTCCCCTCTCCCTCTTAATTTACTTCCCCCCCTCTGCAGCTGGTCTTTGCACTGGGAGCATTTGTTGACAAGTACTGGCTAATGCTCGTGGGCAGATTTGTATTTGGGTAAGACCCATACATTACTACTCATAACTTTAGTCTGCATGCATACGTACAAACCTCTCGATTTCAGGGGTCAGACATGTCAGCATTGTTGCAATTATCAGAAGCATTCCGAATTCATGTATGCACAACACACAGGTCTGCTCTCTCTCTCTCTCTCTCTCTCTCTGTCTCTCTCTGTCTACAGTTTGGGAGGTGAGAACCTTGCCGTGGCTCAGAACAACTACGCGGTGCTCTGGTTCAAGGGAAAGGAGTTGAACATGGTGTTTGGTATTCTCCTCAGCGTCTCCAGAATAGTTAGTTTCCATTTACATACAGTGGGACTCCTCTCTAAGGACCCCCCTGAAATTAGAACACCTCTAATTAGGACATCGTTTAAAACAGTTTTTGCACGCAATTCAACCTGAAATAAGGAAGGATGCGTTTATAATCTGCCCCATTGCTGTCCAGATTAGAAGGGTGTTCCACGCGCCTTACATCTTGAAGAAAATATTACAGGGAGTGAGATATTCAGGTGTAGATCTTTCAATTCACTTACCTCTCTCCCCCTCTCTCTGACTATGTACATATCACCACAGGGAAGTACAGTCAACATGAACATCAACCAGAAACTCTACAGCCACTATTTCGAAAACGTCAATCCCAACTTTGTGAGACTGGGAACAGTCCTGTTCATCGGTCTGGGGTTCTGTCTGCTGTCTCTACTGGCTGGTGTGGTCCTGGGCCTCTTCGACAAGAGAGCTGAGATCATCACCAAGAGAAAGTCTGGAGATGGTTTGCTCACTCTCTCTCTCTCTCTCTCTCTCTCTCTCTGGTTCCAAGTCCAAAAATAGTTGTCTAACCTCCCTCCTTTCTCTATATATAATAAACTGCCACAGGTGAGAGGATAAGTCTGAAGGATATCAAGGACTTCCCCCTGAGGCTGTGGATTATTTTCCTGGTCTGTGTGTGCTACTATGTGACCGTCTTTCCATTCATCGGCCTGGCAGTCATATTCCTCATGGAGAAATATGGATACGAGGCGAAGCAAGCAAACATCATTAATTCACTTGTGAGTGGACTAAAAATCGATTATATTGAGCCAGTGGCTCTGATTTGATTTGGGAGTGCTTTTTTGGAGCGGAGATTTGTCTGTCTGTTGTTCCCACACCACACACACACACACGCAGTGGGTGATTGGCCCAGCATGATGCGATGGTTTACCCAATGCTTACTGGTTTGTTGTACGCCAAACGTGCAGGTATACATCATAAGTGCAGCGGCATCTCCATTTCTCGGGATACTAGTGGACAGAACTGGACTGAACCTGTTCTGGCTGAATCTGGGGATCCTCTTTACCCTCGGAGCACACGCCATGCTGGCTTTTCTTGGTACCGCCACCTGGCTCCCCTATTTCGCCATGGCGCTGATGGGCGTGGCTTATTCCCTCCTGGCCTGCGCACTTTGGCCTCTCGTGTCTTTCATCGTCCCCGAACACCAGCTGGGAACTGCCTACGGGATGTGAGTCATGTGACCTATCTGATGTCATGCGTTGATCATGTGACGTGTCTCACAGCATGCAGGCGATTCAGAACCTGGGTTTGGCAATAGTTCCAATAGTGGCTGGCTATATCGTGGATAACAATGGATATCTAATATTGGAAGTCTTTTTCGTCGCCATGCTCTGCATCGCCCTCATATCAGGTGTGTTTTAATTGGAGAGAAAGGGTGGGGTAAAGGGGGCAGCGAGATCGGTGAAATAGGGATAGGTACAGCAAGATAGTGTTACTATTCCAAACTCCAACTATAGTAAAGGTAGTAAAGGTAGTTGGTTTTTATTTTCTTCCGTGCTTGTGCCTGTAAGAAATGCAAAACCGTTGAACCAAAACTCCCCCCACTAACAATCCTGTATACAAGCCTGGATATGTGTGTGCAGGTGTATTCCTGTACATTCTGGACTCTGGGGCTGGTGGAGAACTGAACAAAACAGCGTGGGCCAGAAACCGTGCGGAGAAAGAGAAGAAGGCGAGGGAGGAGATGGAATCAGAGAAGAAAAAGGCGGGCGAAGCCATGAAAACCAGGGGAGGTGACAGCTATACCAGTGAAATCGCTCCGAGCACCGCGTTCCATATTCGGAATCGCTACCTCTCACGAGTTGGAACAAAAGTAAGTCAACCATTTTTTTTTTTATTATCTTTACTTTCGTCGCTCTTATTTTTAGATGCCTAACCATGTCTATTCCCCTCTGAATCCTCTCACTTTGAACTCTGCACATATTGGTGTGCTCAAATGACTCCTTTTGTGCCTCTATTGTCGTGTGCTTTAGTGTGTGTCTCTGTATAAAAGATTTACGGAAGAGTCCGGAGGAGAACGTCACCGGCCGCGCGCCCATTTGACGCGTAGTATGAATTTACGGAGGAGTCCGGAAATAAACGGCGTTCGGCCGCGCCCCTCATTGTTGGTGGGCGTCATTTAGAGGAAAAAGCGTGAGAGAGAAAGCTCAAAGGATGAAGATTTGGAGATTATTATGAGCGAAACGAGTGGCGAGACGGTTCCGATGCTGCCCGTGAGGCTGTCCTACAGAGCGCTCTACCTTTTCCTCTTCGCGTGTGCGTTGTGCATCATTTTCCTTCTCTTACCCGGCCGCCGATTGTCTTGTTGTCCGAATGAGACTTCCGGACAGACCTCCGGGCGGGCACCTGTGTTTCACATGTCCGATAACGACCTCTCTCAGAACAGCTTCATGTACAACGGAACCTATCCTCTCACCGCACCACGTAGTAAGTCCAGGAGACCTGAATAGCTAATCATTTGTCTTGTATTGTTGACTGGGTGGTTGTTTTACGCTACAGAAACGGCTGCTGGTCTAGAATATCGAGTTGGACTAGTGGAAGATCCTGACGAGAGCTCAAGAAAAGGAGGTGATTCTATGGGAAAATCCTCACTTCCTGAAAACCTTGACTATAATTAGAGAGTGCAGTGCAATCATTGAAGCATGTGGCGGAAACAAGTGTCCCTTATATAGAGGTGTCCTTATTCGGACGTTGAGAGGTTTCAAACAGATTGAGAGTGTGGTAATTGTTACAATTTCCTCCAGAATCTTTCAAGTGGTCCAGCAACCTGAAAACTGGTGGCCTGGTTGTCCATAGAGACGGATCCATCGGCTTCAAGATCGAGAATACCATAGAGCTGACCTCTTACCTCTCGGAAAAGGGGCGTGGTGCCGAGCTGTCTGAGCTGATAGTGTTCAATGGAAGACTGTACACTGTGGATGACCGCTCGGGGATAAGTGAGTAGAGAAAGATGTATGTACAGTGGAACCCCCTCTCTAAGGATAGTCCTGAATTGAGGACACCTCTTTAATAAGGACACCTTTTTCATTCCTTGGTTGCACCTCACTAATATGGACAATTTCTTCTGTCCCGTTTGTGTCCATATTAGAGGGGTTCTGTGGGTACGTCGAGAGTGTGGGTGTAGGTTGGTTTATGGAGCATTGTCCAAGAATGTGTAGGATGGAAAAGACTCAACAGTTTCATGCCTCAAATGAAAAACACCTTTGACTATTTGTATCAACAATGCTCTTTGTTGTGATTGGGATTAACTGTCCCGCAAAATGTGATCCTAATTTTGTTGTAAAACTAACGTCACTGGAGCTTGCGACAGTCCCTCCCCCTATTTCTCCCCCTCCCTCTTTAACCCCCTCCCCCCTCCCTCTCTCTTTAACCCCCTCCCCCCAGTATTTGAGGTACGAGGAGGCCAGCTGGTACCGTGGGTGATCCTGGAAGACGGACCAGGAACTGTGGGGAAAGGGTTCAAAGCGGAGTGGATGGCTGTCAAGGGCCACATGCTCTATGTCGGTGGTCTGGGGAAAGTCTGGACCACACAGACTGGGGTATGGAGTATGGGAGTATGGAATATGAAATGGCAGTATGCAACATGGGAGTATGGCAGTATGGAATATGAGGAAAATGATGTAATTTCCTCCATAAATATTGAGTGTAGTGTGAATGTATAATGAAGAGATCCATCACGAAGGTTTTCTCCTAAGTCCTGGTGTAGGTGTTGTATCGACCATTACAGGAGTACGTGAACGACCATCCGCAGTGGGTGAAGGTAGTCAGTCCAGAGGGAGTGGTCCATCACCAGCCCTGGAGCAGAGTCTACAACGATATGAAACTCAGTGCCGGCATTGGGACCCAGGGGTACGTGAGTAATATACCTCGTAAAAAGGACCTTTAGCATTGTAGGTTGTTGGAAAATAATTTCTTCCAGAGCTGCTGTTTTGTAATGCCAAAGGCCTCAATTACATACAGGTATATCATCCACGAGAGTGCAGCGTGGAGTCCGGCCAACAGGAAGTGGTACTTCCTCCCGCGGAGAGCCAGCAACGAGAGGTATAACGACGTGGCGGACGAGCATCGAGCAACGAATCTCATGATCACGGCAGACGAGAATCTCAGCAATATGGAGACCACTCATATTGGGGTGGGGTTCCATTACTACTGGCTCACTTCTACTTTAATATTCATCTCCCTCTCCTTACTTTATAACCTTCACCATTATTGTGTCATGCTCTTTGTCTTTCCTTTTCACTTTCTACTTCCTTGTTTTCTATCACTGTATGATTTCATCCTCTCCCCCCTCTTTTCCCTCTCTCTGTCAAAATTCCCACCTAATTCTTCCATTGGTTCCTCCCCGACCTCTCCCCACAGCCTCTCAACAACGTCCACGGGTTCTCTTCGTTCAAGTTTCTCCCTGGCTCCAGGGACTCGGTCATAGTGGCACTCAAGTCTGAGGAGAACCGCGGAACCATCGCTACATACATCACGGCCTTTGACCTCTCGGGAAAGACTTTAATGGCCGAGCAGAAAATAGCAGATGTCAAGTAAGCCATCGTTATGGTTGAGTCCATCAAAATTTTTTAGCCAATGTCAAGTAAAATTGTCGGCAATCACTACAAATTACGATGACCACATCCTATCTCCTTTTTGAGGGGACATAATGATCATGTGATTTTTCTTTGCTCTAGATTGGAAGGAATAGAGTTCATCTAACGTATCCGGCCAAGTGCAGAAGGCAGCTTTGGGTCACATGACTCTCATGATCTCATCACATGACTCTCATCAGAGATTTATTTTATTTACAGAACTGTATATTATATTATACAAAAATTACTTCTGTGACGAAACAAATAGTTTTCCTAGCAATATCCCTATGACGACGACAAAAACTGACAGAACCACAAAGAAAAGTTTCAGCCAGTGTTCAGACCACGTCCACTTGGTTTCTTGGGGAGCCCCTGTCGTTTCCACGGTATTAGTGGTGTCATTGAGAGAGGTGGAAGGGGTGTGGTCATCAGAGGGGGGCGGGGCAGAGCAGTCGCAGCTAGTGACAGATGAGAAACCAGAAAACAGCTGCTCTTTCCTGTCGTTGGCATGGCAACTGGCACACGCCCTCACCCTTGCTTGGTGGTGGGTGTGGTTTGTGATGGTGTGGGCATATGAGGGGGCGGAGCTTCGGTAGACCTGCAGTTACAGTGAAAATCTCATACCCCATTCCTAATCCTACCCATAATTATTATTCTCATGACATTCACCCTTTTTAAAAAAACATCTAAATGTCCTGAACCCATTCACCCATTCCTGTTCCATACTGACCTGAGTGAAATCTTGTCTACCAATTTTCAACTGGAGTTCATAGGTCACTGAAAGACTGTGACCCACTTCCTCCCATGACATCATTATGACATCACCTTCCTGTCGCATCACCAGATCCAGTGGAGGACTCGGACCCACGGGGAGTGTCTCGCAGGTCAAGAGGTCAGACCACGCCCCCTGTCCGCTCTCGGAGGAGGCGGCAATTCGGAGAGTGTAGCGAGTCGAGGGAGTGAGCCTCTGGAGCTTGTGTCCCACTCCGGTTCCAGTGTACGTGGTATGGAACCTGGACCAGCCATTAACAATTGCATTAATTACCACATTCTCTCCCTCTCTTTGACGATTATGTTTTTGAACGAGAAAACTTTCTCCACGGTTTCTAATGGATGAAAGTCGCCTCCCACCATTTTGGCTCAGTGAAATTTGCTACTAGTTCCATCAAAATTTTTCCATCTGTATTGACATATACATACAGTACATATGTTTGTACATACCTGCCAGAGTCAGAGGCAATCTGGAGGGTGTAGCTGATGCTCTTGCTGGCCTTTTTTCCCCAGGCCACTCTCAGCGAGGTGTGGGTACAGGAGACGAGAGAGAGGGAGGGAGGGAGGGGAGGAGGAGGGAGAGTGGTTGCCAACAGTGGAGCCGACAACTGACCCACACCAACTCCGTTTTCTGCTTGCACCCTGACCCTGCAAATTTTAGGCAAAGCCTTGAATCCGAAACACCACAACCATTCAATTTCAAAGGGCAAACTATGCCGAAATGTGTAGTTGAAGAGCTGAAATGTTTAATTTTGCTAGAATATTGACTCACGTATACTGAGTGCTTGGATCGAGGTTCTGAAGAGTGACTTGTGTCTCGGAGGGCGGGATAACGAGGTGGGAGGAGTCTGGGGTGGGCGGGGCTGGGAGCAGATGCACGTGATAGTGTGAGAGTGGTGATCCTGGTGAAGGGGGGACACTCCAGGCAACGAGAATTGAATCAGGCGTGGCCGAAACCTAGACAGAGACAATCAGTAACTGTTTTGCACAGGTCATAAAATTTATCACTCGTACTGGTGAAGTATATACTACTATACATACCAGGTGTAGGTGTGAGGGTGGGGAGGGTGTGGAGGGTGAAGTGGTGAAGGAGAATGAAGTGGACCATTCACTGTGACCAGCCTCACTCAATGCCTGCAGATACATGGAATTTTAGATGCACATCAGAGTGCCAGCAGGTATACATCTGACCTTGACTCTGGCAGTGTGAGGAGTGTTAGGCGAGAGATGAGTCAGAGACACCTCGCAGGGAGATTGTGGGAGGGGCATCACGTGCCTGGCCCCGCCCACTGGACCCCACTCCACCTCGTACCCCGACACCCCACTTCCATACTCCACACTTTCCTGCCAAAACAACACAGTATGTACACCACAAAAACTGTGAAAAAAACCTGGAAACTTGACAGAAAATTTGAAATTCAGTCACTACTATATAAAGAGAAATGAAACTTTTGTGATCACTGCACAAAAATACCAACAGTCAAATTAATGAACGTTTGCTGGTACACGGGCATTGAATTTGACACAGGTTTCTGATTGTGGTTTCTTAACCTTCCAATTAAGTTTAGCCGAGTGAGCCGAGAGAGAAGAGGAGAGGGAGAGGAGGTCGGGGGGTGCAGGCGGGCCTGGAGCTGTGCTGAAACTGGTAACCTCACTCCAGTCACTTGTCTGGAGAGACAGGGAGGGAGGGAGAAAATTGTGTGTATATAATCAGTGAAAAAACTGTTCCTGCTCTCTGCTTGCAACGACAGCAGTGCACAATAGGAGCAAGATAAATATTACAAAAAAGTGGTGGGCGTAACCCAAGTGTATTGGCTAACCCTGACAGCACTCCTGCAGTTGACTCGAACCGTGTACAGGGTGCCCGGTGTGAGGTGTGTGAGGGTGTGAGAGAGGGAGGACGGCCGGGAGGGCGGGGCAGAGAAGGAGAGTTGCTCGGCAACCGTTGCCATGGTTTCCCAATCTCCACGGGACTCGCAAAGTTGGACGCTGTAACTGGTGATCGCTGATCCTCCATCACTGCAAGGTCTACCTATTGTATATAACAGTGGGGGAAATGGGAATTGTTTTGCATTACGTCATAGTGTAGACTTACCCCACGAGATTACTGCACTGCTTACTGTCACCTTCCCCAGCACCCTCATGTTGATTGGTGGGTGTGGCAGAGTGGGTGGAGTCTTGAACGCTGCCTCGTTAGACCACGAACTTTGACCCCCAGACGAAACGGCACAAACTCGACACCTAACACACAGCAGAAGCAATGAACAGTACTGTTTCTAGGGTACAACGGTGAATCTACCTGTAGCTCCTCCCAGGAGAAAGAGAGTCTAGCTGAAAGTTGACCTCTGACCCCTTGTAAATGTCCATCAATTCTCCACCATCTCCGTCGTCAACCTGAAAACCACCCCCCTCATTAATTTTTAACTCTCTAAGTATATACCTTTTATTTCCCTGTCCCCTCACTAATGTACACAACTTACTTGAAGGATGTACAATTCTACGGGGCTACCCCCATCGTTAGCAGGTGGGCTCCATTCCAGATTGAGTGACGTGGAACTGGGACGGCTCCCGAGGCAGATGTTACCAGGGCAACCTATCAACAAAACACTCAACCATTACTCCTGCACAGTGATCATTGTCTACACTGCAGGTGGCTCCAGGACTACTAAAGCCCGCCCTCTCCCTGGGAAAGCCTTATCTCTGATACCACGAACAGTGTTAGTGGCCATTAGTGGCCCCCCTAGCGGTGGGAACAGTGTCGAAAACAGTGGTGTGGGAGTGGTGAGCTTGTACAAAGGTTGACCCAATTACTACAAACCACTGGGGTAGCTGCACAGACAAGGACTAAGTCCACCTAAAGTCTTCCTCCTCTTCCTACCTGGTGCCTCTGGGAGCGTGGTGAAGGTGACGGGAGGCGAGGCGGACTAGACCCAGCCTCGTTCAGAGCTGACAGACGGAAGTTGTAGACCGTGACTCTCTGGAGGTCGCGACAAGTGCAGGAGAGTCCGTCACCTTGGTACACGGGACAGAACCCATAGCCCTGTGTGTGTGTGTGTGGGGGGAAAATGAGAGAAAGGGGTGTGTGTGTGTGTGTTTGTTGTGTGAGAGAGAGAAGAGAGACTCACAGAATCCGGGTCGTCCATCTCTAGGCAATAAGAAGTGACACGCCCCGGACCAGGGGGTGTGGTCCAGTGGAGACTGAGTGAGTGAGAGGAGCGCGTCGAAAGGGAGGGAGGGGGTGGGGCAGGAGGCGGAGCTTGCCCCACGCTGTGGATGGTATCTTCGCTGAACTCGCTCCAACCGACGGCGTTTCTCGCTCGCACTCGAAAAAGATTCTGGCTGCCCGGCGGAAGTTTCTGCGAAAACTTCAAATCTTTCTTCTTCCCACAGTACACCTCCTTATAATCCCCTGCAGCAGTAGAGATTAACTTAACGTGAATTTTGAGGTGCATGCGCACAATTTTTGCTCATGTTTATTCAAGTTTCACATTTTTCTACTTTTAAGTGATCAGCACTGACCCCACGAAAGCTGCAAAAATTATGCATCTCAAAATTTGTGGATTGTCCGTATCCGTATAAAAGCTCTACTGTATTACATATGTATGAAGCTAACCAGTGGATTGGTCCCACTCCAGGGAGTACTGGGTGATGGGTGATCCGTTGGCAGCTGGTGCGTTCCAACGCAACCCGAGAGTATTCTTGGTCCTGAGAGAGACACACGAATGAGAGAAACGATGATCCTCAAAGAGAGATAGCCCCATACATCTATGATGCTAGCTACCATGCCCATCCCTGTACACAAAGTACTATAGTAGCTGGTGATTAGGGGGACTCACCGACTGACTATCTTTGGAGGTGGAGGTTGCTCGGGGACAAGTGCTGGTACCGTCACCTCAACTCCTGCAACCTCACATAAAACACATCATATACACATTCTCTCTACTCCCAGTCTTCACCCTTTCTTTACAGAAGGAAACTAAGGGGGAAAGATTTGGGTTCGAAAGCTGCAAAACTTGCTCCAAAACCAACACCATTTCACACACTCACAAGTAAAAGTTACCTTTCTGCACAAAGGTTTTTTTACCAACAAAGGTTTCCTATTTCGTAATATTCTCAGAAACGAGAGACTAACTTTGAGAAGGCTCCCCAGTCTCTCCAGAGGCACAGGCGCTCACGGCAACTTGGTGGGTGTGGCCTCGACACAGTGTTTCCATGGTATCGACCACACAACTTGTCAGTTGACCCCTGACAGAGTCGGCAGCAGATAGCGGAATGGGTATGTAGAAGAAATCTTACTGGTAGATGATGACAGGGTCCCCCGCTCCATCCTTCCAGCTCTTGACGACGTACTCAACACTGTCGCCCCCGGCAACCTCCACCGGTTGCCATGACACCCGAACCACGCCCTCGTCTTCGTTATACTCCACCTACCACAACATAACAAACACCATTACAGAGAATCAGAGTTGTTTAGTATCACACCAGAGGTGGTTGAATGGTGTTTAGGGATGTACGCAGCTGATGCCTCCTGCGATGGTCCTCTTCAGCCGCCCGGCGAGCTGCCTCTTCCTGCTCTCTGAGAACACGCAACACATCCCCTCCTCCTCCTTCTCTTCCCCCAGGTTGTTGGGGTCGCATAGGCACCTGAATTAGTCTTATATGTGGCCGCTGTCCACCTAATACACCACAGATACAGTATATACGTTTACTATGTTTGATTATTAACACTCGGCTCTACTATGGAGAGTACCTTGGCCAGGGACAGGTTGAGTATATCTGATAGTAAACCTCTGTCCAGGCTGGATTCCACGAGGAAGAGGGATGCGGATCACGTGACGGACCTGCTGACCGCGACCGGCCGCTGGCGGTGGAGGTTGATTGTTGTTCTGGTCGTCAGCACTGGCCATAGCACCACAGTGGGTGCCTCTTCAGAAAAAGCAGCACGTCTACATATGGTGCGCACTAATTGGAGGTTAGCCCGTGAATTTACACAATTGAGCGCGCGCATGCGCTGAAGCGTCATTTAGGATATGACGTCATTTTTATTCACATAAATACGGGCCGCACGACGCGAATCCAGTTTGTGCGCAGAGCTCCGCTGGCTGTAAACTAGGTTTCTTCGTCGTGATACGACCGACCGAGCTGAGCCGAAGAGCCGGAACTCGTGCGTGCGAGCTGACCTTGCAGCAGGCGCAGCGGGTCGCGGCAGAGGAGCGGGCTGGGAGAAAACTTCGTCGAACGCTCAGCGGATGGCCGGGGCAGCGAAGGGAGGGGGCGAGGAACAGGCGCAAAGGAGACAGCGAGCCTGACTGGTACCGAAGGGAGCACGACCAGGACTGTAACTAACCATAGTGTCTTTACGGATGATTCGTTGGTACTCAGATTACTGTATCTTTCCTCATATACATGCATTGGAACAAGGAAGTGTTAAAATAGATAGAGAAGTCCTGCTAGCATGCGTGAGACACCGGCGATTGACTTGTGCATGCGATAAATATAACTCCTAAGAATTGTGCTATTGGAGACGTCATTTGTTCCTCCTTGCCCTCTCCTGTTGGTATTGAGTGATGAGCTCTTGTTGGAGTGTTGGTAGAACAGGCTGGTAGTGCTGGAACTCCATTGAAAATTCTCCCTTTCCCTGAAAATCGAGGGGGGAAACCATCGCTACATATTTCTAGCAAAAGTGTTATCGTTTACGTACTTGTGTAGAGGACCTCAGCTCTGTAGCATAGCCAAACATATCATTCAGTGGGTACCTGGATGGAAAAAAATTTTCTCGGAGGATTACAAAATTTCCTGGGCAATGTCTGTATTTTTACCTCGCAGTAGATGGTGAAGTATCCCTCGGTGGCATCGGTGCCTGTAATGACTCCGCGACGACGATTGATGCCAGCTATCACCGGACCCTGTACCCGGACAAGTAAAAATGTAACCCCAACGAAAAAAGCAGGCATGACAACTTGCAAATGAACACATTTATCCACATGTGTCTGTTGTTCAGGACACTCTCTGACTCAAGGTGTCCTGACCTGAAACTCGTCGGGGGCGACGACCTCCACGCTCATCACAGGCTCCAGGACAGTGGGCCCGGCGAGAGGGAAGGCTTGTCGCATGGCGCCGACTGCCGCCTGTCTGAAGGCCAGTTCGCTGGAGTCAACACTGTGAGAGACGCCGTCCTGGAGGACCATCCGCACCCCCGTCATCTTGTGGCCTGTTAACAACCCTGCGTGTATAGAACCTCTTATAGAGACTCCTAATTGAGGATACTCCTGCCTATATTAATGGATATCATGTGGCCTTATGTGTATACATTGGTGGAACCTCCCATATTACAGAGTCTTTATTAATGGAGACTCCTGGTATAAATGGAGATTACAAACAAAGTTAAACTTGCTTCTATCAGGTTTGTGCTAAACCTCTGAATAAGGGGCAGTTTAGCATGAGACGAGACCAAGTGTTTCACATTCAAGATTAGTACATTGAGAGAGTGCACATTTAGTGCCAAGTGTTGGATCTTTTTCAACCTACCAGTCTCACAGACCTCCATGAACCCCTTCTCCACTCCGGGGATGAAATTCTTGGGGATGTTCATTCCCACAGTTTCGTCTGAAAACTCACGTGTCATCAACTTATCACCTATCAACGGCTGCAGAATAATAATGTACAATCAATTCACCAGCTACTTTGCCACCATTGGGTGTCCATTTTCAGTTTCAGATTGCATACCTTAAGCTCCCCTATTACTCTGCCGTACTGACCCGCACCGCCACTCTGCTTCTTATGCAAGTAGTCAAACCTACGTAAAAATTTTACAGACATTCGTAAAATTTTACAGGTATTGACCAGTAAATTTTTTGCGGCTTACTTGGCAGTGGAAGTAATTGTTTCTCTGAAGGCGACTTTCGGTTTTCCCGTCACACAAGGACAGCTGTACTCTGTACGGAGCCTCTGGAAGGAAAGTGTGTATTCGTGCTATTAGTGCAAATAGTAAACTTTAACTGGGGTGCCTTGCTTTTTGTACTTTTAGCGAGAATGTAGCGGCAAAGACACGCTTGAGAAAACACTAACTTCTAAGGGTTCATAGTTTTGACCTGAAGCCAACAAGCCTTTACCAGAGGTGCGATAAAACTCGATACTTTTTTAGTAAAAATATTTTTGTGTGCCTCGACTGTAGCTACGGTGATATATTATTAAAAATACCTCTGCATATACTTCCAAATGAAGCTCACCCATTCCCGACATGATTGTCTGCAGAACGAGTTGGGGAAAAAATTTAAAGTTTCACTCAACACCACAGAGCAGCTGCTCCCTACCTCTTTGCTCTCGGGGTCAAAGGTCACTTTAAAGGTGGGGTCCTCTCGCTGGAATCGACCAATCCCCTTTGAGAACTGGTCGAGGTCTGTCTTCTTCTCCGGTCTTATCGCCAGGGAGATGACAGGGTCTGGGACATGGATTGACTCCTGCAGAATAATAGACACACTACTATCTTACACTAATGTTCTGGTGAACAAATATATATAGCAAGCAGTCAATATTTCAAGCACAAAGTTTGAACTTCTCTGTGTGATTTTCTCGAATGCACACATTGTAGAGAGTGATAGAAACATTGTATTTACTGTACATAAGCACCTCGTACTCGTATCAAATATTCGCGAATGTATTTTCATCGTCTAAAGTAGGGTTGACTTACCATTGTATATTGGGGGGCATCGGAAGAGACGAAAGTGTCACCAGACGCACATTCGACTCCAAATAGAGCACATATATCCCCTGAATGGGCCTCTGAAATATCCTGCAATATAAATTACCAAGGAACTGTCCATGTGTGTGTTGACACTAACTTCAAGCAATAGCTAACAGGTTCTGAGCTAGAATAAAAATCTTGCCTCCATTTTGTTGGCATGCATCTGGACAAGACGTGAGACTTTGACCTTCTTCCCGGTCCTGGTGTTACTGAGAGTGTCTCCTCTCTTCAGGGAGCCTTGGTACATCCGTATGTACGTCAGCTGACCAAACCTATAGCAAGGTACACACAGCAATGGCAAGTTGTTCAGCTCAATGTGGATTTGAAAATCTTACAAACCCACCCAGTTCGGTATCACGGCAGTATAGGGATGGGCAGGGTATGCAGTATTAGGGCTTTGATAGGGAGTTTTGTTCATGCCACAGAAAATCTCGGTTTCAAAGTGTGTGTGTGTGTGAGTGAGTTATATACCTTCCGGCTTCCAGTTTGAACGAGAGAGCTACACACGGTTGACTGCCGTCTCTTGCAGAGTTCAGGGGTACCTGTTCACCCCCACTGAGTAGAGAGTGGGCGGGGAAAAGAGAGAAAAAGTTACAGACATTACTTGCGAGGAACAGTCACATATACTTAGTATTGTCGATGGCGAAATTTTCCACCTCAGAAGGCTTGGGAAGATAGTTGAGTACAGCATCCAACATCAACTGAGGCAGAGAGATACAAAACTCCCTATCATAGCCCCATACATCTATGATGCTAGGTACCATGCCCATCCCTATAATACTAAGTACTACCGTACTTAATACTTCAGGGACCACTTTGCATAGGGAGACAAGCACTTTGCGAGAATAATTATTGGTTTTTGGAGCAAAGTTTACCCCCTCAAAATCCCCCCTATATACCATATATGGATGTACCTGTACTCCTTTGTTTTTGAGAGCTGATCCCAGCAGAACTGGAGTGAACTTGCGAGCCACAACCGACCGATGGATAGCGGCCTGCAGCAGAAAAGACCTGACTAACTTTGCTCTACACACATTTGCCAAGTAAAAACCTAGTCACCATTATGTCCTGTACAGTTGGCTCCTGGTCAGAGAGAAATATCTCGGCCAGTCCATCATCAACTTCTGCCAGTTGCTCTGAGGAAAAACACGTAAGACAGATGATGTGAAAATAATGGTGGTGCCAGTGTACCTATTAATTCTTTTCTTCGTTTTGATACGAGATCAACTAAATTGGTAGGGACATCCCCTTCAGTAACTTCTGTCCTATATGCAGCAAAATTAAACAAGAACTCATGGACTATAATCATAATTTTCGCACAAGAAAAATATCAGACGTAATATAGAGCCTGAAGGGGTGTGGTTTACCCGAATTCCCCGCTGAAGTAAACGGCTCTGTTTCTGACGATATCCACGACACCTTTGTGGTGTGCCTCGAGGCCAATGGGCACATGTATCATTGCTGCATTCTGGTGCAACTTAGCTCTAGAGAGGAAGGCACGGGGGGAGAGAGAGAGAGAGCACAGTAAATTTTACTGAACGTTCAAAACGGTCAGTCTCGTTTCCCCTCCGCCCCCACCTCATCTGTTGCAGAACTCGGTCGGGATTGGCTCCGAGGCGGTCCAACTTGTTGATGAAGGCGATCCGAGGGACGTTGTAGCGATTCATCTGTCTATTGACTGTGAGCGTCTGGCTCTGAACACCACCCACTGCACACAGAACCAGCACAGCTCCGTCCAGTACTCTCAGGGCTCTCTCCACCTCTATTGTAAAATCTACGTGACCTGCAAACAATAAAAACATTGTGTATATAGAGTAACAATTATTGTGGATTCAAATTCATTAACCCTCTTGGTGCGCGATACAGTAAGAGCTTGTTAGGTATAAGGGTCTTATGTACATTTACAACTCGTCCTATATAATATGGTGGATCCTTATGTGCTATATATACCTGGAGTGTCGATAATGTTGATGTTTGTGTCTTTCCACGTGGTATATGTAGCTGCAGACTGTATAAGACACAGACACACATATACTCAGCTCAGAGATGTTGGAGGCAGTGGTAGACTTGCCTGTATGGTGATCCCTCTTTGTCTCTCCAGTTCCATGGAGTCCATTGTAGCTCCAACATTGTCCTTCCCTCTCACCTATTCATTGACGACAACTCTTTCATTCACACAAATGTTAACCTTTAATACTCTTGTATTTGGCAAGAAGTCGTCCATTCTAAAAACGCCGCCCCCCCCCCCCTCGTTTTATTACAATTGTTCATTCACACAGTTTCCTCATAGATAATACAGTGGTGAGTTCCTCCGCTATTTATCTATGGTTTCCTCTGCTGAAGTATTGTGCGCTGTACTGACCTCGTGCATGGCGGAGATTCGTCCAGTGTAGAAGAGAACGCGTTCTGTGAGCGTCGTCTTCCCCGAGTCGATGTGGGCAGATATCCCGATGTTCCTGATCCGCTCCACGCCCAGCTGGCCCCGCGGAGAAGAACGAGAAAAACACGATCAGCAGTAAACGAACCTTTAGCTGTACTCACAGTCGAGGAGGAGGCGTGTCTCGCTCCTAACGCTACTCTCCATAATACCTGCACGTTACGGTTGCCGGAAAGGTATAAATAAATGATACGGTAGATTGTGTACCTCTCGAGGAAGCCTGCGAGCGCAGGATCGACACAGAATAGCTTTCCACAACATCTCCCCCAGCGGCCACAGCGGCTGTTGGCTCAGGTGACCTTTGACCTCACGTGGATGTCGGAGTCAAGCGCGTGTGGTTATTTGCAGAGGTGAGTGTCCGTATCTTCTTCCATCTGCGTGTATTGTGTGCCTGAGTGGCTTGGACGTGAATGGATATGAACTACACATTTGTCTTTCTCTCTGCGCGTACCTTTCCGTGGCTGGGTGCCCGTTTCGCGATTTTTTTAAGACGCTATGGCGTGCGTTATTTAGAAAACTTCAGTTCATGTTGGTTTCCGTTATTTCAGGCACCACTTTGTGGCAGAGGTGAAGATGTCGTCTGTAAGGTAAGCATTCTATTCCTAAAACACCCACATATACGCTGAAGATCTGTGTGCTTATTAGCTAACGGAACTCTGCCGTAGGTTGTACACAAAGGGTATATTTGTGGGGTACAAGAGGAGTCTGCGTAACCAGCGGACGCACACAGCTCTGCTGAAACTGGAGGGAGTGACAGAGAAGAGTGAAACACCGTTCTACCTCGGGAAGCGGGTGGCCTACGTGTACCATGCCCATCGCAAGTCTAAGCAACGAGGAGAGAAGAAACCGAGCAAGTATCGCGTGGTCTGGGGCAGAATCATGCGTTCTCACGGCAACAGCGGCATCGTGAGGGCAAAGTTCAAGCACAACCTCCCGCCAAGAGCCATGGGTGCCACAATGAGAGTGGTGAGTTATCGTGCTCCATTTTTTATTGTAATTATCTGAGTTGAAACTCTTTCTACAGATGATGTATCCGTCTAGAATATGACATTGCACAGATCTTTGTTGTATGGACCTCTGTGTTCGGCTTTGATGAAAGTGTCTGCATAAATTTTAGTCTTTAGCGAGCGGTCTCTTTGCGCATGCGCACGTGCGGAGGACCTGCGCGCGCACGTGTAGTGCACGTTGCATGCAGGTGCATGCCAACAAAACAAAAACAACCAGCGATGGACCCTTCATAATCGGCAAACAGCTTCTTTGCCCCGCCGACTGTGACCTCTCACTACACTGCTATTGTAGTGTGTGAAACGAAGTCTAGACGAAAGTCTTATCTAAACCAGACAGTTCCAGTTAGCGGTGGCAAAGGTGAGTTTCTTACCCGAGAAACGTGACAGTTGAGACGAACTGCACGCCCTCTCTCTCCGTGTAGAAGATGAGCGTGAAGCATTTCGTGTTCGGAGGTATCGCCTCTCTCACCGCTGAAATGGGTAAGCATTTCGTCCCCCATGAGCGGCCCGCTATTATGGGAGGCCATTCGCACACACCTCGAGAAAGTTTGATATTGACTCCTAATCCAGCATGACTTGTATATATAGTGAAATGGAATTATCATTGCTGAAGCCATACTGCCCCCAAAATTAGTATACAGTGTTCATTTATTACAGGGACGTTCCCCCTGGATACGACGAAGACTCGACTGCAGGTCCAGGGCCAACAGAGGGACGCTGTGTGTCGGGAGTCGAGATATCGCGGCATGACGCATGCCCTCCTACGCATTGCCAGAGAGGAAGGGGTCAGAGCACTATATGGAGGGTATGTATATTATATGTGTGCCTATATGTACCTATGCAGTAAACACAAGCACCCTTCGTCGAGTTCTTTTCAAACTTGCTAACAGTAGCACAGTGTTAGATTCTAGTGTAGGGAGCATTACACTGTATTATGACTCCCTTTCAGTGTGTATGTAAAAGAGCTGAGTTGTCGGTGTTGAATTGCCGTGCTCTGTTCTCCAGCATAGCTCCTGCACTACTGAGACAAGCATCCTACGGTACACTGAAGATAGGGCTCTACCACTATCTGAAGAAGATAAATCCAGCAGGTATGACTATCCATACACTAGAGTGTACATGTGTGCCGAAGGGGATGCTTGGGATTTGGCCCATTTCTGATGAAATACACCACATAATGGGGAGTTTCTAGTTGGTATGTCACAGTCTATATAGGTCTCGTAGTAAAGCATGTGATTTCATTCATCAGAGGAAGCTAGTGTGGAAGCTAAGTTGCCAAGTCTTTTACCACTGTTTGTGTGTGTGTGTGCATGTGTTCTTCACAATGCATTCATGTGCTCTTCACATGTCGATATTTTGCATGCTGCACTTCACGTGCCATCCTATAATACCCACCACGCCGAAAAGCGGTCACCTTCAGAATCCCAATTAGCTGATCAAGGAATGTGTTGGCCAGTGTATATATACCAACAATATTCTCTCCTTAGAAGAGACAGTACTGATGAATGTATTGGCCGGGATGACTAGTGGAGCCATCGCTTCAGCCATTGCAAACCCCACGGACGTTCTAAAGGTAAAAGACTTATGACTTTTAGAACGGGTGATGAAATGAAAACTTTGGTGTTGGTGGTTGTTGTGGCAGGTTAGGATGCAGAGTGCGTCTGACGCGGCTTACTCGCAGAGAAAAAGCTGTGCAAAGTACTTTCAGCAGATTTACAGGGAAGAAGGTGTACATGGACTATACAGAGTGAGTCACTATAGTAGTATATATAGCCTCTACTATGTGCTTCTGCCCCTTGTATCTCTGTCTGTGTTGTAGGGAGTGGTACCAACTGCAAACAGAGCTATGGTGGTGGCCGGGGTGCTGCTTCCGTCGTACGACTTCTTCAAAGACCAGTTCCTTCGCAGTGGTTACATGTCTGACACCACTTTCACGCACTTATGGCGAGCTACTCTTATATAGCCGTTAGAACTCTTTACATGCACTCTCTCTCCCCTCCTCTATCTGTCCTGCTTCCTCTTCCCCATCTAGTGCCAGTTTCCTAGCTGGGCTAATGGGTACTGCAGCCTCCAATCCCATTGACGTAATAAAAGTAAGTTCTTCAAAACCCTCTCTACAATCGCGTTGACTCCTGTTGTGTGGGGTGCAGAGTCGAATGATGAACCAGAGAGTAAACCTCGGGAATACACAAGTTCACATCTATGCAAACTCCCTAGACTGCCTTCTGATAGTGAGTTCAAACCTATGTGTGTTTGTGTGTGTGCAAAGGCATTACCTGGCACCGTGCAACAAAGTATCAACCTTTTAACTGCAACCTAAGTACCAAGTAGCTATATACCTTACATCCCCCTTGGCAAGAGGCAGTTACATGGTATAATCTTACTGTCTTGTGTGCTGTGTTTCCCCAATAGACATTGAGAACAGAAGGACCAGCCGCACTATATCGAGGTTTCATTCCAGCTTACCTCAGACTAGGGCCTTGGAACATTATTGTATCCTTATACACATACATTATCCTGCAATGTGTGGTAGATTTCTGTACCTGCACACTTGTTTTCCTTTCTTTGGAGAGACAAGGAGTCAGTTTTTGCAACCATAATAAATAAAAAATCATAATATAAAAAATATAATATAATATATATAATAAATAAAAATTCATAATAAAATAACATATAATACATATTAAATAAAAAAATTTATAACAAATATAAATAAAATATACATATTTAAATATAATTAATATACATAAAATCTATAGTTATAAAATAAATAAATATATTAATATAAGCATATAAATTAAAATAAAAGATATATTTATCATATCATAATTATTTAAAAATATATAAAATAAATAAATATATTAATAATAACATAAAAATATATTAATATAATAATTAAAAAATTAAATCATATAAATACATATCATCATAAATTATAAAATCATAGATAAAATATAAGCATATATAAATATAAAATTATATAAAATAATAATAAGTTACTCATATGATACTAGAATATTATAATAATAAATTACATAAAAAAATAAAATCATACTATTGTCAGTAAATTAAAAAATAGATATTTAAAAATCAGAACAATACATATCATACATATTAATTTTATAACATATGACTATCAGTAAATAACAATGTTTAAAGTCAGGTTAAAAATATATCAATACATATTATAATAAATAATAGTATATATTAAGTATCTATTAATAACCACATTAATATATAAGTAAAATAACAAATGTAGTGATAACATTATATAGCACATATACACAAATAATAAAAGAAAATATAATTATCTATATAAAAAATTCCATACAGTAAATATTATCATAAAAATAAAACGTACAGATAATATTAAATATATATAATTATATAAAACAATAAAATTATAAAAAATAATATTACATGTCATTATAAAGTAAAAATTAGCATAAAATAAGCATAACATAAGAATAGACAAAAATATATAATAAATATTAAGTTATAGTTTACATAAAGATATAATAATAGCCCATTAATAATAAATAAAATAACATAAAATATAAAAATATATATAATAAAAAAAACTACAAAATAAAAAATATAAAAAAATAATATAGAATAAAAAAAACATAATAATAAATAAAACAATAACATTAAAATAAATAAAAAAAAATAAAAAAAAAAAAAAACCAAATATAAAAATAATAAAAACTAATAAAACAATACATATAAATCATAAAAATAAAAAAAAATAAAAAATAAATATTATACATAAATCCCATAAATACTAAACATAAAATACATAAAAAAAAAAACATAATATATTAATAAACATATATAATATTATATATTTAAGTAGATAACATACATTAATAAAATATAATAAATAAATTTTTAATAAAAAAAATAAAAAAAAATTAATAAAAAAAAATAAATCATAAAAAATATATTACCAGTACATAAAATACTAAAAATAAACCATTAAATATAAAGTTAGGATAAAACATAAAATTTTAATTTTAAAATATTACCAGATAAAATAACATAGTGATATATTAATAAACATATTAATATATAATATAAATACTCATAAATATATAATCATTAATACATAAAACATCTAAAATCAATAGTATATTAATATTATAACATAGTTAAATAAAGATATAATACATAGATATATATATTACATAATTGAAACACTACACAACTACAAAAATGACAGATATATAATCGACCATTAAAATCATTTAAAGTACATATTAGTTCGTCTCTTGAAAATTTCCTGCCATATGTTAGCTCTAGCCCTCTCTACAGTGGTGTTTCCTTAACAATTTACTTAGTTTTTTCTCACTTACGAAAAGTTAAAACGGGTGTTCTAAAGATTCAGCTGAGCAATCACTTACCAAGACCAGTTTCACAGGATTATAATTACACAAACACTCCAAGATTTATTCAGTCATTTTTGTTATTCTTATTTATTGCAGCAACACTTTACTCGTGTGTCATTTTATCGCCTATCATAGTGTGTTGACAATAATGTCTATAAATCTACTCAT